CTCTTCCCTCAAATCGACCGATTCGACTCGTACCACAGATTCGGTCAAAGACAGAGACGACTACCTCAAGCAGTCTGAGAGACTCTTCATCCTACAACCATTTACAGTTGGAGCTCTCAAGAACATGCGCAATTACGAAGGTCAAACACCAGCTGGAGACCGCAAAACAGACGTACTCGCAAGAGCCGTCCAGCTCGTCAAGACAAAGACTGAGATAGTCGACTTCATTCTTGCAGCTTGCCCATACAAGTAAAAAAATAAACAATTACGAGTTAAACTTTTTATTCTTTCTTTTCTGAGTTGTTTAGAGCTGGTTTCTCTTGTAGGAACCTTTCGTACTCTTCCACGGTCATGTAATCGCGAATTTGGTACGCAATTCCAGGTTCGTTGTTTTTGAACCTTACGTATGTAACGCTTCCATCCTCCTCAGGGAAGTAAGCTGCTAACATCTGACCAAGTTTTCTCGGTGACTCGGAGCTCATTAAAAATGTCACTTTTTAAACGTTAAGTTTTTAGTCTTATTTTACCCTTTGTTTGTCAAGAACATACTGCCATGCTGCTCTTCTGAGTTCGTCTGTATTTTGGAAGTGTTGCACCTTCGAGTCTTCTGACATGAAAAAAATGACCAAATTTCATGATATAACTGTATTTTTTTGACGAAGTGAACTTTTACTCTTCGTCAAAAAAATTCCTGAAATCATATCTTTTATACAAGATAGAAAAAAAAAGTTAGTTTTATTTTTTTTTATTTTTTTATTTTGTATGTAAGAACAGGAAATGTTAAACACTGAGTTTGAAACAGTTAAAAAGATAGACAATGAGACCAAAGTGGTTAGAATAGGTGATTTAAACGTAAGATACTCAAAGAAATACAACAAATATTCTTTGTCAGACATTTTAACACTATCTGAAAAGAAAACATCCCACGACTGGGTTAGAAATGCTTCTACTCAGAAAATTTTGACAAGAAATCCTGAGCTTATGATATCGGTAAGATTCTATGGAACAAGAGCATATCTTATAGACAAAAGTCTTATACCAGTAGTTTTGTTCTGGTTAGACCCAGTTGTTGGATATAATTTCATAACATATGGTTCATTCGATACGGAACGTTGCAGTGAAGGCTTACTTTACATCGTTCAGAAACCGAAGGACTTCAATACAAAGAGATATAAGATAGGAAGAACATATAATATAACTAAAAGATATGACAGTATAGTCAATAGAGTTAAGGTTGTGTTTGTTAACGATATGAGAGCTGCTGAAACAGAACTACTTGAAAAGTTTGAGAAGATGTATGGTGCTCCCACGAAAGGTAAAGAAACGTTTGAAGTAGATGAGATCGACAAAGCTATAAAATTATTTGACGAAGTTGCTGAAAAATACATGTAAAGCGTTTATTTTTGGTCTTTTATACAAGATAGAAAATAACGCTAGTTTTTTAAAAAATATTTTTTTTATTTTGTATGTAAAGACAGATATGTCAACATCAGAGAACACAACAACTGCTATCGTTCATGAAGCCATAAGTGAAGAATATGAGTGGGTTCAGTATAACAAACAGTTACGTCTCATTCGTTCGGTCAAAGATGACATGTACCAAATGCAAAGTATTTTGACAGCATGTTTTGCACCAGATACTAAGGTTCCTAAAGACTGGTTTAGGAACCAAAGCACTATTGAACTATTAAATGAAGCACAGCGAGACATACTTTTTTCTGAAAATCGTGAAGAACAGCGAGTGGGAGAAAAACCCCAGTCGCCAAAACTCTATGAAAATCGTGAAAAATTGCCAAATGGTTTGAGAGGCTGGTATGTACATAGACTTCTTGTAAATGCTGTTGCAATGTGGGCTTCACCTCGTTATGCTTGGTATGTTTGTAAACTTCTTGACGAAATTCATAGACAAGAACGTGAAGAGCTAGAGAACAAGCTTGAAGCAAAAGACAAAACCATACAGAAAAGAATACCACGTTCGGTACCAAAAGGAAAGGAAAAGAACTATAAGTATATGATTTACACTGAAGAGATGGAAAATGAAGAAGATAAAGATATGGTTATGTTGCATTTAGTCAGAAGAAACAACAAAAGCTTTTACGACCTTGCTAAGATTTACAAATCTGACAGAAATTGGTTCTATCGCGAAAACTTACCGATTTCAATGACACCGAATGAAGATGTTAAACAGATAGTTCAAGATACGTTACCTCAAACACACTATGATATGAAAGGTTGTACAATACTTACATTCAAAGAAGATTTGCCATTACTGAAAGAAAAGATAACAGAGTATTTTGACAACTTCAAACAAGCAGAGTAAATGAACCATTTATTTTTCAAGCTTGACACCAAAGATGGCTCAGGTAGCTCTATAAGGTAAATTGTCTTGTCAAATCCTTCTGGCATTCCGAGTCCTTCCTTCCAACAGGAAAAAAATTTCCTTCCAACAGGAAAATTTTTTCCTTCCTACAGGAAAAAATTTTCCTTCCTACAGGAAAAAATTTTCCTTCCGACAGGAAAAATTTTTCCAGTTGTCCGTCCGTAAACCATTCAAATTTTCGAAAATTGAGAACTTTTTGGCCGACCTTCAGAAAAAGTTTTTCCTTCCGACAGGAAAAGTTTTTCCTTCCGACAGGAAAAATTTTTCTTTCCGACAGGAAGAGTTCTTCCTTCCGACAGGAAAAGTTCTTCCTTCCGACAGGACACAAACGGATGGCTGACGTTCCTCTTCCTGAATGTCTTCCAAAGCCAGAAGAACCGACAGCCCCAGCACCACAACAGACTAAGACTCAAACACTTACATTTTTACGCTTGACTTTTTACAATTTGAACTTTGTTTGCGTAGATATGAATTCTGAAAGAAGTATGAGGGTCTTGTATGACTTTGTACTTCTCCATAGTTCATGTCTGTCAAACTTACCTGCCATGGACTCTTTCATAAGTTCCATGAAATCGTCTTCGGACAATCCGGGGAAAAGTATAATATCAGTAAGTATTCTCTTTACATCCTTACTTAAACTCTTTGCTGTCTGTACACAAATGACAACTGAGATGTTAAAGTGTCTGAGCTTCTTAAGAATTCGACACATATCTTGTTCTCTGTTCTTTAACAAAGGATGAGAAGCAAAGTCATCTAAGATAAGAAGACACCTGTGAGGGTATGTCTTCCAATCGTAAGATTGCAATTTCTTCGAAATGTATTCTATCTCTTTCTGTTTGTTTCTGAAGTGTTTCTTCTCTAATATTCTCTGCATTTCCTCATTAGGGTCTTTAAACTTCGAATTGACATACTCATTTATAGCATTATACTTCAAAACTCTTCTTTGGTACTTCTTTATCCAATCTAACAACTCAGTATCCTTTATACATACTAACTTAGACTTCTTTATGATATCTTTGAACGAATTGACGGTTTGGTCAAATTGACCAGAAGTACTACAAATGACTACTAACTCATAGAATGGGTTCTTCTCATCTAGTTCTTGTTGTTGTGCAGCCATTTTAAGATAAGTGAAAGTCTTACCCGACCCAGGTGGTGCGATTAGACCTGTTATACCATTCTGAGCAAATAAGAACTTGTCATGTATGGGTTTTATCTGAGCATTTTCTAACTTCCTCTTGTTCTTATTTAAAACATTCTCAAATTTCTTGTCAATGTCAGCAAACTTTTTTTCTAACATATTTTTAGAAAAATTAAAATTTTTATCTTTTAGAAAATGTCTAGCGATTTCGCTATCTATATTCGAGACAAGCTTTTCGACAGCAAAACATCTGTCGACCATAAAATCTTACATAGTGTAAACAAGAAAGGGGAATTTGTTCTAAAGTTCTGTTTCTGGGAATATGACAAGAACCATAAAACATTAAGCAGAGCAGTCTTAAAATTTGTCAATGACAGACTTGTTGACAGAGATGACGCCTCTTGGAGAGATGAAGTCCAACAAAACTTCTTAGAATGCAAAGAAGACACATGCGCTGTTCTTGAAAATGAAATAGAAAACAGAATAGAAGAGCTATTAAATGACAAAGCACTTTTACAAAAATATGGTTCTGAGAAGTTTGACATAACTCCACCAGAGAAGAAGAAGAGAGAAAAGAAAGAAAAGAAAGTAGAAGAAGAGAAGAAAGAACCAGAGCCAGAGAAAAAGAAATTTGACATGTAAAAATAAAATTTTATTTTTAGAACATTTCTGGGTCAATGTCAATGTTCTCTTCCTCTTTAGGAGCAAACACTGGCTTAGACTCTAAAATCTTTTTACCCAATTTACCTTGAACTTCAACTATCTTAGACTCATAATATTCATAGTCGTCTGCTTTCTTTGGTTCATAAGGTATAACAAGTTTGTATGCTTTGCCTTCTTTAAGGTTTGAGAACCTTCTGTCAAAACTTTCTTTGACTGTTAACAAACCTTCTATGTCTAAGTCTTCAAATTTCGCACCATTTTTAGTCACAATAGCAAACTTAACTGGTTCGATGTTCCAAACTTTGTCAAATGTAGACTTTTCAAAATGGTAGAAGTAAACATTCAAATATGTGAATGGGTCTAGTTCTTCTTTAAGTCCTGACATATACTTGTTTACTGAGATGAATTTCGTCATCTTTTCTATCGGATAAAAAAATATTTTTTTTTAAAATTTACTCAGAAAAATTTTTCTTTGTATATACACCATTCTGTACGTCTAAAAGACTTTTGACATTTGCCAAGAATGTTCGTTTAGACGCTGTCATATAACCATACTCTTGACAATATTGTTTATACGAATCGTACAATGACCTTTCATCTAAACACTCAAAGTCAGTCTCATCTATGAACAGTTCATATACACTCTTGTTTGCTTCTAACAATGTTTGTCTCTCTTCGGTATGTGGAATTTGTCTTGGATTGAACTTAGAAATATCTAATGTCATGAAATATGAGAACAAGTGGTTGTAAAAGTTAGGTGTCAAAGTTTCTGCTAAGTCGTCAAAATATTCTGTATCTTGCATATGAGAATCTGACGTTCTGACAACTACATATCTTCTGTCAGAACTTTCTAACTTCATCGGAACAGCATTGTTTGAAACCATGATGAAATTTGCAACATTTTCACAAACTCTTTGGTCTTTATATTTTCTTTCAACAACTCCAACTTTGTCTGTTATAAGACTCTTCAAAGCATCTGAGTTCAAAACTTTTGTTGTATCTATACTTTGAAGTTCGTTACATACTATAAGTTTCATATTCTCTATTGAAGAGTTAAACTTACCGCAGATGTTTTCTAAGTTTGTCATATTAGGGTTCGAATAGCCCTCTAACAGTTTGCATAAGATATCTGTAAAGAAAGTGTTCTTACCTGTTCCTTGTTTTCCAATTATGATGAGAGCAGTTTCATTTTTAGCACTTGGATGTTGTAAGATGTTTGCAAACCAACATAAGATATACTCATAGACTCTTTCGTTTCCATTGCATATAATTTCTTTGACATGGTCTAACCAAGCTTCTATAACATTTTCTTTCCATTCTACTTGTTCGTATTTATATCCAGTGAAGATAGAATAGAAGTTTGGAGATGGTGTATAGAACTTTATACCACGAACTGAAAAATCTTCTAACTTTGACAATAAGATATCCCAAGCATCTAACATCTTCATACCAACTTGTACGACTTTTATTTTCTTAAGTTTCTGTCTACATTCTTGTTCAGACACTATGGTTGCTCTTGGTTTGTTAAAGACTACATCCCATTCTTTCATGACATAACATTCTGGGGCAGAGTCAACATAAATGACTAAACGTTTCAAATTCTCGACTGCTTTGTTATAGTCTCTAAATGGACACATATTTCTGAAGGCTTGGAAGTCATAAAAATCTGAAACATCTATTCTGTACATTTTTATAAAAATAAAAAAAATATTTTTTTTATTCTTGACTTTGTTGTTGCATTTGTTCCATTTGTTGCATTTGTTGTTCTTGAGCTATTTGTTGTTGAAGTTGTTCTTGTAATACAATACTTTCACCAGTTGCATCTTCCAATTCGAAACTTTCTGCCGTCATTGACAAATACATAGGACATAAAAGTTTTACAGGAACAAAGTTTGCGTCGACTAAGGTTAAGTTTATGTTTGCTAAAGTGTTTGAGTTTACTAAAGCTGAAAACTCTGCATTCGAATGAACAATAGGCAAACCAGCAGAGAATGTGTTGTTTATACGCATGAGTATCTTTTGGTCATAGTAGTTTCTGTCGACATTCGAATAGCACTTTGAACCTAAGTTTGAAACAATATATAAAATAGGTGTACTTAAAGTCAATGGAACGGATAGACCTTGTATGACACCTTTTCCTGTTATAGGAAACTGTTGGTAGTAAAAACCAGATATAAGTTTTGTATTATAGCTCATATCGTTTATACTAAACTCAGTCGGACATCCAAACATAATGAAACCTGCTCTAGTTGCAGCACATGTTACATCCGTCCTTAAAGTATTAAATAAGTCAACAAAACCTGTTGGTGGTATATCTGAGTAAGTATCTTCAAAGGAGTATTTTTTACCATTCACAACAATAAAATCTTCTGGTGTCAAAAGAGCAAAACAGGCTTTAGTCGTCATTGTGTTTAAGGTTAGTTTACAATATCGTCCTTGAGGACTTTGTAAGTTTGTTGTTATAGAATTATATGACTCAGGGTTTTTAGTCGTAATAGTATAAACCACTATGTCTTCTGCCATTTACTTAGCAAATAAATTTTAATGAAATGTTGTGGTCGTCAAATATTTTTATGACGTCTGGGAAACTATATTTTAAGTTCAACGTTTCACCTCCTTTCATAACGTATATCTTGTCAATGACATTATATGAAACACCACAGCAAGCAATGTCGGGTTCTATTTCTTTGATGTTTATATCGTCTGCCTCTGTCAAAAGTTTCAATAGTTCTTTCAAAATTTCATGAGGTGCGATGACATATGAGTTCACTTTTACAGGGTTGTGTTCGACCAAGTTTAACATTATACCTAAAGCCTGACAAATCTTCTCCTGAGTTTTAAGCTTATCTTTCAGTTGCATGTAGTCGTTTCGAATATCTGCAACAGAACTTAAGTCTCTGCTAACTTCAGGATATGTTGGTTGTTCTTTTACAGGAACTATTGTTATACCATCTTTGTCTTCGTATGGTTTCTCCACTTCAACATCTCTTTCTTTGACATTGACAACAACACTTTGACTGTTTGTTTGAGTTGGTGAATTTAACTTCACATCTGCCACCGCCATTAAACCTTTTGAAACACTTACGCTTCTATTTTTCGGAAATGACATTTTACTTAGAATAAAAAGATGGACGTATTTGAGTATCTCTTCGAATTGAAGCAAAACAAAGTTTACACACACAAACAATACAAATACACTGATAGAATAGTTCTTTATACAAACAATGGAAAATGTTATAGAATAGCAGTCTTTGCTGAACCAAAATATTTTCATAAAGCAGAGAGAGTTGGTATAACTGAAATGGTGAAAGTTCTTGAAGGAGACAAAAATATAACAACAAAACTGACCGATATTTCTAAAGGTAAGTTTATAATACAATACTATGTCAAAACTGGCGTACTGTCAATATTTGACGGAGAGAAGTCAGTTCAAGAACAACTTACTGACCTGCTGCCAAAATCTGCTCGATGGAAGCTGTCGTTATGCCAATCTGTGGAGCCCCAGCAGGTTTCATCGAACGAATCTTCAAAAGAGCATCTTCCGTGAAAAGTGCTATTGGTTTTGTAAACTTCTTTGCTTTCAATTCATCTGGACCGTCTCTGTCACCAGTATATTGTATTTGAACTGTACCAACAGTTGAAATACCACCCATAAAGTCTTCTGAGTCAGCAAATGGAATGCCAAGCCAAAAGTTTGAACGGTCTCCATTTGTATATTGAGTTTTTTGACCTCCTGTATGAGTCCATACTTTCACATATGGCATAATAGAACTTTGCATTTCAGGGTTAATGGTTGTTGTGAAGTTGTTGTTAAAGTTCATAGCATCTAATGTCAAGTTGTATGACCTCATATCCTCAACTGTAGAATATTCTTCTCTTGGATAATATTTGCCATCTATGTTTATATGATATTTAATACCAGGGTTGTAGAAACAAGAATAGTCATTTATAGTTCGTCTGAACAGTACAAACATAGTATCTGCATGTTTCATTGCAGTTGTTAAAGCAATATCTGTTCTTGCACCTGGGTCAGCACTTTGGTTTCCAACTTCACCTGCAAAGTCTTTGACAGATATTTGGTGTATAGGGAACATAAGTGGAACTGCAATATATTTGGCAGCTAAAGCATTTGAAATATCTGGGTCCAACATATAGACTGCAAGTCTGCTTTCTATTCTCTTGCATTCAAACTTTTCGCATGTGAACTTAACTGGGTCCCAAGCAGTTCCAGCAGCATTGAAATAATAGTTTACTTCAGTGTTGAGGTTTGAGAAACCAAAGTCTAAGTCGACTTTGTCTTTGCAAAATTCGGCGAATGACGTTTGATTTGCTCCCTTTACGTCTGTAAGAGTGAATGGGTCTTGTGTTGGTGCAATGACTAAGTTATTTTTGCTTGGAGTAAGTTCGATAGAAATTTTTCCTGCCCAGTTTGGCAAGTATCTTAAAAACCTGAAGATGAGGAAAGATGACAAAGGAACTCTAAGTTTCAGTTTTACTTTGGTTACTGCTGCTGCAGTTTGTCCAGAAAGGTTAACATAAATTCCTGGAACGTTAGGGTCAAGTCTTCTTATTTTCTCAATAGTTGCATACTGGTCTGTTTGTTCTCTAGCTTGTGGTTGTACTGAGTTTCTCAAAGCGAACCATTCATAGTTTGCCCATGTTACTGTTTGGACTAAGTCAGAGTTAGAATATATCTTATATCCCATGAAAACTTCTGGAGCATATTGGTATCCGACATAGAAAATTCCATTGCAACCTTTCTTGTCAGACAACTTGGCAGAAGGTTTTATTTCAATGTCTTGTTCCACGTATAAGAAAGAGTTGTCAATAGAAATAATATGAAACCTGTCGCAAGCAATATCTACTGTTGTTGAAGAACCTTCACCAAACTCACCTACGTTTCCATAAGAAACAGCAGTTGTATATTCGTAAGTTCCAGGAACTATTTCTGACCTTCTAATGGCATTGTCGCATTCGTTATACCATTCGGAAACATTTCCATTCATGGCATCCAAAACTGTTGGCGTTATATTCTGAGCGGCGTACATTTCATATGGGTAAAAATATAGAATAGTTGGATTTATGTGTCATAATAGAACCCACGTGGACTAAGCTTTACTTTCTTCCTGACTGAGTTTTTAACTCTTCTTTTTCCTTCATTGCCACTACTTTCACTAGATGAAGTTACTTCTTCGTCAATGTTTTGTAAAGACTTTCTCATGAACTTCTTCGTCAATGTTTTATTGAGACTTTGTCATGAACTTCTTCGTCAATGTTTTGTAAAGACTTTGTCATGAACTTTCTTGTCTATGTTTTGTTGAGACTTTGTCATGAACTTCTTCGTCAATGTTTTGTAAAGACTTTGTCATGAACTTCTTCGTCAATGTTTTATTGAGACTTTGTCATGAACTTCTTCGTCAATGTTTTGTAAAGACTTTGTCATGAACTTTCTTGTCTATGTTTTGTTGAGACTTTCTCATGAACTTTCTTGTCTATGTTTTGTAAAGACTTTGTCATGAACTTTCTTGTCTATGTTTTGTAAAGACTTTGTCATGAACTTCTTCGTCAATGTTTTGTAAAGACTTTGTCATGAACTTCTTCGTCAATGTTTTGTAAAGACTTTGTCATGAACTTCTTCGTCAATGTTTTGTAAAGACTTTGTCATGAACTTTCTTGTCTATGTTTTGTAAAGACTTTGTCATGAACTTTCTTGTCTATGTTTTGTTGAGACTTTCTCATGAACTTTCTTGTCAATGTTTTGTAAAGACTTTGTCATGAACTTCTTCGTCAATGTTTTGTAAAGACTTTCTCATGAACTTTCTTGTCAATGTTTTGTAAAGACTTTGTCATGAACTTCTTCGTCAATGTTTTGTAAAGACTTTGTCATGAACTTCTTCGTCAATGTTTTGTAAAGACTTTGTCATGAACTTTCTTGTCAATGTTTTGTAAAGACTTTGTCATGAACTTCTTCGTCAATGTTTTGTTGAGACTTTCTCATGAACTTTCTTGTCAATGTTTTGTAAAGACTTTCTCATGAACTTTCTTGTCTATGTTTTGTCAAAACTTTCTTGTCTATGTTTTCTCATGAACTTTCTTGTCTATGTTTTGTAAAGACTTTGTCATGAACTTCTTCGTCAATGTTTTGTAAAGACTTTCTCATGAACTTTCTTGTCTATGTTTTGTAAAGACTTTGTCATGAACTTTCTTGTCTATGTTTTGTTGAGACTTTCTCATGAACTTTCTTGTCTATGTTTTGTAAAGACTTTGTCATGAACTTTCTTGTCTATGTTTTGTTGAGACTTTCTCATGAACTTCTTCGTCAATGTTTTGTAAAGACTTTGTCATGAACTTCTTCGTCAATGTTTTGTAAAGACTTTGTCATGAACTTTCTTGTCTATGTTTTGTAAAGACTTTGTCATGAACTTTCTTGTCTATGTTTTGTTGAGACTTTCTCATGAACTTTCTTGTCTATGTTTTGTAAAGACTTTGTCATGAACTTTCTTGTCTATGTTTTGTAAAGACTTTGTCATGAACTTCTTCGTCAATGTTTTGTAAAGACTTTGTCATGAACTTCTTCGTCAATGTTTTGTAAAGACTTTGTCATGAACTTCTTCGTCAATGTTTTGTAAAGACTTTCTCATGAACTTTCTTGTCTATGTTTTGTAAAGACTTTGTCATGAACTTTCTTGTCTATGTTTTGTTGAGACTTTCTCATGAACTTTCTTGTCAATGTTTTGTAAAGACTTTGTCATGAACTTCTTCGTCAATGTTTTGTAAAGACTTTCTCATGAACTTTCTTGTCAATGTTTTGTAAAGACTTTGTCATGAACTTCTTCGTCAATGTTTTGTAAAGACTTTGTCATGAACTTCTTCGTCAATGTTTTGTAAAGACTTTCTCATGAACTTTCTTGTCAATGTTTTGTAAAGACTTTGTCATGAACTTCTTCGTCAATGTTTTGTAAAGACTTTGTCATGAACTTCTTCGTCAATGTTTTGTAAAGACTTTCTCATGAACTTTCTTGTCTATGTTTTGTCAAAACTTTCTTGTCTATGTTTTCTCATGAACTTTCTTGTCTATGTTTTGTAAAGACTTTGTCATGAACTTTCTTGTCTATGTTTTGTAAAGACTTTGTCATGAACTTCTTCGTCAATGTTTTGTAAAGACTTTGTCATGAACTTTCTTGTCTATGTTTTGTCAAAACTTTCTTGTCTATGTTTTCTCATGAACTTTCTTGTCTATGTTTTGTAAAGACTTTGTCATGAACTTCTTCGTCAATGTTTTGTAAAGACTTTCTCATGAACTTTCTTGTCTATGTTTTGTAAAGACTTTGTCATGAACTTTCTTGTCTATGTTTTGTTGAGACTTTGTCATGAACTTTCTTGTCTATGTTTTCTCATGAACTTTCTTGTCTATGTTTTCTCATGAACTTTCTTGTCTATGTTTTGTCAAAACTTTCTTGTCTATGTTTTGTCATGAACTTTCTTGTCTATGTTTTCTCATGAACTTTCTTGTCTATGTTTTGTCAAAACTTTCTTGTCTATGTTTTGTCATAGTTTGTATTTGAGTCTTCGCTTATTGTTTGCATGACTCTTTCCTGAGTTTCCTTCAGGCTCTTCTAGCTGTTGTTGCTGAACTATTTCTTCCATGTCTGGTTGTATCTGAACTTCTTCCTGTTGAGTTTCTTGTACCTCATCTGCTGGCATTTCATATATTCCGAGACCGTTTTTAACAAGTTCCCTATCTAAGTCATCCGGACTCATAAGCCTTTCTTCTTTCGTTCCGTCTCTATATTCTGCGCTTTTCATTGCCTTTTGCATGGCTGCGTCGTTATTTTTACTTTCTTGTGCTAAGTTTTCATACTGTACGGTTTGGTTTTGCAACTGTAAAAGTTTTTCTGCCTTTACATTTGCTTCAACTTCTTTTTTATACTCATCGCTATCCATATATGTCTTCAGGGCTTTTTGTTTTATCTCTTCATCTTTCAGTACTTTATATTGAGTAGTATGGTTTTTCAAATTTATGACATCTTGTTCCATTTTTGCTACTTCTGCTGCTTTTTCTGACACTTTTTTCGCATATTGCTCTGTACTTAGTTCTTTCAGTTGTTCTTCTTTCTTCTTTTTCTCTACGTTTAACTCATTGAGTTTCTTTGTGTGTCTGTCATATTCTAGTTTCTTTTCGTTTTCACCTATTTGTCTCTGTATGTCTATGTTTGACTTTTTGACATCTGCTATTTGATTTTTGAGTGAACTCAAATTCATTTGACTTTGAGGGTTATAGGCTGTTCCGTCTGCAGCTCCACCATAGCCTGCCATTTTCGCTAAAAGTGCCGCTCTTAAACCTCCACTCTGTGCACCAATGACTCGGTTTAAAAGCATAGGATTGCTTGACATTTGTTGCAACATAGTGGGGTCATTCAGCATTTGTTGTTGCAACTGTTGTTGTGGTGTCAGTCTTACTATTGGATGTTTCAATGCTCTCTTCCTCTTACGTATATTCTTACGTAGCTTACGTGGCATTTTAAGTGAAGTTAAAAAGCGGCTTTTGACAGATGTTTATATGACACTTTCTCCGGTTTATAGGACCTCTCTCATATTCTATCTAAAACTCATAGTCATGGATGTCCTCTAACCATCTCATAACGGTTTCCAAACCACTTTTATCGGATGTAAAGTAAAAACATGGATGGTTATGTACAACGTCTAAAGTTTCTAAAGAGTCTCTCAAAGTCCAGTCTACTTGGAACACACGTAACTTTTCTGTAGCGACGATAGACCCTTACTTGTCCGGACAACAGTTATACTATTTTGAGTTCTCTACAAAAATTTTAGGGGCTAGAAGGCACGAAGTGCCTGGAAGGCCCCCTTACCCAAAAAAACCTCATTTTATACTAAACTCATTTTATACTAACATCTTCGGGGCTAGAGGGCACGAAGTGCCTGGAGGCCCCACTACCTTTTTTTTTTTTTTTTATTATACTTTCAAAACTGTCGCATTTTGAGAAACACGTGTAATCTCATATGAATTTGAATAAAATTGTATTATGAGGTGCGGAATTACATATGGTTCGTTTCTTTTTGTATATATATGACTGTGATCATCAAATACAGATTTAGAAAAAAATATTACCCAGATTTTCCTTACTTTTACCACCCCTCTAAAGCTGGGGACACCGCCTATCGTTGGGTGTAGCTATTAAATAGAACCACCAAGGGTATTTTTCGAGCTGATGGTGTAGTGTAGTGGAACCATCTGACATGATGATTCATTATGCCAAGGTTTGATTCCCATTTAGCCTTTTTTTTTCTTTTTTGGATCATGAATTTTTTTTTGGGTCACTATAAGATTTGTTTCATGTTCTAAATCTGCTGCATATGTAATCTATTTTTATTTACCTATTTTTTAAAAATCTATTGGATTGCCAAATTTGAATATATTTAAAATCATAAAACTCCAAAAAAACTATAAATATATGTTTTATGCATAGTGCCGATACTCGAATATCAGATTACTTAGATCCATGAATAATATCCGAATTTTTTTTCTTAAAATTAAACTTCAAAATTTCTTGCAATCTTATTCTTAATCAATTGTAAATTTTTAAAACCATTTTTTAAAATAATTTTGCGTAAATTTTATTCTCATGTTGTTTTAATCGAAAATTGATACATTTTCAAAAAAATAATATTGACTTATGAAATTCATTTTTAAGGTGAAATAGTATTGTTTTTATTAAAGTATATAAATAATATATAAAAAATTAATGAATAATATAAGCAGATTTTTAGTTTACAAAACAAATATGAGCAATGCAATTTCAAACTTTTGCTGGCAATTTCGATATTGCTCAAGTTTGTAGTATTTGTGATACCTATAACATCGGCTTAATCAAAATTCGATTTTTCTTATGAGTTATTGAGAAAATTTGATTGCAATGAGAAGGATTTCGACGTTTTTGATAAACTAAGAGCTGAGCTTTAGGGGTTCAGTTCATTTATGGCTGTAGTTTGATGCGTAGATCTCTTTTTTATTGTAAATTCTTTCAGCATGGAGATCGAGAATGAATCTTTTGAGAACTTTATGAGTTTTTACACCCGTAAAGAGGTCCTTCGAGGAAAGATAGTCCAGACTACATGAAGATGTGGGTTAACCAAAAAAATCCGATGGTTTCCCCATATTCATGTAGATCTTCGAAAAAATGAGCACCAAAAAAGCCAAAAAAATAGACTTTTTATTGGATTTGTACACTAGATCAATAATCTATTTAGGATCTGACACTCTTTTTAGCCAGAGATATGAGGTCCTTTCTAGGAAAACGATCTATTCATCCATAAAAAAATGAATTATCGTTTTCCCCAGAAATTACATGGGGAGTGGTAAAAGTAAGGAAAATCTGGGTAGTATAAATTTGTTTTTACTTTTATTTCGAAAAAGTAACAATAATCGTAAAAGGGTATTGATAGGCTTGCTAAAGTAACTAATTTTAGCTGTCAAATACTTTTGTATTTTGAAGTAAATTAGTATAAATTTGTTTTTACTTTTATTTCGAAAAAGTAACAATAATCGTAAAAGGGTATTGATAGGCTTGCTAAAGTAACTAATTTTAGCTGTCAAATACTTTTGTATTTTGAAGTAAATTAGTATAAATTTGATATTATTTTAACTCCCTTTGAAAACCTCAATTTTCCATACAGAGGGAACGGGAATAGCATCCAATATTCCCTGAGAATGGTTGCGCATTCTCAGTTCCCTCTATATTTCGAACGAAGCTCTCATCGGTCTTTTTTTTTAATACTAAACGTTTTTTTTCCCTGTCACTTTTAGCTAAAATTTGGGTTTGCCGAAAATGAATAGAACAAGTATTTATTTACGATTTAATAAAAAATTATATGAACAACAACTTAATTTGATCTTCATCGATATCGAAATTAGTAAGTACATTGGTCCAAAAGTCTTCATTATGTTGCTTTTGAGTGTTAGGTGGTGTTTCAGGAGCTGGTTCTTCTACTCGGTATCTTGGGTCATTTTTCCTGACAAGCTGTTTGTGACGTATTTTTACTTGATCACCAGATCTGTTTTTAAGGAACTTTGCAATTATAGCCCATTTATTTCCATATATTTTGTATGATTCAAGAATTAACTTGTCCTCGTTTTTGGTCCATTCATCGCGATTTTGACTTAAAAAGCCTTTAAAACGTTCGAAAATAGCACGTCTGGTGTGAGTCCTACGAAATCTTTTCTCAAGAATATCTAATGCCCTCTTTGTATTCTCTTTTTGCCTCTTAAACACTGCAATTATCTTATCATCTTCTTCTTTGGAAAAGCGATGTATCTCTCTCTTGGACATTCCAGAATTTAAACCAAATAAACAAATGACTTCACAAATTGAAGTATTCAATTTTTTTGAAAAGAATCAGTGTTTTTTTTCCATCAACTTTTATGATGTAGATTAGAAATACTTGAGTCAGTTTGATGTCAGATTGAATTTATATTTTCGAAAACATCTGAATTTTGTTTGTAATAATATAGTATATAGTTTTGTGAAAAAATCGGTAGGAGTTAAAAAACTTCAATTTAATTCAAAAATCTGACTTAAAATGAAATAAGTGAAACAAGACTGAATAATATAGAGTTAAATATTATATATAAAATATTTGTTTGAAAAGGACAGTATTTTTTTGAAATAATATTTCAGGGTTGTGTATTATTACATAAATAAAAGTTGATATTGAGTAAATAATATTTATCACAATCGATGTGCTTTCAATTTTTGAATGCACCGATATTAGTCGAATTTAATATATGCGATAGGTGTAACACTACTGTTCAATAATTATCAAAATAAAAATAAACATCAGAAAATTCAATTTTTCAATATTTATTAAATTGTATATAATTCAATTTATTAACGTTTGATTGCTCCAAAATAAGATTAAAACTTAATAATATTCTAATTCACAATTATTGTTCGATATTCTGAATGAGTGGTTTTTTCAATTCTCTCAAAAGTCGATTTCGAATTTATTCCGCAATTAAAATTTGTAACCTCATAACATTCATATTTATTTGCAAAAGAGAAAAATATATATTAAGGGTGCGCCCGGGAGGATCATGTAAACTTCAGAATTTAGAACTTTAATTTTTCAGCAATTACTTGGTCCCTAAATAGGTAGTAAAACTCTCAAAATATCAAAAAGTACAACTTGGCTCCATAATAATCCTGTCATGGTGGCAGTTTGTATTCCCTAGTATTTTCCTCTTGAATCTCTTTTTCTGTCGAAATTAAATTCAAATCTCAGAAGTAGAAGTGAATGATCGACTTATTGCTGCTATTATACGAATAAACAAATACATTATATTATTTTTATTTACATAATATCTGTTTGAAGTTCATAATTCTATAAATTTTTCTTCAAAAACATTACAATCTTGATAGTTTTGATAATGTTTAATAGGTTTTTGGCACCTTATTTAGTAATTACAACGTATCGAGTCGATCTGAACTTAATTTTCGGAAATTTAAAATATTTATCATAAGTAAAATCTGATTTGAAATTTATGTTTAATTGTTGCATGCTAAGATCAGTCATAATGTAAACCTCTCAATTTTATTGTCGTGGGAAGTATCTCAATTCCTTCAAAAAAATTGAAAAACTATTTAATTTTAAAAATATAATACTTTTAATTAGTTAATTAATTGGAGATATTTTTTTAAAAAATCACTTTTGATAATACTTTTGAGAACTTTAATTAAAAAACTATATTCAAAAATATCCAGGATATCAAGAGGGAATTGTTCCTTATGAGGTATATAGTTATGATGTATACCTCATAAGGAACAATTCCCTCCTTAAAACGAGAAAACTTGTTCGAAATGATAAACAATTTCGAACAAGTTTTCTCGTTTTTAATAACAAACTAAAGGCTATGAGGCACTGATTATATATTAGTGCCTCACAGCCTTTAGTTTCTAATAGATAGCTGGGAAACTTTCTCCAAATGATAAGTTATTCAGAGAAAGTTTCCCAGCTATCAAGAGGGAATTGTTCCTTATGAGGTATATAGTTATTATGTATACCTCATAAGGAACAATTCCCTCCTTAAAATCGTAGACATTTTTATACTTATTAATCAACCATTCAAAATCATATTCCTCTGAAAAGTTATTTTATTAAAAATTTAGAATTTTAATAAATATAGAGTTTGAATTTCATACAATACCTATATATTTTCAATAATGGAATTTGAAAACCATTCTCAAAAGTTCTCAGAAAACCTTTTTTTCATTAATTTTAAGAAATCTGAGTATTAAATTAAGTGATAAATTCGTTTGACACTACTTTAATTTTTAAATTCAAAAAATTATATATGCTTCTTAAAATGACTCAAAAAAATTTATTATAAAATAATATATAATATTAAAAATCCCACAACATTTTTTTACTTTACATAATCGTACTTCTTCGACGATTAATTTTCACTCAATTTCTATCGTTGACCGAACTTAGCATGCAACATAATTACTATATTTTGCATAATCCTAAGTAGCTTTTGTAAAAATTCATCAAAAAAATTTTAACGTGCTTTAATTTTTTATTTTTTAAAATAATACATATTATTATATAACTAGAATATTTACAAAATTTACTGCTTTCAAAAATTTAATCCTCCTCCTCTCAAATAAACGTATATCCGGGTGGCCTGTTTTTTGCAAAAAATAAAATTTCATTTTTTTATGCTTAAAAAGTCAGAATTTTTATTTGCTTCTGGGATATATGATGGCTATATCAGACGCCCATTCTTTTTGATACTCAACATTAAACATAAAACTTAGCCGTTAAGGCTCTTCTGAAAATATTTTTTTTCGAAAAATTTGCGAAAAAAATCAAAAAATTTAAAAATCCCCGAATCTAGGGATGCGACGGTTTTACGCCATGACCGTTTAAAAATAGAATAATACGCCATTTTTGGGGCCGAATGGCGGGTACGAAGTAGCCGCCATTCGGCCGAATAACAAAACAATACAAAATTATCGCCGTCCTTTTTATTTTTTTCTTTCTTTCTCTTTTTTTTCCTCTCTCTCTCTCTTTCTTTTCTCTTTCCTCTTTTTACTCCTCTTTCTCTTTTCATCATTAAACGTAGAAAGATATATTAATATTATTTTAAAATTAAAAAAAAATAAAGAAAGTATAATAAGTAATTATTTAGTTATCGATATATATATGTAAAGTGATAATCTGAGGATAATCTGAGGAGGAGTCTGAGGATTAGACCGAGGAGTAGTCTGAGGAGTTTGAGGAGTAGTCTGAGGAGTTTGAGGATAATCTGAGGAGGAGTTTGAGGAGTATTCTGAGGAGTCTGAGGATAATCTGAGGAGTTTGAGGATAATCTGAGGAGTTTGAGGAGTAGTTTCAGGAGTTGTCTGAGGATAATCTGAGGAGTTTGAGGAGTAGTCTGAGGAGTCTGAGGATAATCTGAGGAGGAGTTTGAGGAGTAGTCTGAGGAGTCTGAGGATAATCTGAGGAGTTTGAGGATAATCTGAGGAGTTTGAGGATAATCTGAGGAGTTTGAGGAGTAGTCTGAGGAGTTTGAGGATAATCTGAGGAGTTTGCGGAGTAGTCTGAGGAGTTTGAGGATAATCTGAGGAGTTGTCTGAGGAGTAGTTTCAGGAGTTGTCTGAGGATAATCTGAGGAGTTTGAGGATAATCTGAGGAGTAGTCTGAGGATAATCTGAGGAGGAGTCTGAGGATTAGTTTCAGGAGTTGTCTGAGGATAATTTGAGGAGTTTGAGGATAATCTGAGGAGTAGTCTGAGGATAATCTGAGGAGGAGTCTGAGGATTAGACTGAGGAGTAGTTTGAGGAGTCTGAGGAGGAGTCTGAGGATAATCTGAGGAGTAGTTTGAGGATAATCTGAGGAGGAGTCTGAGGATAATCTGAGGAGTAGTTTGAGGATAATCTGAGGAGGAGTCTGAGGATTAGACCGAGGAGTAGTTTGAGGATAATCTGAGGAGGAGTCTGAGGATAATCTGAGGAGTAGTTTCAGGAGTAGTCTGAGGACTAGTCTGAGGATAATCTGAGGAGGAGTTTGAGGATAATCTGAGGAGGGGTCTGAGGATAATCTGAGGAGGAGTCTGAGGAGTTTGAGGAATAGTCTGAGGAGTTTGAGGATAATCTGAGGAGGAGTCTGCGGATAATCTGAGGAGTAGTTTCAGGAGTAGTCTGAGGACTAGTCTGATGAGGAGGACTCTAAGGAGTAGTCTGAAGAGTAGTCTCAGGAGGAAGATCTGAGGAGGAGTCTTATGAGGAAGATCTGAGGAGTAGTCTGATGAGGAGGGGTCTAAGGAGTAGTCTGAGGATGATGAGTAATCTGATAAGGAGTAGTCTGAGGATGATCTGAGGATAACCTGATGACTAGTCTAGGAGTGGTCTAATAAAAATGTAAAATATTTTCAAAGAAAAAATTCTATGAATTTTATATTTTAATTCTTAGCATTATACTGAATAAAATAAACACAAATATCAAAATTTGAAATTGAACACGCCAAAAAATTGATAATCCACATTCAATATTTTGTAAGTGGCGTACTTTTTGAATACTCGCCATACGCCTTGGAGTTCTCAATTTTGAATTCGCCTTTATTTGGGCGACCTCAGAAAAATACGCCATTAAGAAAATATTGTATGAGATTTTAAATTTGAACACGCTCTACCTTAAGGAATTAAATTTATTAAGATATATTTATATATAATAAACGATTACTTAAAAAAAAGTATTTCATCGCTTATGTAAGTTTCAAAAAAATCACGAAAATAAAAAAATCAAGATTAAAATTTTATTTTTAATTTTTGAATTTCTCAAATGGCGAAATTTTTGGGCGAACAAAAAAAATGTACGCCCGGTCAAATGGCGTGTTTAACGCATCCCTACCCGAATCTGCAGGGATTTTAAAAAATTCTTTTTAGTAAAACTTAAGGATATTGTATCAGATATATTGGTATGGGCAAATTTAATTTTAATACAATATTCATCGAGATATTGCGCTAACGAAGCGTTCAAAATTGAGAGGGTAATCCTCCTACTCTCAAATAAACGTACATGCGGGTGCACCCTTAACATTCATTTAATTTACAATCCATTCAATTTAATTACTCGATATTTGTTAAATATACTTAATAGTAATATGCATGTCTTCTCTAAATTTCATATTATATATCTTCATTCAAAAATATTCACCTAGTGTCGAGTCATTAAGTCTCGGATTTTTGTCATGTAAATTGTCAGAATGGACCATGATTCGAATAATCCTTCTCATAATAATTCAGAAACGGACCCAGATAAGGATTCAGCTCGGGTAAATAAAAATGATATGAGAGATTCAGAAACATCTGAAAAATTGGATCCCAAATTAATCTCTAATTTGGTTACCGAAATTAATGAGGAAACGGAAAATAATGAACCGGAAATCGCTATACACACAAATTCCATACCTTCAGTTTCTCCTTTAATTAATGATAATTCTTCTAATAAAATATCTATTAAACTTGATGAAGAAAATGATCAAGAACCTAAGCATGACAATTCTGATTTGCAAAACATGCAACTTAACACAGCCAATGATAATCCAACAAATGTTTTATTGCCTAAATTTGAGGAGCCAATAACAAAAAACTTGGATGCACAACCACAAGACTCACAAAATGCTGAACCAGTCGAGCAGTTTATATTAAACCAAAATTCCCAAAATATTTCACAAGAAAATAATGAAATCCCATCAACTGAAGTAAATTCTCAAAATACCTCAACTGATTTATCTGAAAATAAACAGCAACATACTACAAATGAAGTTGATGAATTAAATCTCAAAAATATTATTGATAATTCTAAAATTATTCAAAATGAAGACATAAAAGTAGTAGATAATCAATCCTCTGATGATAAAGAATCTTCCAGATCATCCCAGTCTTCTTCAAGTTCATCTTCAAAAAATTCCAAATCTTCTCTTTCAAAACGAAGCGAAGGTCGTAATAATGCATTGCCAGTCCTTTTTATGCCATCCTCCAAAGAAAAAACTAATGAAAATTCAACTTTTTTAACTTCACTAAATTTAGGACAATCGATCCGGCCAAATAAAGAGCTGGTAAAAGATGCTTATGAGAGGTTTATAAAATACGGGGAACTCCCTTCTCCAGACCTTCGCGATGGTGTCATTCAGTATATTAATCACAAAAAAGTTGATGCTTTATGCGAAAGTGACTACGATCAAGCTGAGATGTGTGATGAGCAAATGATGGAGTTCACCAAATTGATAAATCAAGAAAACTGTGCAAGATCAAACGAAGATCGTGCGAGAATTGTTGAATTCAGGCTTAACAGACTTAATGAAGAACGTATGGAGCTAGAAAGACAATGGAATCACAAGATTGAAAGGCAACAACAAGCAAATCAAAGAAGAATTGAAAAACTTGAAGAAAAACATGAAAAAGAATTAGAAGACTTCAGAGAAAAATGGAAAAGTAATGATTATCTTAAACAGTTCAATAAATCATCTCCAAAACTTCTTCAACTGAGATATCAAGAAAAACAACTTGCAATTTCAAGAAGATACACAGATGCAAAAGAAATCAAGCGTATTGCTGATAAGTTACAAGTTGAAGAAGAGAAACAAATGCAAATTGCAATAGAAAAGAAAATTTCAATTGAATTTTCGAAATTAAATGAGAAACAACAAAAAGAAATCGAATCCGCAAATGACCATAATGATAAAATAATTACTCAGCTTCAACTACAGAAAATAAAAGACTTAAAACCATATGAACAACAATTAAAGAGCAAAAACCAAAAGAAAGCAGCTTCTGCCACAAAATTTGGTTCATCATACTACTCAATCTCACCAATGGCTGCTATTTCTACTCCTAGAACTCTTTCAAGATTTGCAAAATACAAAACATCGAAATGTTCCAACTTAAACGTCAAATCTCTTGACAATGACCAGATAAATAAGATGTCTACTGATAATTGGTCTCCTTCTCAGTCCAATCCAAGAAAAACAAGTCATTCTGTCACTAGAAAAATTTCATCCCCTAATAAATATTATTAAAAACTGTTTTTGTTTGTATGAATAAATAGATTTTTGTAATATTAGTTATTTCTAAATATGAGTTCTTTACATTTGTTTAAAACTAAGTAATATCTCATTTCATATTCAAAAATAGATTAGATTCATATATAATGTAATAGCAATATTTAACATTTGTCTAGAAATAAAATGTTTGATAGCAACAAGATCCTTATTAACAAAAGATTGATTGAATTCATAATTAAATTAATGGATAAACATCAAAAATATTGTGAAAAATTATAGAATACAACGTAATGATTTCAATCGATTTAGAAAAGGCTTTGATAAACTGCTCAATATTGAGAAAAAATTACTAACGACGATTATGAATTTTCGTTTTAAATTTTTTTATATGACTGAATTAGAACCAACAGAGAACCGTTTAGACTGGGCAAGCCACAGAACACAAGATCCTACAGGTCTTGTGAAGATACGTATCGAACTTGAAAGGATGGGTGTCACTGAGAATCAGCAACCTCAACCAGTTCAAGAGCCAGAAGCACCTAAAAATCCAGAAGAAGAGGATGCAAAGGATGGAAAGCCATTAGAAGATCTTATTGATACAAGTGAAGTCAAGATTACATGCGATATTGACTGGCAACAAAAAATATTCAGTCCAACAGAAGTTAAAAACGCTATTAATGGTACACCAATTAGCGACAATCCATCATTAGCAAATAAATATCATGATCAAATCATAAAACGCCGTCAAGAAAATGATTCATATTCAGGCAACGAAATCTTTACAAAAGTAGCAGAAGATCGTTATATTGATCCTTCTGAAATTGATACACCATTTTACAATCCAGTAGGAGAACGTGATCCAAATGAATTAGCAGAAGCAGTTCTTCAAGGTAAAGGTCATGAAGAAATGGTAGAAGTAGTCCGTCTTAATGCTCAGACTATGCATATTTTTGCATCAATTCCATGCAGAAATGGCACAGTTCATGAAGAATTACTCGGTATTATTCGTGTTTTCCCTGGAGGAAGAATAGATGTTCGCCCTCCATTCTCCAACAAATGCAATCGTGAATACAGATTCTTTACTCCATCAAGCGAAATCGTTCGTTACAGATTCAACGTTATTGAAAACGCCGTTGAATCAGAAACACCTTTCGAGCATACATTACTCTCAGATATCAAGCGCCGTCGTGCAATCTTCGAGGCCGGCCAAGCAGATTCTTCTCTTGCACAAGCACCTGATCCACCAGGAACAGTTCGCATGTTTTACAGAGGTGAAATTGCCAGAGCAATCATGGACACAGCGCCAGGAGTAGCTGTTGAATACCAGCTTCGTCTTCCTCCAGGATGGGCCAATGAAGAAACAGGTATTCCTGTTCAAGGATGCAGTCAATACTCTCTTTGTGATGAAAACGGTGTTTCCGCTATCAATTTACCAATTGATTTAGTCGCAAGAGCAGAGACACAGACAGCTCCTACATTGTACTTGACATTGCACTCATATACACCAGACGGTGCTCGCATTGTCGAAGGATATGGACAATGTGCACTTCCAATGAGTCGTGGTTGCCATGAGATTGAAGTTCCTGTTTGGAGAATAAGAGGAAGAGTTTCAGAAGAATTAAGATTGATGTTCTTGGATTCGGGTTTAGAACAGCAGGCACCTGTTGAACAGACAGAAGATGACAAATTCGGTGCTTTGACAGCAGATACTGTTTATAATAGATTCGGATTGAGAACAGTTGGTGCTGGAAAAGTTATTGTCAGATTCAATTTGGCAATGCAGTCATCTCTGTTTGGAAGAAGGCCACAGACTAATATGGCTGGAACTATGTCTATGTTAGGATCTTCTCAACCTTCTAGAATGTCAACAATCGCAAGTAGATTAACAGATAACAAATAATTTCTTATTATTATATATTTTATTTTTTATTAATGTTGCAAAATTAAATCAAATGTCATTTAAATATTGTTATACAAATATTGCTTTCTATATATGAAGTAGTTACTATACAGTTTGTACTTGAAACAAAATTTGATTAATTAATTGTTTCAAGTTGGAAATGAATGGTTGGTAATATCTATTTTCGCTACATTGCTTATTTGAATATCTTTTATATTGATTTATATGCACGGATTCTTTAGTTTCAATCTTAAATCTCTAGCAAATGATTCAAAATTGAATGATTTTAACATAAATGCTTCATTGTAATCTTCCAAGTTTGTATGATATATTCTTTAACAATCATAAAGAATATCTGACTCGTAAACTAATCTTTGTCAGAAAAATATTCAAATGAGCTATGAAATAGATTTCCTTATCGGAAAGGTTACAGGTGGGTGCATCATTGGACTCGATGGAGGTATTTGGGCATCGACACCTGGATTTTATGGATCAACGGCAGAATTTTCTCATTTCAAAGATGCGTTTGATCCACAGAGTGAAATGATCTTTAAAGGCATAGTATTTCTAGGCGAAACATATGTTGTTACAGATATTAATCCAGAATACGTCGTTGCAAAGAAAGGCGCAAATAGTTTAGTTATTGTTAAAAGGCCAACTTGCATTGTATTAGGATACAATGACGACCAAATAAAGTTTGAAACATGTTTCAATGCCGTCACAAAGTTAGCTCAATCACTTCCGGAATTAAAATAATAAATTTTGTTTTGAATACATACCATTGATTTCAATAAACTGTCGATACTATTACAGAAAGATTTTTACATTGAGTTTCTATTAATCCCAAAAATAATTTTTTATTGAAGTACTCTCATTGAGCCTAATCTCATTACTTCAAAATTCTTTTGATATAAATGACTTCTTCCTGATCTTATATCTGTATTGACCTTTATAACGAAATTCGTATTCAATAACGGAGAATGGTGTAAGTAAACACTGGCAGTAAACGGCAATGTTTATACCTATATAATCTAAAGGTAATGCGTATATTTGACTTTTAAATTTTTTCATGAGTGATCATGACATTTATCCAAATAAATTCAATGAATTACGAAGTATCTATAAATACTATATCGACTCATATAATGCATTATATCGGCTGAATACTGAAAACGAAGAAAAATTAATGTCGATTTACAAAAAGATCAAAACAAAATTGATTGATCCAGAGAATTATCTGCCCAAAAACATTATAAGAGACATTTTAAATATCAGCATGTTGCGATTATGCTATAAAAAATCATATTTATTTCTTGCTAAACTTATATATGATGATTATAATGTAGAAGAGGTTAGTAATGCTAATATTACTTTAAGGTTCCTATTTTATAAAGAATATGGCATTAAATTAGTAAAATCTGATGATTTCGAACAAGAGAAAATTAAAAATTTCGAAATTCAATCAGAAAGTACAATATACAGAGCAATCATGTATAATGACCTAGAAAAATTCATCACCATCACGGAAACAGATGGATTTGATAAAGATCAAATTCTTGATAGTCAAAACCTCTTATCTTTACTTGAATTATGTTGTCACTATGGAGCAGTAGATTGTTTCAAGTTATTAAGAACGAAATTTAACTCAGAAATAACTCCAACATGTGTACGATATTCATTTTTAGGTGGAAATCCAGAGATCACAAGTGAATGTTTGAAATACCAAAAACCAGATAAATATTGCATGAAATATTTCACACAACATTGATTTTGTTACATTCTTGATGAATGAATACGATATAGAGATCGATTTACCTCAATGTGGAGCTTATATTAATCTTGAAGCACTATTAGTTTATTTTGATCGAGCAAATGAAATTAACAGATGCTTTATTACTTCCGCTATGTTCAATATTCCATCACTTTGTGAATATTTCCTTTCACAAGGTGCAAACATCAATGAAATATATTATCATCGAACTGCTCTTCATAATGCAGCAATAAATAATAGTAAAGCAACAGTCGAGTTCCTTCTTTCCCATGGGGCCAAAATCAATAAAAAAGATATAGATGGAGGAACTCCTCTTCATCTTACAGCATTTAATAATTGTACTGAAACGGCTGAACTTCTTCTTTTACATGGCGCAAATATCAGTGAAAAAGATTATTATGGTCATACCACTCTTCATCATGCTGCAGGAAGTAATAGTAAAGAAATAGCTGAATTTTTTATTTCACATGGTGCAAATATTCATGAAATAAGTAATTGTGGAAATACTCCTCTTTATCAAGCAGCAGGAAGTAATAATAAAGAAACAATTGAACTTCTTATTTCTCATGGTGCAAATATCAATCAAAAATGTGTCTTTGGAGAAACTGCTCTTCATCATGCATCACGAAGTAATAGTAAAGAAATAGTCGAACTTCTAATTTCAAATGGTGCAAATATAAATGAAATAAGTAATTATGAAAAAACCGCGCTTCATTATGCGGCAGAAACTAATAGTAAAGAAGCAGTCGAACTTCTTATTTCAAATGGCGCAAATATCAATGTTAAAGCTAAAGATGGAAGAACACCGCTTAGTAATGCATTAGGAAATAATAGAAAAGAAACTGCTGAAGTTCTTATTTCACATGGTGCAAATATCAATGAAAAAGATAATCATGGGCGAACCGCTCTTCATCATGCATCAAAGAAAAATTATACAGAAACAGCCGAACTTCTTATTTCACATGGTGCAAATATCAGTGATAAAAATAAAGATGGATATACTGCTCTTCATTTAGCAGATAAAAATAATTGTAAAGAAACTGCAGAACTTCTTATTGCATATGGTGCAAGAATATAACGTTCTTGCATAAGATGCTTCTCTTTCTTTATAAGGATGCAAAAAGTATATTACTTTACAAATGTTGGATAAAATATCCTAAATCATTAAAAAATATTTTAAAAAAATTGAAAATATCTTATTAAAAAGTTGTTAAAATGTTAAACAATTATTGAGGAAAATAATAGCATGATTTGTTATGAGCTGAAGATTAATTCGCTCAAATTACAGTATGTATAACTTCAAGAATGAGTTAAAGAGACCAAAAGTAGAGTTGAGATCTGATCATTAGATATCGAATTTGCAAGATATTATAATTACTTAGTTAATTATTAATAATTAATTGACAGTTTAACATTTATTATAAATTCAAACCGATCAAATATATTTAATATTACCAATAGGACAGCGATATGTATAAAAAGTAAGGTGTGGATAATTCGATGGAATCTCTCCAAGCATGAAAGTGAGTTATATGGGTATAATTTGAGTCATTCATTATACGCATCTGATCTGAGATAAATGCATTCTATCTATGTGCTGATTCAAGGGAAACACCTGAAATTACAAATCTCTGAAAAGCAATATTTGAGCAATCTGATCCGAGAGCTATGTTTATTATTATCTTATACAAGTTCGTAATCTTAATTATTCATAATTATGTTATCGTGTCTTTCTGGTTTCAGTTATCCTCCTGACGTTATTTCTCAATTTGAATAGTATTCAATTTGTGAATGAACAGCGATGATGAAGCTGTTACTATAGATATAGAGGCACAGAGTCCCCCTAAATCGCCACCAAGATCTCCAAATACTAAGTCAAATAATTTAGATCCATTTAGTTTTTATTCCAAAGGAAATTCAAATGTCGACACTCCAAAAACACCTCAAAAACAGAAAAATTCTACAGAAAAGCAACCAATTACACCTACAAAACAGAGTAATGCTGATGCCAATTCAGTTCATTCACGAGATATCGAAATACCGAATGAAGATGAGGATAAAATCACGTTTGGAATTGAAGCAATCTTCATGTTACTAGGTACTAATGTTCTTTTTTCATATAATACATTCATCAACGGTCTTGATTTCTATGATACATTATTCCCAGGAAAAAATGCGCCAACAAACATTGCTAGAGCATACAATATCACGGCTTCTCTAATATATATCTTCTCTCTTCCATTTATTGAACGTTTTACGCTTGTTACGCGCTTCTATTTCTCATCAATTGGAATAACGATTATGATGTTCTTTACTTTCCTTTATTCTAACATCGGAACCCCTATATACGGAGTTATAATCGGCGCTGCTGTATTTGCAGCCCTATTTTCAGGCATTCTTTTTGGAACAACAATGGGATTTGCTGGACTCTTTGGAGCAAACTGCAGTTCGGTATGCACAGCAGGTCTTGCTTTGGGAGGATTAGTTACATCAATAGTCAGAGTTCTCTCAAAACTAATGGGAAAAGGAGAAGGATGGTTTTACTTCGGTTTTACAGTTGTTTTTAATACTTGTTCGGTAATAGCGTTCATATTATTCAAGAGAAGACCAATTGCTATAAGAAGAATCAGCCATTCTCATACTTCAACAGATTTCTTGGATAGAATGAAAAGAATTAAAGGAGTTTTCCTTAAAATATGGCCATTTGTACTTGAAGCATGCTTGTGCATGATGATTACATTGACATTGTTCCCTGGTTACGCATGTTCAATCAAATCTAAACATGGATTATCAAAAGATTGGGTCACAACACTTGTTACTTCATTTTATATGGTTGGAGATTTCTTCGGTAGACTATTTACAAGGTGGTGGGCATGGCCAAGTGCTAAATGGCTTTGGGTTCCCCACATTTCTAGATTAATTTTCTTTGTTTTGTATATTATACCTATAGAAAGTGTCTTCTTAGAAGATGATATCTTCATATATTTCGTTACTCTCGCGCTGGCATTGACTGGTGGCTTCTGGATTGGTTTGTGCATTACTTACACTGCAAAAGACGAAAAACTTGAGGAGGATGAGGTTGAACTCGCCGTATTTTGCACAAGCTTAGCATTGAATCTTGGTATATTCATTGGAAGCTGGCTTACTTACGCATTGCCAACACATTAAATTTTTTAATACTATATTTGTTTTTGAACATATATTAATTTGAAATAAAGTATTCATATTTAGAGTTTTCCTTTTATAAATTTCTTTCTTTAGCATGAATATTGAATCAAAAATATATATTTTCTATTTTTCTTTAAATACACTATACTAACTGAATAGTGTTAGATTTTATCACTTTGTTATCATGAAAATGATACATATGATCAGTGTTACCAGTAATATTTGGAGAGAGGGTCAAAGTTGCTATTTGTCACTTTTCCACAAGAATATAATGGGGAAAAAGTTATCATATAGTTGATCTCATTCACTAAGGTGAGAGATGCATGTAGTGTAATGTGATAAACAGTGGGATTGCTGCTCTAAGTCCTAGGTTCGAGATACATTGGCTTCATTTTTCTCTTTTTTATTGACGTAAACTATTCAATTTTTGTGTTATCCATTCAAATTTCAGAATTTTTTTGCAGATTTCACGCTACATTCGAAGTTACCTTTTGTAACAACCACCACCGCCTACGAAAGACGAAAGTGTGTCACGATTTCACCCGGAAATCCGACGGTTGTTTAAGAGTAAGCACTTTTGGCACCTACTCATACTAACTGAATAGTGTTAGATTTTATCACTTTGTTATCATGAAAATGATACATATGATCAGTGTTACCAGTAATATTTGTATGAAATTCTAAATAATCGCATTTTCATCTGAATTATGAAATCTATTTCAAGAAATTTTGATTATCTATAAGTTTACTTGTATAAAAATACGAAATTTAACGTGTATATATGCTACAAAATTTGGGGTATTTCCTGAATAACAATAAAATCCTGTAATTTTGGCTCACAACTTAATAATAATATTATTTAAAGTTATACGGTTTTGTCTATCAATAAATTTCGAAACGAAATCATAATGAAGAAAAAAAAAGAGAGAGATTCGATTTTATTGAGTAAAAAAGTGACAAACTCAATGAAAACTACCTTAGGTAATGATTTTCAATCCTTTCACTTAACCACTAAGGAGCCTATCATTGAATCAGATGGGTATTGCCATCCTTGTTACATAGGTGAAAATAATCAACTGTATGATAAATTCTACAGAAAAATTGTAAATCCAGTTGAATTTTCACATTCAATGAAGCAAACAAACAAAGATGTCTTCTCACATGAAGAATATGCAAAATATTTCGATCCAAGCAAAGCAGATGATACTCCAATTCCGTCACCTTTAAATTTCAAATCTTATGATGAATATAGCAAAGAGTTATCCAAGTGGTATACTAACAAAACCAAAACATATGCATCTGCGCTGCTCCCGATCCCTATTGCTGGTCAAATTTACATCCCAAGCGAACCTAAGATATTTACTCCCGAGGAGAAGCAAAATCCTTCGAGAATGAGAACATTCAAGGCTCAGCAATGGCCTCTGTTACCTAAAAACTATGCAGAAATGCTTGGATACATCGAAAATAATTCTGAAATCGATCCAGAAGCCGAATTTAAAGAGCAGTATCCAAAGAGAGAAAAGATTTACATGAAGCATCACATCAGCTCCTCGCCGCAATGGATGGAACAAAAAGTTCCTCAAGAACCGATACCAGAGTTTTATGATACATTGGAAGAATACGAAGAAGCTTACAAACGCTGGGCATCAGTTGCTGATGACATGTTTACCATCTCAATTCCTTCCGTTGAAGAAATGGAAAAAATTGCTTTAATTGACGTAGTAAAACCAACAGAAACATCTGAAATGGTACCAGCGACAGATATACCTGAAAGTCCATTGGATCCTCGCATTATAGAACTCGCGAAAAATACAAAATTAACACAATTCAAATTATTACCGATTTTAGAAGAGATTAAAGAGCCATTACCCAAGAAACAAGAATCAGAGTCCCTCGAGACATACCAAATTTTCGTTTACGGTGTAGATCCCCAAGTTTTCCTCAATGATATGATAAACTACGGTTTGTATAAGCCAACAACTTCTACATTGAGGCCATGCCATCCTGTTCATCCCCACGTATTTATTAATGGCGACAAATCATTAGCAGAGCCTCTTCTTCTGTCAAGTGCTCCAATTGACCAGAATTTCATTTCAGACATCATCAACATCTTTGTTGCCGACATTGTCGAACTCTTCTCTTACAACAAAGACGGCGTTCGTGCTTCAGAAGCATTTTTCAAGTTTTTGTCAAATGAAAAGAATTTAGAAGAATTCATTGCAAGATCAGAACTTTCGCAAAGAATCAAATACTCATCATCACAATTCTTACTTAATCTCGTTGAAAATGTTGAAGATTCACGACCTCTCACAGATCTTTTAGAAAACAACCTTACGTTACTTCGAAAATTCGTTAAACTTCTTACAGTTGCTTCTAACGAAGTCCATTTTGTCTACACAGGTCTTGACGACAGTAACTCACCATACAACCCTATTTTGAAAGGTTATCTTTTCTCCGTTATCTTCGAGATCTTCTCCAAATGTACTAATGCATCTATCTGTGACGTTTCACGTACATTATGTCAACGCTATTGTGTTGAAATTGCTAAACTTATCAACGACGCAAACATTCACAGTCGAATCACATCAGATCTCAACTCAGACACTATGAATGATGGTACACGTGCCGCACTTATGATTCTTAACCTTAGTTCACCACACGTCCACCGTATTCTTTTCAGCCATTCATTTATTTCATGGATCAACGACATGTCTAAGTTCAAGAACGGCATCATCTTCATCGAAACACTTTCATACTCTAACGCACTTGATGCCATTGCATTAATGATGCTTGGTCCACTTTGTGCTACTATTGGTTCTAAACTTAAAGACCTTACAGAGCAGACAAGTTATTGTCTTCGTCGTATCCTTTACCATCTTTTCTCTCTTTGCGAAAAAGTTCGTATCACATTCAACGGTACTAATTTAGTTGAAATCTTCGACACTCTTTCATCACTTCAGATCGAATGTCTTTCTACACTTGTTGCTCCTATTGCTAAGATCATTGTTTGCAAGTCTATGATTTCCAACTACAAAGACAACATCCAGACATTCCGCGAGACACTTCAAGCCTCAGTTACGAAACTTTGCCAGTCTGCTACCGAATCATCTAGCACACAGTTCCGTCAACAGCTTCAAGCACTTAAAATTCTTTCTATTGACACAAGTTGTGCTAAAATCATGATCAAACACGAACCATTTATGATCAAAGTATTCGAGCACTTGACAAGCAATGACATGAACACTGTGTTTCTTTCATGGGACTTCTTAGAACTTCTTTCTAAAGATTCCGAAGCATTTAAGATGCTTCCCGACAATGAAACATACGTTAACAAGATTTGTGATTTCCCATCTAAGTCCAGTTTAGTTACTGTTCGGAAACTTATTGAGTTTTCATTCAAGATCTGGAACAGCCACGATCCAACACTTACATCATCATGGAACAAAGTTATTTCGCGTGCTATCAAACTTATCTATTCATATCAACACATCTTTAAGAATGACAAGCGTATGAAAGAACTTAATGAAGAGTTCTTCAGCTACATCAGCAAATCTAAGAATCCCGACTTTAAGAACGTTAAAGAAGAGTTGAAGAAAGCAGAAGAAGACAGTCAATCATCAAAGAAGAAATAACTTTATATTTATTTATTATATATTTTATATTTTTTTATTTATTAAATTTATTTTATTTTCTTCGTCGTTTTAATTCGCATTTATTTTTATATTTGATTTTTTTAGATATCTATATGAATCTACAATGAGATATCAATGAATTGAATAACATCATAAGATTGATGTAGATTCTTTATGTGTGTGAATAAGTTCATAACTCTTTTGAATAATTCGATGCATAATAGATAGCCATGCATATGTATCTTCATTAATAGATTTGAAATTCAAATTAAGTATTGGAACAACAAAAAAAAAGTTTCATGAAAAAAAGAAAGAGAAATGTTTTTATTTAGATTTTGAATAAACAAGAAAAATAATGAAGAATACTTTATTTTTTCGTTTGTAGTTAACTTTGATTTCTTCTTTGATTTTTGTCTTTGTTTCTTCTTTTGTTTTTTCTGGAAATTCAAGTCCGACTTCTGCAAAACATAAACCAGTAGACAAATGATGATTTGTTGGAAAAACTGAACTTGCATTCTCTGTAATTGTAACAGGTCCATATTTACTAGGTTTCGAAATGTCGAAATAACATCCTTTAACTTGAATTTGATAGGGACTATTTACAGAGAAATATTCAGTTTTGATGTCATTATTATAAAAACTGCAATTAATGATATCGAGATTATAATAACTCCAAATAAAATAATAGCATTTGTTTTCGAAGTAATTACAAAAAAGAATTTTAAATTCTTTAACTGAAGATAATCCATTATGTAATGCTTCATAGGAACTTGTAGCTGTGGATGTGCAGTTTGAAAATGTTGAATAAGTTAAATTTGAGTTAGATCTACAATAAACACGGTAGAAATTTATATAAAATATATTTGAATTTGAAATATTGATTGATTTCATATTTATTTCACCATTTTTCAAATAAATATTACTATATCCTCTTGATTTTACAGAACTACTTGAAGAAATTGTTGAATCAAGGAGATAATTCTTATATGGTGATGTAGATGAAACGGTAACATGACAGTAAACACCTGAATTTGGTGTTTTAGAGCCATAACTGCAGATTCGGTCTTGAATACACTCACTTGTAGAAGAGTTTATGTATAAAGACCCACCATTGTCGCTTGTGTGCTCACATTGGTCAAATGAACTCGTGTCAATGAGGAAATTGAGTTTGGTGCTTGTAGAAGTCGAGATACGAATGGCACCTGTAGATTTAAGGAAAATAAAGAAGCAAAGACTGATGTAGTAGCTATTTGATGGGCTGATATCGAGTTGTTTGGTTTCGTTTCTGTATGGTGTGTAACTGATTGAAGAATTGAAGAAATCATTCCACTCTTCGTGTGAAATGGAGAGAAATATATTCGATATATGAAGAGATTGGGTGTTAACAACATCATTTCAATAATATTCATTTTGATATAGAAAGTAAATGGTAGGATTTGAAAACTTCTTTTATTTTTATAAAAAAAAGTTACAACTTCAAAATGATTCCAAACAATAATGATCAATCAATGAATCAAACAATTCAAAATGTTCAAAACGGAAATATTCAAGCCGGAGAGAATGTACAGCAGCAAAATCTAACAGAAGCTCAACTTACAGAAATTTTGCGACAACCAATTCAACAATTAGTGACGTTTTTTAATACAGCTTATTTTGGAAATGCATCTTCAGTCAAAATATCATGGTTTCTCCTATCATTATACCTCGAAAACCTTGTTGCCTACAATTTATTTGAACATTCATTAATCACAATCACAGCAACACAGCACAGACCTACTCTTTTATCTCTTTTGCATCCATTTAAAGTATATTCATCACAAGGAAAATTTATCAAAAGATCTGATTTTCCCTCTATTGCAAAAGAAGCTCAGCTCCCTATTCCTATTGCTCAGATCATCATTGTTGGTCAGATCTTTTTCACAAGCATTGAATCAGTCGAAAGTTTCCTTAAATCTTTAAAATTATTTTCAAGGTCATTAATTTCCGAAAAACAAGTTCTCGAGTGGTGTTCATCATTATTACCAAATCTATCGAAGTTCTTGTACTACTCAATTGTCGACGAGCGAAGAGAAAGTTTAGATCCATTTAATTTGCAACAATTTTTTGTTTCTCTCCCTCAGAAGATGAAAATACTTGCATATTCACCTAATCTGCAAACAGCGTTTTCCAAATTCACCAAAGAGAAAACGATATCAATATACGAAGACCTTTTAGAGTACTCATCTTCATCTCCAGAAGATCGTGTTTCCGAAATCAAGCTAGAGATCTTAGACGTTCGTAGTTTTTCATATTATACAGCATACGTTGACAATTTGACGTTTGTTGATGTTCCTTCCAAGTCAATGACAACAATTTGCAAATCTCTTTATGGAACAGATGAATCTCCACTATTTGGAACAAAATTATTTGGCGAAAGATGCAAACAAGTTGGTAAGAAAGAACATGCCCGTTATTTGGAGCAATTTTCTACTCATTTGATGATAACAGATAAATTTGATTGTGAATATCGATCTACATACATCAAAATGAATAGCTGCAAGACATTAGAACGAACTCTATTCTACTTCGGCTTCCAAACAGAAATTTTCCAAGAATTTTCGGAGATTTTATCTCAATTAACAACTTTTTCTGAAAGTATTGATGAAATAACTACAGAAATTAAGAGGATAATGTTGTTTAAAGATGAAACAGTGTATTCTTCCATTAGATTTGCTACTTTATACATTTTATTGTTAGAACTTTACAAAATTGTAAAAGAAGACACAGCTACGAATATGAATAAACTAATCATGGCCATGAAAACCGAAAAGCCTCCGTTTTCTTCATATGGAGACTCACTTTTAGCAAATGCCGATGTTCTTGTTATGGGAATCATGAGATCGGTGAAGCACTTCCAAGAAAAGTTCAATAATTATGGTTCTGCTTGTCAAACCCTCAAAAATAGAATGATTGCAAAAATTCAAATTAAAAATAAGAATATTAAGATTTCTCTTGTTGAAAATTTAATTGTTGATACTAATACTAAATAAATGTTTGATATTTATCTATCTTATCTTAAATTATTTTTTTCTCTTAAATATTATCCTTAATTAGGACTTTAAATATATAAACATGAAGTGTCTAGGCAACACATTCAATAAAAAGTGTATTTATATAAATAAGATTTATGCTAAATTCAGATTTAAAAAAATCCAAGTGAAAGCATATCATTTAATCATATGAATGATATTGAGATAGTCCAATATACTTAAAGAGAATAAAATGATGTATAATATATTGTCAAATTCCACTAACTGGAGCGTATATGTTTTTCATTTCAAAATATTGCAATTGAGATGTTTTATATGTAACAAATCAATTATAATCATGTTAGTTAGTATATGTACCAATGCAGATTCTTCAAATAACAAATGATCAGCATCAGGTAAAGATTTGAATAATTTCATCGGATTTACAAAAGTGACTGTCAGAAGAAATTTGTCAAAATGATCTACGGATTTTTCGTCATTAATGAGAACGGAGACATCCGCCTTGCCCGTGCTTATGTCGAAATGAGCCAAGAAACAAGAAATCGCCTCGCCCACGAAGTTTTCAGAATGGTTTCTACACGTGCTTCAAATCTTTGCAACATTCTTCCAGGAGATGGCATCACAAGCTACGAATTCCAACGCAAAGTCTTTATAGTTTATTGTGCTTATGCTTCTCTCTTCGTCATTACAGTTGTTGACGAATGTGAAAATCCATTAGCTATGTTGGACATTATTCACACATTTGTCGAAGTCCTTAACGGCTGCTTCAAGGATGTTTCTGAAGTACAGTTAGCATTCAACCCAGATAAAGCTTTACAAGTACTTGATTCGCTTATTAACGGTGGCCTGATCTTTGAAACACAGACAGATGTTGCTTTATCTCGCCTTGCAGAAGAGAATGCACAGGATAAGCGTTTTGGCATTAAAATGAATATCCCTGCAAAATAAATTTTATTACAATCTAATCTTCAAAATTAACTATACCATTATCTATCTATTGTAATAAAATAAACAATTTACAGTTCTCTCATATCTAAATATTTAATATTTTCATGATATCAAAATATCACGAATTAAATAATATTTTTTTAATGAAACATATGACTAAATGGTAACTTTATATAGAATAGACTGCTAATTTATGAAATGATAGCAATATGATGTCAATTTGGATGAAATGGCGGAATCACCAATAAAAAATTGGCAAATTATCATCAATACTGAATACCTATAAAATATATTGCATATATAGATTATATGTTGTATCAAAATCATTAAATTTATTATTTATCACTAAATTTTATTATGAAGATTCTTAAATGAAAGTTAAATCATCTATTTCTTTAATTGATATACTTATACACATCAATTTTCCATAGTATACTAATAGAACAATACATATTTATGGTAATAAATAATAAATTATTTGTTTATTTAACATAAATAATAAAAAAATTACTTTGAAATGAAATCATTGAATCTCGCCATCTTTGATTCATCATCAGCGAAATCCTGTGTTACGAATTTGATCAATTCCTTATCTGCCTTCACTTCATCCTTCAAAATCTTCGACATTTTCTCGAAATCGCCAGAATTCAAATCCAATTCAGAAATTTCGTCATTTTCCATCGAAATTATCTGAGCGAATGTTTCGAGTGTGTAGTTCTTTATTTCCGCGAATCTCTTTCCAGCGCCAAACATCTCTATAATAGCAGAAATTAGTGGAGGAATGTGAGGATCGTCAGAAGTAATTGTCAACAAATCCATGAGGTTGTGAATCAATGTTTTACTGACTTTCAATGATTTGTCAGTCAAATAACAAGTGAAAACAAAGAGAGCGAGAGCAACAACAGCTTCCTCTTCTTGTGATTCGCCGCCTTCGTCATCTTCTTCTTCATCTTCGTTGTCTGCAACATCTCTGACCATTTCCGAAACTTTTTTGAAGATTTGCTTGGTATCGAACGAATTCTTATCGCGTTTATATGAAACACGAAGGAGATCCGAAAACGCGATAACGTTCTTTGTGTCCTCTATCGTTGTTGTCATGAACATTTGGTAAATCTTCTTTGCGCACTGCTTGAGAAGGTCGTCAGTGATCAATTCCTTCTCTATTGCAGCACTGATGCAGTCGGAAACATAAGGAGAGGCTGCTTTGGATGGTTTGTTGGAGGAAAGCAATAATGAGGAAAATTTCGGTCCAAGTTTGGAAGCTTTGCCTAATCTGATGCAGGAACTGATGAATTTGAACGCTTGAACACATACTGGCATAGATTGTTGGGGTGGTGTCCTCTCTAATGCGTTTGCTTTGCCATCAATTAAATCTGAGATCAAAGGAGAGACTTGGGATTCAGTAATACCTTGGTTTGAGGCTAATGATGTAACTTGCTTCAATATTGTCTCGAAACTTTCAAAGGAAATGACTTTTCTGGAGAAATTTGCAATAATTGCAAAGGAATCCAAGGCTTGTTGAGAAGTTAATGATCTAGCAATGCGACCAATGACTCTGGCAGCAAGGATTTGTGTCTCTTCTGTATCAGATTTAAGGTTTTCGAATCCGAAATCGAAAACAGGAGTAACAAGAGCTTTTCTAACAGGTCTGGCGATGGCTGCGATGTTTTCTGCGCATTCTAAACGCTTTGCAAGGGGTCCAACCTCTGGTTTCTTCGCTCCATGCAATAATAATCTGAGACGTTGGGCCAAACGACCTGTTGGAGCTAAATTACTGTTCTCAAATGAGCTCCTGATGAAACTTGCTATGGCTGGAAACAGCGGATATGTCTTTCCATCGAGGAATTTGTAAATTTTTGTTCTGACGTCTTTCTTTTGATCTTTGATAAGGGATGATGAGAGGTTAACGATGTCTGCGAGTGTGAATATGCAGCCCTCGAGGATTTCGTTGCTTGGTGAAGCCTTTAATGCAGAAATTGTAAAATCTCTGATTGGTTTTACATTAACTAAGCTGTCATCATCCTCGTTATCTTCATCTTCATCATCTGGGATGTCTTCTTCTGCTGTATTTTCTTTAATTGGGTCTTCATCGAATTCTTCTTCTTCTAAATCATCATCACTGCTATCCATGTCAACATTGGAGTTTACCATGACTCGTAATGACTCAAAGAATACAGGAAGTAATGTTGGTTGGTTGAAATTCGAAAATTCGCGAATAAATAACCTTGTTACGGAGTCACTGTTGAATATTCCGTTGTCACACATGGACTTGAATGCAACAGCAGCGTATTTACGTATTTCTTCGTTGTCATCGTACATTTCTGAAATCAAAATTTTCAAAATAAGCTTTGGATCAACGTTTTCCTCAGTATTTCCCAGATTCTGGCCAAGTTTGTCTAAGACAAATAGGCCTGCAATTGTATCAAGAGTCGATCCTTCGAAAGCTTTTTGAATTATTTCGATTAAATCTACTGTTTTGCCAATAGCTGGTACGATAATCTTAATGAATGAGCCGAGGACAACTAATGGTCCACTCTTCTTTCTATCGCCGATATTTTCTTTGATTGATTTGAAGATTTCTTCGATTGTTTCATTTGACATGTTTGTTGAGACAATTTCATCGAATATTTTGATCATGGCATGAGGAATATCTCTCTTCTTGTCGATTAATCGCTCTGATAATCTTATCATTCCAACAACAACTTTTATCGTGTTTTCTTTATTCAAGAAAGGAAGTAAACGGACTAAAGGTGTCATTGATTTCTTCCTTTCCTCGGAAGGCTTGTTATGATCAGTAAACTTTGTAATTAATTTAGTAACGCAATCTGGATTGACATCTTGGAACTCAGAATCGTATTCCGCGATAGTAGATAAGTATGGATAAAAGCTTGCGAGTGTTTCGACGTCATTTGTGGCAATATTTACCAAAAATTCCCACAAATTATTAAAATCGATATCAAACCCTTCATCATCATTCTGATGCTCTTGATAAAACTTCGATGCATCAATTAATGTTTGGAGAATCTCCTCTTTATTTGTCATGGTAAGAAATTGTAAAGTTCTGAATCTAATAAATCTGAAATTTGAACCACATGCGAGGAAAATGAAATAAATCCTTAATTAATACGTATGGTTAAGGAAGTCAATTTGGAAAATTGTTTTCACTTTAGGAGAATATAATTTTCCTTTTGGAAAATTTAAAAAGTGAGACGCGCAGGATTCGAACTTTTTTAAAAGTTGATTTAAATATATTCTAGTGTGGAATATAAGGATAATATCATATTTAAAATAAGAATATACTAGTTTGGGTGGTATAATTTTTGCGATAAATTTGAGAATATGTACGTTTAGGGCATGAAAAGTGTCAATTCGCTCAGCGAAAGCTGAGCTAGCTTCGTTCTCGAAAGAATAAGGAAGGAGTGAAGGAGAATGATACAGAAGTTGACACATTCATATCATTTCAACAAATTTTGATCAAATTGAAATTCAATAAAATTCAATTCATATCCTTCAGTCAGTACATTGATATCCTTCTGCATCACAATGATAACTCGGGCATCAATAGTTCTACAACTAACTCAGAAAAAACAAGATTATTACTTCCTGCTTACAGCTTTTAAAAAGTTTCGATGATAAAAATCACTCTACTCTTGTTTATCGACATATGGTGATAGTAGGTAAACATATTCTTATCGATATTAATAAAAATATTTGTACGAAAATCTTATCCAATTAGAGAGTTATTCATAAAGTATATGATAATTATAATTACTTTATCTTTGTTTTATCTTTGAATAAACAATTTAATTTAAATTGCATAATATTTTTTGGTTGAAAGACAGGAAACTTAGTTGAGTTTGAATTATTTTTATCGTTTAATTTATCGTATCAGTGAGTGATCCAGATATTTAAGATATTTACAAAAAAATTATTAATTTGATTAACAAATTTTAATCAAAATAACAAAAATCTATTTGATAGCTGTAAACAAACAATAATTTTTATTTCAAGCAAAATCACTTATTTTCATCTAAACGTATAAAATTGTCAATTTTATGAAAATAAATTGAAAATCTCATGAAATGTAAAGGAGAGTAATATTTTTCAATTTTCTTTTTTTCTTTGTCTCAAATATTTTCTGTTGGGAATTTTCTTGTTATCAAAAAATAATTTTAATATTTGTTTATTTTATTACATACAATAAAATTTTAAAAACTCTATTTCTTCTCAAGAAAATTTTTTCCTTCATATGAAGAAACATTTTGTTCTCCATTTGATACTGAGTCTAAATCTCGATTTTTGAATTTTCTTCTTTCCAAATTTCTTTTTTCCAAATTAGAAGTTTAATTCAAATTTTCAATAGTTTATTTATTTTCTCAAACCGTCTCAGATTTTCTCACTTTTTAGGGATTTTCTCTCAAAATATACAAAAATAGTAATATCAATACATGTGTCTAATATACTTTAAAACCATTGTGACAAAATTCAAAAACGAAGAGTTCTTCTCTCCAAATTTTTTTCAAAATCAAAAAAATGAGATAAAAAAGTACGTTTGGAAAATTCATTTTTAGAATTTTAGGAATTTTCTCACTTTTCTTCCAAATTGACATCCTTACGTATGGTACACGAATTCTTCAAATATCATTGAAGTTTAAGAGTACATTATCGAAATCATATTTTAGGTCTCCATTTCAATTTATTGTATGTATACTATGAAATTTTAAGAATAAAATACGATATGGAGACCAAAATAAGGAATATTACTACTGAATAGCGAACCTTTATCGAATTTTGTTTTAATAAAAAGTATATACTTTGATGAGATAAATATCCAAAATATAACATTTTAATGAGCAGTGGCTAAAAAAATAATTTCAAAAATTGGGATTCGATAGGTTTAAAAAGTAATATATAGAAAAAGAAAGAACAGAAACTATTTATATAAGTGATGATTCCATAATAAGAGCTGTAGCAGCAGACAATTTCTGCTTCAACGCGTCTGCAGAAAAATCATTTCCACTTCCAAGGTCAGCGCAAAGGACTTTGAAAGCTGATAACACGTAATCAGCGAATTTCATTCGAGAACCGTCTTGAGACAACATTTCTAATTCAAGATCGTCTCCGTGGGTATTTATTCCATTTATAGTGGATATCATTGAAGCACGTTCCTTGCAGATCAATGCTTCTTCCTCCTTTTGGTCTGTCGGGGCTCTCAAAATTTTCATTTTGATGTCAGAAATATTTTCTTGTCCTTCTGCTGCAGCATTTTGAAGATTGAGCAGCTCAATGGCATTTGCATTAATTCTCTTATCTAAACTGTATGATTTCTCCTTTAGTTTGTTCAATGCTCTCTGCATTTGTTTGTATTTAACATAATTCTCGGCTCTCGCTATCAAAATGTCGGCATTATCTTCTAATTGTGCCAGACGATCAGCGACGTTAACAACACTAATGCGCCTTACAAATTTTTCGTATGAAATAATGTCAACTAAAGTTATTTCATCATTTTCGATTTTGACAACTTTGTTGGGGTAAGAAAATCCGTAGACAAGTGGTTTGTATACTTCTGGTATGTTTTCTTGATTGTAAGCTGTATCGGCTTCGATTTCGGTCATTTTTGGTGATTTATCAAATTTCCATTTGAAAACTTTGATTTCGAATTTGTCTTTAGCATTAATTTTGTCTTGAGTAATTTCGGAAACTGATCTTGGATACTTTGTTTTTTGAGAGTGTTTCACAATATGATACGCTGCGAGAACTGTGTTCAAGATTTTTTCATCTGATTGGTAAATATGAAGTGTCCACTTTGGAATGGTGAGTTTTACACAGCCAGATTCTGTAGAAATTTTTGATTTTTTGATAGCATAATTCTTTTTTTGATTTTCTAACGTAATTTCAACTGAGGGTCCCTCTTCAAGAAATGCAACAGATCCACTGTCGTCATTTATTCCTGAGTTTTCTTCTTTATTTTTTTCAAAATATAATTTGCATTGATTTAGAGTATAAATTGGAGATTTTTGAATAGTAACTGGTGCAGAAGTACTTGTTTTAGGACTTGTATGAGGTATTGAAGGAAGGTTTAAAGGGTTGACTGTCATTGGAAAAGAAGGGAGGAAATCCATTTTGAAAAATGAACTTTTTACGAGCAAATATCTTACATATCCATACGTTGGAAGTTACCACCACAATAGCATGCCTGATAAGCAAGAAAAATATGAGAAAAAAATTATATAGTTTTGTTCCTCATTAATTCATATAATTTTAGATGATTTGAATGCATTTTATACTAATATTTTTAATATCAAGACATATTCATCAAATAATTTTTCAAGCTCTAAATTTCACTATCAACATGCTGCCTACTTAAGGTATTAAGGTTGTTAATCTTTCCTTGGGTTCTATTTCACTATGCAATTATAGATTGTAAAAAAAATATTTGATAAAACATATAAATTTATTAAATACAAACAAAATCTATCTAAATATTTATAACCGTATGCGTATTATTATGGAAATACGCTGCCTGTCATACAATAATGATAATAATTCTCGCAAGGACCGCATCTCCATTGAGAATGGTGTATAACTATTGGTCTTATAGTTGTGTTGTAGTAAACCTGGGTATCCATATCTGTTCCAAAGATTAATTCTGTGTTTGGACAAATTAATCCGTGGAATTTCTCAATAACACCGAGATCTAGGTTATACTTCTTATGTAAATTATAGTAAAATGCGTAAGTATAAAGAGATTGGTCAAGAATTCGATAACTCTGTGGATGAGTGTCGTAAATCATTGTTACAATGTCAACAAACCTCAAAACTTCGTATCTTTCACCAACAATGATAGTTCCCGTGATAATATCATGTTTATCAAATTCATGACTATTATTATTAAGAATAAGAAATTGGTCCCATGTTTCTTGGTCATTTTGAATTGGCCAGTTCTCGTAAAGTACATGAGCTCTTCCATCAGGTGGAATAATTAAGAAAGGATCAACCATTGCAAGAGAATCAGAGACATCAATAACAAAAACACAATCGATGAGAGATCCGTAGAAATTAATCAACTCAGCAATAAGCTCTTGCTTTTTCTTGTATAAATCAAATCTATTAATCCTTCCATCGGGCTGTTTTGCAATGAATTCTCCCATGTCAAGGCATATAACGCCACAATCTGTAAAATGTATTTCTTTATCGTATTCCTGAAACTGTTTATATCCTTTTGTATCGCTAAACATCACAAATTTCGCTTTACATCCGTGATCTCTTAAACTGTGTAGGAAAACTATTGTTCTATTGTGGATATAGCCAAATGACATAAAGATCATTACATCTCTGTCTGTTGAATATGAAATATCCCACTTTGTATGAGGAACCTTAGGGCAAAAGGCGCAATTTTTGTATTCTTTATCTGATGACAGTAAGAAATTGTCAATTGTTTCATTCATCTGGTATAATTTATGCTTAAAATGGGATTCTGTTAATAGAGGATAAAATTTTGGTTCAAAAATAAAGGAAACAGGCATTAAAAAGAATATGAGTGGAATAACTACGATTAGGTGAATTAGTCGATACTTAATTAAGTCTCTTTGCCTGAGTCTGTGCTGTTGATATGATGATTGAAAAAACATCGATATGTCACCTTTTGTAACGAGAGAAATGACTAAAATTGATGAATCATGAATAATGACAATGTGTAATATATAAAGAAATGTGTGTGCAAAAGAGTAATGCCGTGTTTTTACTCTTTGACTTGATGAAAAACATCAAATCATAAGAGAAACTTATCGCCTTTCATATTCTTGAGATAACATATAAGCATATTTGATGTTTAATGTGCATATTTGATGTTCCGATGGCAAAATCTGGGTACCATATGTTCAATTTAGGAAATAGAATATCAAAGTATAACAAAATTGACAAAACTCAGTTACTCACATGATACACTACCGTTCTGCATTACTTACTTTTATCTATAGATCCGTATTTTTCCCAAGTGAGGGGGGTATCTCCAATCCCAGCCCTATCGTCCTCCCAGTGTCAGTTTTCAATATAAAATCCAAATTTTTTTTGAAAATAAAAATTTCGAGAAATTTTTCTGATTTTTTTTTCTTTGATTTCAATAATTCAAAATAAATTTGGGAGTAAAAAGACACTATTTAATGAAATTCATATGAGTGAATGTGGATAAATACTCTCAAAACATACAATTTATCTATTTTTCTTTATATTATCAACTAATTAGTGATAATTTTTTTTTGAATCAGATTTTTTTTTCATTAAAACATAATATATAACACAACAATGATGCACACATACGTATCTACACATCAAAATATAAAGCTTGTTTTGGTCTGGGCATCCCAAACCAAAATTCTTTAAAAATTGAATAAAATTGAATACTTGGGGCTGGGATACCCATCCCAAAACCGAATTGAATTTTTTGAATTAAAGAATATATTTATGTATTTATAATATACATGTGATGTCTATAAAAAATACTAAATTCTAAAAAAAATTCAATTTATTCAAAACGTATACTAAGTGATCACTTCATTAGTAGGATCAGCAATCCTACTAAATGGTGAGAACGCCACTAACTCAAAAGGGAGTCCTTGGAGCTCTTGATCTCTTGTCAGTAGAGTTCATAATGAGGCATGGCATCTACTGATTAGAGATCAGAGCAATCCTACCTTACCTTCAGGAGCTACAAAGCTCCTAATCGTTACGAGAGGGAGCCTTGGAGCTCCTGAAGCTCATCAGCAGAGGCTATTTACCATTTGGGCCTCTTCTGATGAAAGATGCGAAACACGTCTACGAACCAGGAGCTTCAAAGCTTCTAATCCTTACTAAAGGGAGCTTTGGAGCTCCTGAGTCTCCATCAACAGAGTCCCAGATGGTAAATGTCCTTTGCTGATGAAAGATGCGAAACACATCTACGAACCAGGAGCTCCAAAGCTCCTAATCCTTACGAAAGGGAGCTTTGGAGCTCCTGAAACTCCTTTTACTATAAAATAGGACAGTTTTCTTCTGAGGTTCTCATCAAATCTAAGACTTCAGAAGAAAGCTGTCCTATCAATGTATACTTACACTCTCATGGACTACAAGTGTACAATTTTAAGGCAGAGATTATCCGAGGCCTCTCATCAAATGAGGGACCTCGGATAATCTCTACCTTAAGTAGTCAAATAACTTTTCTCACTATTTAGGAACAAAAGAACAAGAGTTGGAGTACTTTAAGGCAAGATTCTTCCGAAATCTCTCATCGAATGAGAGACTTCGGAAGGACCTTGCCAAATCCTTGAACGCCAATATCCTTGGAACTGAGCTAGAACCAGGGAGAAGTAGCATACTATAGAGCACGATGGTAATCTCGGAAATGCTTATATCGCCCCAAGCACAATATTTAAGAAGTCTAACTCATATATACAAGAAGTCAGGCTGAATAGATATTGTGCATATGGTTTGCAGAACTCTCATGATATTGAAAATTCATGTTATCCCAAAAAAGGTGACACTTTGGGTGTATCATCCATCCCAGGGATGCAAAAATCACATCACCTTGGATCTATACTTTTATCCTTGTTAAAAAAATAATTCCAAAAAAAATTCGAAAATTAATTTTTAACTTCAAAAAATATGAATTTCATATTATTTTTGTTGATTTCAAAAAATTTTGGAAAATAAAAAATGCGTATTTTTAAATAACAAAACAGATTCCATACAAAAATTAAAGAAATTGGTCGTAAATATAATTTTTAATATTCATTATTATAAATATGATGATCGAACAGCGTCATTCACAATGGTTTATATTTCTAATATGATTTTTGCTAAAATTATTTAAAAAACAGTTCTAACGATAAAATATCAAGAATTAAACATCTCAAACAATATCTATTTACAAAGAAATTTGAGAGCCAGGAGGGATTACAGCACAAAGTTCGGGTTCAGACTCTCCTTGATTAAATTCAAACATAATATTATCTTCATCTGCATCATAATCAGAATAATACTCTTCATCCTCTTCTTCCAATATAATATCTCCATCCACTTCGCTATCTACTTCGATTTCTTCTATAGGGAAGTATAAATACAGTAATCTAACGAATATTGGAATACTATGAGGCTGGGTAACTATAAAAACTATTCTGTCAACTTTCTGTCTGTTTTCTGGATTCTCTAGGAATTTTCGAGTTTTTGAAAATGCAATTTGAGTTGCATGTCCGAGCGAAAATCCATTATTTTCAATGAAAAATGGAGCCATGCCAATAGAACGTATCGACTCTCCATCAATATGCGAAAAAACCGAATCCATGGTGGATTCAAGCTCCGGGTCATCATCGCCTGTTGGACCGACGGTGTGTATTACATATTTTGCAGGAAGCGAAAAACCAGGTGTAACAACTGTATTGCAATCATCGCAGTGCCCAATTTGACGGCATGCCTGTGCTAATTGTGGTCCAGCAGCATTATTAATACTTGTAAAAAGGGCTCCCCCTGATGAGAAGTTATTGTCTGTTCTGTTTATAACAGCGTCGCATTTAAGACGAGTGGAATCACCGCATTTCCATATAGATATAAGATTATTGATTTCGGGACAAGGCCTAATATTTGCATGAAGTCTACGCGGTAAAGGCATTTCTTCCATCCATTGTGGACCGGCATCGCTCCATTTCGGAACAGAAGCCAGGTCCACAATGCTATTCGACATTGAATGACCAGTCAATTTCAGAATAACCGCCAAAACTTATAATTATTTAACTAATAATCATGTTGTTTCTGTGTTTAGCTACAATTATAATTTTTAAAAGTGACAATTCAGAAGATTTCAACGAAGAAAAAATAATTGAAACAAAAATCGTAAAAGATTCAGGTCTAACCTTGAAATCAATTTTTAATAAATTTGGGTTAAGGGTTAATTTACGAATAATCGTCACTTTTCAAAATCCAATACGATTTTTCTGCTTCAAAAAATATTATTGTTATTTGCTATATTTTATCTATTGAGTAAGTTTTCGAAGAAATCATGACCATGTGAAAGTTCAATTCAATTTTTTTTGATAGGAATTTTAACCTAATTCTCAACAGTAATTTTATTCTTTCCTATTAAGGGTGCACACGAGAGGATCATGTAAACTTCAGAATTTAGAACCTTATTTTTAGGCATTATCTTGGCTACCTATTTAGGCTCGAAAAGCAAAAAATATCAAAAATTACAACTTGACTCCATTATGACCCTTTCATGGAGGTAGTTTTTATCCTCTAGTATTTTCCCTTTGAATCTCTTTACAATTCGAAATCAAATTCAAAACTCAGTAGAAGAAAGGAAGAATCGACTTACTACGGTTGTAATACGAATAAATACATATATTTAATTATTTTTATTTACATAATAATTGTTTGAAGCTCATATTCCATCAAATTTTTAAATAAAAACATTAAAATGTTGAAAATGTTCATATATTTTAATAGGGTTTTGGCACTTTATTGAGGAATTACTACATACATAGTCGAACTGAACTTGATATTTTGAAATTTAAATTATTTATCAAAATTAAAATTTAACTTGAAGTTTATAATTATTTAGTCATATTTTGCGTAATTCTAAGTAGATTTTGTAAAAAATCAAGAAAGAAAAATTTTAACGTGCTTTATTTTTTCTTTTTTATAATAATACATATTATTATATAATTAACATATTCATAATGTTTCACCCTTTCAAAAATATAATCCTCCTCCTCTCAAATAAACGTACATACGGGTGGCCTCTTTTTTCAAAAAATTAAAATTTGAAATTTTGGGCTCAAATATTAGAGATTTTTTCAACCTTCAACGATATATGTTGTCTATATCAGACCTCCTTTCTTTTTGATACTTAACATTGTTCCTAAATCTTAGCCGTTAAGGCTGTTCTGAAAATATTTTTTTTTCGAAAAAATTCGAAAAAAATTCTTAAAATTCAAAAATCCCTTAATTCCTGAGGATTTTGGAAAAAAGTTTTTACATGAACATGTGTATATTATATGAAGTATATTGATAAGGTAAAAATCAAATTTTATTGCATATTCATCGAGAAAATAAACTAACGAATCCCTCAAAATTGAGAGGGTAATCCTCCTCCTCTCAAATAAACGTACATACGGGTGCACCCTTAAAATATATCGGCTCAAAAACAATATTTATATTAATGTGAGGGTGCTGATTATTTTTTATGAACCATCTTTCATTAGCGTACTATCCAACATTTTGGTAATTTTTTTTCCTTCGTAGATTATTAAAGCCGAATAGCATGAATATACTATGTATATAATGGCAGCAGTCGGTAAGTTGAAAGCCAGGGATTTTCGTTGAGAACAATTATTTGTTCATGATGATATATAACTATAGCTACCAATTATCAACTGTCTGCAATGTTGTAAAGAAAATCTCAAAATTCTAGTATCCAAGTTGATCGAAAGAGGATTTAATCATTTTTTCTCAATTAAGGTATTCTGCTTTCGTTTATCAAAAGGACACATTAATAGACATGAAGGTTGATTGATCGACTCTGAATCTGACTTTCGTATCACACATTATTTCACATTTCTTATTGCATAAACTTTGTTCAATAAAAAATTGTGCAAATAAGAAATTCCACATGATACTACAAACTTTATTTTCGATTTTCCTAATTTGAATAGTTTACATTTTTCCAATTAAAATGCATATAAATACTTCTGTTTACCATTTAAGCGGGAAGAACTATGAAAATGGGGCAATGCTAAGCTTAGCATTGACTTCAGTTTCAAGAAATATACTTATTTCGCATGCAAACTTTCAAAAATCGTTTAGTTCATTTTTTCATGCATCAAATTCGAATTTTAATCTCGAATTGACTCACTCCCGTTTCAAGAAATTCCTTTCCTCCACAATTAAAGTCGTTTCGGATAAATACGCTTTACTCGACACGAGATCACGTGTAGTTTTTACCAGAAAGTTTGATATTTTCATGAATGATTGTTCTTTCACAGAATGCACTGCACAAGGACTCGGTGTTGATGGCCATGGCGGCGCTATTTGCATATTTGTTCCTGTAGAAGGCTTATTTGACCTCAATCTTGAGAGAATCAACTTTTACAAGTGCTACGCCAAGTCTAGTGGTGGCAGTCTATTCACATTTACCAAGTTATTTAAATCTGTTGTCGTTTGTTTTACTGAATCATTTGCAGCTAAAAACACAATCGCGTATGTTCAGTCAAATCAAATAATAATGAACAATTCCTTCTGCAATAATAACAAATATATCGATCAATTCAATCCATCTTCAACAACTTTTGGATTTCGTGGGGAAACAATTACTCAACAAGAAATGAACATGTCACAATCAGTCACTGACATGGGATTTTCGTGTTTCCATCTCAATGGATATAATTTATTCACTTCAAATTATAATATTTTTCATAGCTGCTCATCAGAGTCCGCAATTAACAGTCACAGTATCGGAAAGCCTGCAACATTACTCCAGAATACAATGTTTATCAATGATACCTACAAATCTGTTTTCATTTCGACAGATGTTCCAATTTCAATACAACAAACGTGTTTCGCTATAACATCGAACAGAATTATAGCAAGTAGTGATGTTGCACTCCTCTCATTCAGGAATTGTTACTTTAATGGCACAGAAAACGATTGGAATCTTTATCTTAGCGGTGTTCAAACTGAAAGTAACATATTTGGATCCAATATTCTTGATTATACCCAGATATCACTATACGATGCACAAGCTGGCTGCAGAGATCATGAAATGAACTTTAAATACAAAAAGGATGCAGAAGCAGCCAAAGACGATGTAGAATCACCTAGTTTTGCTAAAATTGTAGTTAAACTATTACCAACAATCATAGGTTTAGCGCTTATTTTCGTAATTGTTATTATGATCATGCGCAAGAAGAAGAAAATCCTTCAGAAACCACCAACAATCTTTTCAAAATAGTAGTATTTAGTGTTTGTTTATATAAATAAAATAGATATTTTTTTGTTTGATAATAAATGTTCATTTTCCCATAGCTTACATATTTTTTAATACTTTCTTTTGATGATTTTAAAAATCAATAGTTATTTCGGATTTTTTTTCAATTAATCTTGATATCCAAACTAAAAAATGTATATTTTATCCTTGGTTATCTGAAGTAGTCAATGACTATTATAGGTGATGCTAACGCATAGTTAACTATGTTAATATAGTGAAAAATTTGAGTAAATATTTCTTAATATCTATTAAATTGTTTTTTAATCAGTTTGCCTATTAATATTATATTAAGATAGGGGATGTGTCGATTTAAAATTGAAAAGGAAGTGTGAATAAAAGAAATTATAAAGGTAACTAAACTCCTTTCGCCGATCCGATTTGCCCCATATTTAAAATATAGCTTGCATATGTAGAAGAAAAGCTAATTTTGAAGTACGCCCGAAATCCACCAACAGGATTTCGAGCTACTAAAAAGGTACTTTTAAATGTGATTTTTTTTATAAAAAATTAAATTTATTTTAGGATCAGACTAAAAACTAATTTTATGGAAAATCTATATCGACAAATTTATTACTTATTGGGTATATAGATTTTTTGATTATGGCGATTATGTCTGATATGCTTCCAATAAGCCAAAACACATTTCATACTGATTTCTATAAAAGGTATCTTTATTATAGAAGTGTAAGCTATATCTGTTTGTTTTTTTATTATAACAAATTCAAAATTCTCTTATAAGGACTAGATGAAATCTGTATTATTAAATCATTAGCTAAATGAAGGTTCAAATAGAAAGTAAATATCAATTTATATGATACTGAAACCAAATAGTTCTTTTAATAAAAGATAACACGCTGAAAATTATTGAGTATTTGCAAATCTCAAAAATCTATTGGTGAATTTGGCTCAACTTTTAAAATTATAACATCCATATCAAATCATAAAAGCAGACAAAAATTAAAGCCAAACCTATCGGCCAATTTTTTTTTGATATTTTGATTTTTGAGGTATACTTTTAAAAGTGGATTTAAAGCACTGATGAAAAAACATTAACTTCTGTCGTTATGATTATTGATTTAGACAATAATGATTTTAATCTTTGATTATCAAAACACTAAAGTCATCTTTTTAACATTTGCTTGGTAGCATTAACTCAAGTCTAAAGTACTATTTTATGTGGCACTCTTAGAATTTTTGTATTCATTGTACACGCTGAAATAGTACCATTAAAGTTATGGTGTTGTAAACAGAAATTCATCAAAAGTGACACCTCAGAAAAGCTAAAATATTGAATTTTTGGAACTTTTGATAGAGCACGTTTTTAAATATTAATTAAAGTAAATGGATATTTTGTAAAGATTCTTTTTAATAAAAAAATAAAATTTTGAAGAAGAACACAAAATCTTCTGAAAAATAATATCACATAAACTCATATTATTTTCTAATATATAACTATTTTATATAAAAATCAAATTCAATGATCTTAAAAGCGAAGGATAAACCTCAAAATTTACGAATATAATGAGTGGGAATATAATGCTTATCTATCATAAAACCATATGAAATATCAATTTTTGCTTTACGCCTAATTTTTGACGACAATTAGCAAAAAATGTTAAATGTTAACACTCAGTCCATTTGAATATGAAAAATAAAATTGACTTTGATTAAATGTTTTTATTTATCATGCAATTCTTCTTGCGACCAAAGATTTGAATAAAAGTTCAAAAAATAAGATAGCTTAAAAAATAATATACGGTAGTGTTTACTAATAGATGAATAGTATATAAATTCTATTAAAATGGATTTGATCCAAAAAAATATAAAACCAAAAATAATTGTTATAATTTAAATGAAGAAGTAATTTAAAACGATTTTATTTATGATCAAATTTTATATATTTTTTTAAGCTATCTTATTTTTTGAAATTTTATTCAAATCTTTGGTCGCAAGAAGAATTGCATGATAAATAAAAACATTTAATCAAAGTCACTTTTATTTTTCATATTCAAATGGACTGAGTGTTAACATTTAACATTTTTTGCTAATTGTCGTCAAAAATTAGGCGTAAAGCAAAAATTGATATTTCATATGGTTTTATGATAGATAAGCATTATATTCCCACTCATTATATTCGTAAATTTTGAGGTTTATCCTTCGCTTTTAAGATCATTGAATTTGATTTTTATATAAAATAGTTATATATTAGAAAATAATATGAGTTTATGTGATATTATTTTTCAGAAGATTTCATTCTATATGCCTATGAAAAGTACTCTCAAAACTAACTTTTTCCTAATTATAATTAAATCTAGAATATTGTATTATGCTTAGTATTATTTCATTTTTCTCATTCAATTTAGAATTTACAAATGTCAAAAAATTGAGAGCTGTCACTTTTGATGAATTTCTGTTTATTACAACATTACCAATAAAGACATTGTAAAATAGCTATTTGATTTAAAAATAATGTTGTATGAACTAGTCAAAATTTTTTTTTGACTCACATGACCAGATCTTCAATGGATATCTCTACAACACTATTGAAGGAATTGGTAACTACCATAGCTGATATGATAAGCATTTCAAATGACGCTCTAATGTTAGACTTATCCCCATTAAAGGAATTGGCCTATGTACATTCTCTACAATTTAACGAAGCAGTCCAGAAAATACGATCTGGCCAAACAATTGATGTGTTCAATTCGATTAAACAAATTTTTCTAAAAAATCCAAAAAATCAGCTTTCATTTCTTTTTGCTGCTCTCCTGGTAAACAACGAGTTCAACATAACCGATAGAATATTACGCATCAAGGGTTTCAATATCAACGATGTTTACTTTAATAACGTTTATTTACTTCATAATCAAACTATACTATCGAATTTAGACATTGTTACATATCTAATCAACAACAGGATCAACATAAATCAACTTGACTCCAACAAAAACACTCCACTTCATCTTTGTTGTTCATTCAAAAATTTACTTGACGCAGCCTTGTTATTAGTCGACCAAAAAGACATAAACGTCAATGCTTTTAACAATAACAGGTGTAATCCCCTTTTCTACGCATGCAGTCTCTCAATATCCAACAAAGAAGAACATGAAAAATTATTTGAATTAGTTACAAAACTTCTTAACAAAAAATCATCAGTAAATTTCATTTCCAAGCAAGCAGAAGGAATTCTTGATGTTGTATTATACGATGACATTGAAACTCTTCTTATAAATAACGGTGCACAACCTTTCGAACGCCTTCCAAACACTGTTGAATTCATTTTCATAAATTATATAAACAAATCATTTGAAGAAATTCCTGAAGATATTATAAAACAAGTTAGTGATCCAGATCAAATCTTCAAAGACCACACGATGCTCACACGCTGCATAGAATTCGAGAACACAAAACTGGCAGAACAAATCATTGAAATGGGTTGTGATATCAACAAGAAAACACCAAAAGGAACTCCATTATTTATTGCAATTCAAAAAAATTCAAAAGAGCTTGTCAATTTTTTACTTACTAATAATGCTGATGTTAATTTTTCTTGTTTTGATACTACACCACTTATTTATGCCATCAAAAACAAATCTCAGACTGTTGTTCCTTTGTTATTGAAATGCGAAGACTTGAAGATTGATTTACAAGATTCAGAAGGAAACACAGCAATTTATCATGCAATTGCAACAAAACAAAATTCAATATTAAAGCAGTTATTGTTAAAACAACCAAATATAAAGATTAAAAATTCAAAAGGAACAACACCATTTGATTTAGCATGCACCACAAATCCAGATAAAAATATTCCTCGTATTTTACCTTTAATCAAGAATTTCGAATATGTCAATAAAGTGTTTGGAAATTACACAATTTTGACATTGTTGTTATCACAACAAGTCAGTTTTGATAAAATCAAGATATTCATTGAAAACAATGAAGTTGATTTGAACATGAAACCAGACAAAGATACTGTTCCTTTGTTTTTATCAACATATGATTTAGATTTGTTCAAATATTTCATCAATAATCAGAATGTCAATATTTATGCTTTGTCTAATAATCAAACAATATTAGAAAGAATTCTTACACTTTCATTACCACAAAGAAAAAGTCTTCATGATGTTTTGAGTTCTTCTAGATATAATATCAATCAAAAATTAGAAAGTGGACAAACACAAATTTACAAATTAATCATTGAAAACAAATATGAAATATTTAGTATCCATTTACATGAACCAAATATTGATGTCAATGCTAGAAATGATGATGGACAAACTCCAATTTTCGCATGCTGTATTTCTAATGATTTAATGTTTATTCAGGATTTGTTGAATAATGATACAGGTTCAGTTGTTAAAATTGATATAAAAGCAACTGATAAATTAGGAAGAACATGTTTGTATTATTGCTTAAATGTTGATGTCCTTAAAATACTTATAAACAAGGACAAGAACTTGATTAGTATCAAAGACAATGATGGCGTTTCTCCAATTTCTTATTTCATTAACAAAGTCAGTTCTTCAAAATCAGAAGAAATCACTAATAATGTAATGCAAATTATTTCGACATTGTATCAAAAAGGAGCAGATCTAATCAACTCAGATATTAAGAAACTTTCAAGAATTAACAATGATTTAGCTAAATCTATCATTGCAGAAGTAAAGAAGAAAGGAAATCTTCCGATTTTTGAAGAAAAAACTCCACAAATTGTTAATAAAATAAGTAATGATGTTTCAAGTGACGAAGAGGAGGAAGATAGCTTTGATGATATTGTTATAGCAAACACAAACAATAAAATTGAAATAAATGAAATTCAAGATAAATGGAATGAAAAAGAAATCGAAATTAAAAAGGAAGAAAAAATTGAAAATCAAACTAACAATGTTTTCAATGAAGAACAAACTAAAAATGTTTTCAATGAAGAACAAACTAAAAATGTTGTTGATGAAGAACAAACTAAAAATGCTGTTGATGAAGAAAAAAGTAAAGTTGCAAAACCAACTCAAAATTTCCATGATTTTGTTCCTATTGTTAATCGCTCGAAACCATCCGATGATGATGACGAAGAAGATGATATTGATGACATTTTAATTGCTAATACAAATTCCAAACCAAAACAAGAAACTAAAGAAAATGCAAATTCCAAACCAAAACAAGAAACTAAAGAAAATGCAAATTCCAAACCAAAACAAGAAACTAAAGAAAATGCAAATTCCAAACCAAAACAAGAAACTAAAGAAAGTACAAATTCCAAACCAAAACAAGAAACTAAAGAAAATGCAAATTCCAAACCAAAACAAGAAACTAAAGAAAGTACAAATTCCAAACCAAAACAAGAAACTAAAGAAAGTACAAATTCCAAACCAAAACAAGAAACTAAAGAAAATGCAAATTCCAAACCAAAACAAGAAACTAAAGAAAATGCAAATTCCAAACCAAAACAAGAAACTAAAGAAAATGCAAATTCCAAACCAAAACAAGAAACTAAAGAAAATGCAAATTCCAAACCAAAACAAGAAACTAAAGAAAATGCAAATTCCAAACCAAAACAAGAAACTAAAGAAAGTACAAATTCCAAACCAAAACAAGAAACTAAAGAAAATGCAAATTCCAAACCAAAACAAGAAACTAAAGAAAATGCAAATTCCAAACCAAAACAAGAAACTAAAGAAAATGCAAATTCCAAACCAAAACAAGAAACTAAAGAAAGTACAAATTCCAAACCAAAACAAGAAACTAAAGAAAGTACAAATTCCAAACCAAAACAAGAAACTAAAGAAAATGCAAATTCCAAACCAAAACAAGAAACTAAAGAAAGTACAAATTCCAAACCAAAACAAGAAACTAAAGAAAGTACAAATTCCAAACCAAAACAAGAAACTAAAGAAAATGCAAATTCCAAACCAAAACAAGAAACTAAAGAAAATGCAAATTCCAAACCAAAACAAGAAACTAAAGAAAATGCAAATTCCAAACCAAAACAAGAAACTAAAGAAATGCAAATTCCAAACCAAAACAAGAAACTAAAGAAAATGCAAATTCCAAACCAAAACAAGAAACTAAAGAAAGTACAAATTCCAAACCAAAACAAGAAACTAAAGAAAGTACAAATTCCAAACCAAAACAAGAAACTAAAGAAAATGCAAATTCCAAACCAAAACAAGAAACTAAAGAAATACAAATTCCAAACCAAAACAAGAAACTAAAGAAAATGCAAATTCCAAACCAAAACAAGAAACTAAAAAATGCAAATTCCAAACCAAAACAAGAAACTAAAGAAAATGCAAATTCCAAACCAAAACAAGAAACTAAAGAAAGTACAAATTCCAAACCAAAACAAGAAACTAAAGAAAATGCAAATTCCAAACCAAAACAAGAAACTAAAGAAAATGCAAATTCCAAACCAAAACAAGAAACTAAAGAAAATGCAAATTCCAAACCAAAACAAGAAACTAAAGAAAGTACAAATTCCAAACCAAAACAAGAAACTAAAGAAAATGCAAATTCCAAACCAAAACAAGAAACTAAAGAAAATGCAAATTCCAAACCAAAACAAGAAACTAAAGAAAGTACAAATTCCAAACCAAAACAAGAAACTAAAGAAAATGCAAATTCCAAAAATGCAGGTTTAAATCGATCTCCTACACCCAAAAATGAAGATGAAGAAGAAGAAAACATACCTGCTAAGGATGAATCTCTGAAATTAGATCCAGATGAATATGAATTTATTTCACCATTAGAATAATTATCATCAACAGTTTAGAAAAATTTAGATCATATTCTTTTTTTTTATAATTATTAAATATTTTGTTTCATATATTAGTCTATTGATATTTTGATGAATGCGTATAAATAACTCAAGCATGTAAATTACTTCCTTTTACATTAACATAATATGAAAGAACAAATTTAATATAAAATGCAATGACTAGTTCTTGCATCGAATAATCTACGTCGAAACAATGTTTTCATCAATATGAGAATGTTCTCTTCATAATGGGATTTGATTTTATCTTCTAAAATATGCAAAATCTTAAATGTAATAGCATAAAGTTGCGGAAAATCCTAGATTAAGGTTGATAAAAGAATAAACAAGCAATTAGGATATAAAAGAGTTCGAATTCATGAAATAACGGATAATTTTTCATGAGTGCGCCACAAACTGCAACACGTAGAAGGCCAGTGAAAACATCACAAGAAAAATCTCAATTACCTAAGGTCAGAAATATGAGAAATGAAATCAATTCTAATTGCTATAGACTTTCAAAGACACAACCAATTTCATCTAAAAGAATTACTCAAGATAAAACAGAATCATACTCGACTAAATATTATAGAGAACATCAGGATGAAGCCGATGATATTAGAACACCTCTTGAAAAACTTAAAGAAGTTGATGCAAAATTAGATGGAGAAATTGAAGATGAAGAAGAAAGATTCACACTATTAATGAAACAAAAAACATTAAGATACATGGTTTATGGCGAAAAATCCGTTGAAGCTCTTTACAGTCACGTTACTCTTGGAGAATTTTATAATTTTCAAGAAACCACTCAAAGCTCAATCCGTCATTTCAAACTTGCAAAGCAATTATTGTCCAGCACAGAACCCGATAATGATACTAAGGCAGCTATTGCTGTTGGTTTGGCCGAAGCATATTTAATAGATTCGTTGGAGAATCAGAAATCCCTTAATGTAGCAGCCAAAGAATTAAAACCAGCACTCAAGGCAGAGATTACCGACCCTTATTTACGCTTTAGACGCGATATGTGCATTGCAAGAATAGTTTACGCGAAAGGAAACATTGATGAAGCATACGAAGCATACCTAGCTGCAGCAGAAACATTACCACAGTGTAATCCACCATCAGATGAAGCAACTGCATCGCTTTACCTCGAAATTGCAGAATGTGGTCGAAATTGTGGCTGCGGAAAGGATGTTGCTGAACATTATAAGAAAGCATACGATATTTACAAGAGTCTTGATATGGAAGACCAAGCAAATGAGATAGAACCATTTACTCATGAAGATTATTTCAAGAACCAAGAAGAGGAAGAAGAAAAACAAGAACAAACCAATGAAAACGAACAAGAACAAGAGAAAAAGCCAGAAGAAGGCAATGAAAATAAAGAAGAAGACCAAAAGAAGGAAGATATTAAGAAAGAAGAAAGTTTCGAACAATTTGAAGAACCAACGGAAGAAAAATCAGAAGAAAAGAAAGAAGAGCCTGAAAAGAAGAAGGAAAATCTTGAAAAGAAAGAAGAAAATCAATCAAATCCAAATCTTCATCTTGGAAGTCGCGAACCAACAGAAGAAAACTTCGAAGATGCAGACAAATAGAAAGCTTGGATACTGTTGAGAATTTTATTGTTATTTGTTATATTTGTATTCCATTAAACTGTTATTTTTGTTTTAATATAAAATTTTTAGAATACTCCCGTTTATTAACGTGCAAACGTTTTTAAATTTGTTGGAAGTGAAAGAAGAAATTCAAAATCATATAGATATTGCCATCGAGTCATTTCATATGCTTTATATTCATATAAATGAAGCATATAGCAATTACAGAGATCCAAAGAAACTCATTATTTCGTTTTGAGAAAAATATCAATGAAAAATTAATTAAAGGTATGGATTTGATAATTGCCTTAGTTAATAAAACAATTTTAAGGTTAAAAACAATCTATTATTTATAAGAACAAAATAAGTTAAAAAAAATTAATAAAATTATTGGATATTATTTGCGAGAGGTGAGAGATTTCTTTTGTAATTTAATAATCTCACGCTCTGTAGCTGCCAAACGCTTCTGTTGGGCTTCTAATTCGTCATTCATGATACGCATTGCGTCATCCATTCCAACAAGAACCGGTCTTGTCTCACAAAGATGTTTATTACATTCTGTAACTTTATTAGTAATAGTTTCTAACTCTAGTAAAGCTGATTGAACTTCTGTTTCTTTTTGTTCTATTTTTTGATGAAGATTTAGAATGCGTTTGAACCTTTTAGCTTCTAATTGTAGGCCAAGTGATTCCAATTTTTCTATTAAAGGGATAATACTTTCTTTTGTCATTATTTCAATTGGAACATGATCTGAAAAGTATTGAGCAGTATCCTTACCTTTGGAGAACATTTTTACGAAAAATTCACTTGTTTGCATTGGATCTGGAAAATTGATATGTGGATTTTGTAAGATAATATCTATAAGTTCAACAGGCATATTGAGAAATTCATCATTTTTCACAAATTCTGGCATATTTTGCGCAATTGTGTCAATGCACTTTTCAGGATCTCCCGCTCCTTGAAGTGCTGCCGCAAGTTCTTCCATTAAAAGTGACAGTCCGGACTCGATTGTTTTTTTTATTTTGTCAATTTTTTATCTCAAATTTTATGAGATCAATAAATGTTAGTTTCAGCTTGAATTCTAAGATTTTAGTTGCAAGTTTAAGTCTTCCGGAAACTGCTACAATAGGAAAGCTGAAAGAAGGTCTCAAAAATAAAATTTTTGAATTTAATATTGGTGATATAATCATAATTATGGAAAAATCAAACGGAACAATTGAAATTCTCGAAAATAACAAGACTATAGGATCGATAACAACAAAAAGCGAACTAAATCTTAAAGCATTACCAAAAAATTTATTATGCGTCTTCAAAACAGTCGATACATACACACAAAAGCAAATTGATCTTCTCAAACCAGTTATAGAAGTAATAGCAGATGTTACAAATGACAATCCACTTTATTATTTGATGGGTTTTCAGTTTTTAGGAAAAGGCAAGAAGAAAACAGTATGCAAAGTCTGTTCCTACTCCCTTCCATTATGTATACAGACATGGTTTCATGATCCAATTATGTTAGTTAAAAAATGCAGAAAAATGAATTTAAACGAATGCGATGAGCAAACGATTACTAACATGATAGAGAACTGTAGATTCGCCAACAAGCTATCTTTATGCGCTTACTCTATAGATATTTGGGGAAAATTAGCAGCTTATCAATTTTTATCGGAAAAAGTACCTTCTATTACAGAAAGCTATATCAGACAGAATATTAGTCGTTGCGTTTCACCAGATGTTAAAGCCTCATCAGAAGCAGAGATAATAGAAAAAACAATTTATCATGTTCGACGACATTCCAGGATGGATGCAAAATCTGCACGTCAGCATTTCTTCAGTACACTTCTAAACGAAGGATGCCAATGCGCATTTATGGAAAAGGTCAAATTTAAAGTTGTAGGATCTTTATTTACAATTCGCCGCTATTTATACATAACTAATAGTAAAATATGGGTTACAAAGGACCTCTCTACCAATGTTTTGGAACAAGGAAAGACGTCTGAGATCGTAAAAACATTTTTTGATGGAGATTGTTTGATTATTGAATTTGTCACAGGCGTAAAATGGTCGCTTAAGTCTATTCGTCCAAAAGTCATCAAGAGCTACATTGATGACATCACACACAACGCGTTTCGTGAATACCAGATTCCGAAATCGATAGAAGTAAGTGAATCAGCATCAAGTAAAGATTCTAAATCAGGAATTCTGCCAAATAATGATGATGAAATGGCTGCTCTTGCTCCTTTTTACAAAGTTGACAATGATGATAACGAAGAAGACGGAAACTACCTTAAATTCTCAAACCAATCAGTCAATATATCAACATATCAGCTGTTAAATGATGCATCAAAAGAAAGAGTTTCTAAAATGGGAAACAGAGTCAGATCTTTGAAACAAGTACCTTCTTGCATTCCAAAACTCAAGATCCCAGAACAGAGTTCTCAAAACGACGTAGTTAATATAAAGAGGATGTCAATGAGTGTCATTTCAATAGTGAAACCTGTTGACGAAACATCAAATTTGATTGATGAACAATATTCGATGCCGACATCAGAAGAGTTCTTCCAATACACAGGATACGAAGTGCTCATGGATAATAAGGCATTGCTATTATGGATCTGTATATTAGTGCTCTTAATATCTATTGCAAGATATTTCGGAGTTGGAACTAAGAAATAATTATTTGTTTTTTGTTTATTATTAAAGCTTTTTTTATGTATGGATTAATTAATATATTACTTCCTAGACAATAGACCTCGCACTTCCTGCTGAAATGAAAATCCAATGACTTAATTTTTTTAACAAAACCTGATATTGATCATAATTAAAATTAAAAATTAAGGATCTCGTTTGGAGAAATAACGGCTGGGATCTCCAAATTCCAAAATATAAGCTTCTCCAATTTTGTAATTTTTATAAAAGTATACCCTATTTTTTACAAATATTACCCCCTTGTTTCTTATCAAAATGTCAGATTTTAACTTTACAAACCATTGGATTGGTAAAGTTTAAAATGTCAAAACTCCCATTGAGTTCACCTCACATTTTCTCCATGGAGACGTGAAGAAAGTATTCAATTATAATTGGTGGAGAAGATAGACTAGTTCAATTTCTCCATGGAGATGGAGAAATGGAGAAGCATTGAAGACGGGCATTGCCTTCGTTTTCACGGAAACTTCCTATTGGCAATATTTTTGGGATTTCAATGATCTATTGATCCCAGTATATAGTTCCAATATTTATTTAGATATATTATTTGAATTTTTATTTCTTGAATGTTAATCAGTATTTATGGCGAATTTATATTATATTTCACCTATAGATATTAGTCACTATCACAAAATATCCTATTTCAAAATTTATAAGAATTTTCAATTTAAAGCAACCTTTATTTGATAATACGAATGAAACTACAATACTTTTCAACTAATATATTAATGATCCTCCTAATTCATCGATAAAATAAATCTAAAATCAATTTCATTGATTCCCAATAAAACCAGTTTAGCCTAAGGGAGTTTGCTTTCGCATTTCTATGTGGATTACTTTCATTTATATTATTCATGAATTTACAAAAATATTCCAAGATATAATTTGCCAATTCTTAATTAAATGTTAAATACTTTCTCAATATTAAGTTTGAGCACAAACTGAGTTAAATTTAGGAATATGACTGATATTTTGTTGTATCTTTTGTCAATTTGTACCAATTTTAGAGTTGGAGAAGATTTTTCTCCATATAATATTTTTAAAATATTATAAAATTTACTGTGTTTATTAGTTATTAACATTGATTCATAAATTAAAAAGTGATATTTCCTAATTTTTAAAGGGTTCGCTGCAACGATACGTAAACAATTTGTCACTTTTTTGTTTCTTTTCATTCGGAGCCTATTTTGGTACTGAGTTATCTATAAAAAATTGGTAAAATTTAACTTGTGTTTAAATGGCTTTATTAATGCAGATAAATATGATGGTGATGCAAAATGCACTAAATCTAAACACTAGTTGAGAAATGTAAGTTATATCTTGACTTTTTAAACAGAAATCATATTTGTTTATGTGTTGTATAAGATATATAATCAACCATAAGAAAAAATATATATTAAAATAAGATTATTAACTTTTTTTATATGTTTATTTGAATTATAACTATTTATTTCTATATACCTTTGAAATTATTTCAGGGAGCCAAAATCGTTTCCCAAATGCTTATCTTTCAAATTACAATAAGAAATTCCTTCTTATTAGTTGATAATATGGTTCAAGCAGCTTGCCAAATCCATAATATTAAGATTTAAATTCAGAACAAAACATTTCATCATAGACTTCTTGCATGTTTTATGAAAATAATCAAGAATTATATGCAAAATAAGAGTTTCTGAAAACTTATAAATGAAAAAAAAAGATTTGATAATTAATAACAATCTTATTTTATAATAAATCAACCTTTCGACGATTATTAATTACCTTGAAGGCAACCCCAATATTTTCCTTTCTAATGTCATCCATAACAATTGTCAATATTTTGTTTACGTATATTTTATAATTTTGATCGCTTAAAATCATTTTTCAAAAATCGTTTTTGAAAATAAAAAAAAATCAAAAAAAATGGTGAAAAAACTAAACTCTGTCAATTTTACATATCTTACTTTCATACTTGGCAGTATATTAAAATATACTATGATAAAAGTAATTATTAAATCAGAATTTAAAAATATTGAACAGAAGTGTTCAAAAAGTGGATTTTTAAAAATGACGATGACAATTAATTGTTGTAAACCATTTAAAAATTGAATACTCTGTAACGTTGCAGCGAACCCTTAATGCTTTGTAATGGCTGTCATATTAGCTCTCTTTTACAAAGATATTGATAGTAGTTGCTATTCAAGTGATGGAAAAATACTTCAAAAAGTTACTGATCCATCACCTTATCTTAGAATATCAGCTAAATGTGAAATTATACAAGTCAACTGCTTTTATAAAAATAAGATGTGAAATTATACAAGTCATCATTAGAATATGGAGTTTTTGAAGATACTCGATTTACTTCTTTTGAAATACCAGAAAGTGTTTCAAAAGTTCATGGTGGCATGTTTACTTTTCTCGAATTACCAACTATAACAATTCATCGTAATAATAAACATTTAATAATTGAAAATGATATACTTTTTTCAACAAATAAAAGCATTTTGTTTTTAGTTCTTAAAAGAAATCTCAGTAGTTATTCAATTCCTGATTCTGTCACAATTCTTGGAGAATACAGTTTTCAAAGAATTGAAACAACTACAATCACTCTTCCCAATTCTGTCACAACTCTTAGAGGTTATTGCTTTTACTATTCTAAAACAACTACAATTACTCTTTCCAACTCACTCACAACTATTGGAGATCAATGTTTTGAGGGATCTAAAATAATAACATTGACAATTCCAGAAAGTGTTAAATCTATTGGATATAGAGCATTCTCTTATTGCGAGAGTCTAACAAAAGTCACATTTTTAGGACAAGTAGATACACTTGGTTCAGGTATATTTTATGCTTGCTATTCTCTCGAACTCATTATATTCCCTAATTCATCAACAATTTTTGACGTAGAATCATTCATTACAAGCAGTTTACGAAATGTTAGAATGTCATTTACTCACAAAACATTATTTTCTTATTACGCAATAGGTACAAATGTTAATATTTCAATTTCATATCTAGATGATCCAAATCTCATTATTACAACAAAATCATTAATCATGAATTATGATCAAACTATATTATATGAATTTTGGGGATATAAATATAATTCAAGAACAATAACAATTCACAACTCAGTTATAAAAAATTGCGAAAAAGCATTTGAAAATTCAACATGTAATAATATAAAATTTGCAGCAAATTCAACGTTATCTGTAATTGGTGAATCTGCATTTCGAAATTGTTCTTCAATCCAGAGTATTAGTCTTCCATCATCAATTCAAATCATCTCAGATTATGCATTCAGTTCCTGCAACAATCTCCAATCAATCATCTTCACAGAATCAAACTCATTAGAGAAAATATCGATTAACTCAATCTCCAATTGCAAATCTCTTTCTGACATCAGTAACTTTTCATCAGAAAAATATATATGCAATTTTAATACTCTTTACTACAAAAACGAAACAGGTCAATATCTTATTTATCACTTGAGTCAATCAAGTGACAAAGTTTTAATTATCAACTGTCAAGTTATCTGTAGTTATTCATTCAATTTCAGCAACAACATCGAAAATATCAGTATTTCATCAAACAGTGTTTCATTGATCCAAACATATTCATTCAACAACTGTTCCAATCTAAAATACATCAACTTCCCTCTCTCAGTTGAAACCGTTGAATCATTTTCATTTAATTTCTGCAATTCTATTCGATGTCCAGTTTTTGTTGAAAACAGATCCAATGACTACATTAACATGATTCAAAATTCAGGGATCCCAAAAAATCTTATAATTACCGCGCCACAAGGATTACAGTTCTTTGTCCCACCAAATAATAATAATTATTGTGCTTTACATTCCTTGAAATTGAAAAAAATTCAGAATAAACAAAAATTTGTCCATTTTATTCATATACAAAGGATAATTTTACCCAGATACAAAATTAGATCAATCAAATGATTAACACTATTGTTTGATTGCTTCTAAAGAATATTATCGATAATCAACTTGAATATTATCCATGCAATAAAAACTATAATTCCAAAAGCAAATGCTATTAGTAATAGAATGCATATACTCTCGCATAACGCATCACAAATTCTACATGATCTTCTTTTGTGCATTAAAAATTTAGGTGTTGTTCCATAAAAATCTTGGTCATTGATATCTGCACCGTGAGAAATAAAAAGTTCTTCTGTTGGGTTATTATATCTTTCATCAACTGCAAAATGATAAGCAGTTTTCCCTTCGTATGTTTTAGCTTTGATATCAGCACCATGTGAAATAAGGAATTCACAACATTCTTCATCTTTTTTATCTGCTAAAATATGAAGAGGTGTTTTCCCTTCATAATCTTCAATATTGACATCTGCATTGTATGAAATGAGACATTTAATTTCATCTAAAAAAATATTCTCAGCAGCATAATGAATAATTGCTCTTCCTTGATTATCTCTAGCATTTATATCTGCACCGTGTGAGAGAAGAAGTTCAATCATTTGTGGAAAACTATATAATATGAAAGTGATATAATGGAGAACTGTTTTTCCTTTATTATCTCTCAAATTAATATTTGCGCCATGTGAAAGAAGCAGCTGAACCACCGCTTCTGAGTTTCTTGACACTGCGCAATGTAGTGCTGAGCAACCTTCGTAATTTCTCAAATTTACCTTTATGCCATTTAAGAGAAGAAGTTCTGCCATTGCTGTATAATTGCTATTTGAAGAGATATGCAGTGCAGTTTCATCATTGATGTTTTGAGCATTGATGTCAATTCCATTTGAGATCAAAAGTCTTGCTACGTTTACTGAATTATTACTTGCAGCAATATGAAGAGCTGTAGAGAATGTTGAATCTCGTTCGTTAATAAAAGCTTCATGTGTAATAAGAAAACCTGCCACAGAATCATTTCTTAGTTTTGCTGCATAAAAAAGTGCCGTCCTTCCTTTATCATCTTTTTCATTGATATTAACACCATTTGAAAGTAGAAGCTCTATAATTTCTCGGTTTTGATGTTCAACAGCAAGTTGAAGATAAGTTTTTCCAAGGGAAACATGTTTCATGAAAGAATTTCTTAAGTAAAATTGTAAGCTGGTATTTGCATTATGTGAGAGAAGGAGGTTTACCATTTTCGGATTATGATTAGTAATAGCATAAAAAAGAGCAGTTTTTCTCTCATTATCAGAGTTATTAATTGTAGAACAATTTAACATTACCAACTTTGCAATTTCTATATTATTATTCATGGCTGCATATATTAAAACAGTTTTCCCATTGCTATCAGATATATTTGTATCAGCGCCATTTGAAATTAGAAACTTTACGAATTCTACATCATTATTCTCAATTGCATGTATTAAAGCAGTTTTTCCATTGTTATCAGGGGTATTTATATAAGCGCCGCTTGAAATTAGAAACTTTACGAATTCTACATCATTATTTTCAATTGCATAAATTAAAGCAGTTTTTCCATTGCTATCACATATATTTATATCAGCACCAATTGATATTAGAAACTTTGCGAATTCTAAATCTTTATTATTTAATGCATAAATTAGAGGTGTTTTTCCCATATTATCAGAGATATTTATATGGGCACTACTTGAGATTAGAAACTTTGCGACTTCTACATCTTTATTCTCAATTGCCTGCAATAAAGCAGTTTTTCCGTTGTTATCAGGGATATTTATATCAGCACCAATTGATATAAGAAACGTTGCGAATTCTACATCTTTATTCTCAATTGCATGCAATAATGCAGTTTTTCCATTGCTATCAGGTATATTTACATCAGCACCAATTGAGATTAGAAATTTTGAGAATTCTAAATCTTTATTATTTAATGCATACATTAACGGAGTTTTTCCATTATTATCATAAGTGTTAATATCACATCCATTTGAGATAATGATATTTGCAATGTCCTTATTATTGTTTAAAATTGCAAGATGAATAGCAGTTTCACCAAAATTATTCTTGTTATTTGAGTCTGCTCCATGTTCGATCAGATATTTTACAAATCCAATATAATTATTTTTAACTGCAATATGGAGTGGTGTATTTCTTTGTAAATCTGATATATTCAAATCTGCCCCATGTGATATTAAAAGTTTTGCTGTTTCAAGATTTTCAAATAATACTGCATAATGAAGAGATGCATTACCACTTTTATCTTTTGCATTTATATCTGTTCCATGGGTTATCAGGAATTCAACTATATCATTACATTGATGTAATGCAGCAAAATGAAGAGGTAATTTGCCATCAATTGTCCTAGAATTTATTAATGCACCTTGAGACAATAGAATTTCAGCGATATCTTTATTATTCATCCATGCGGCAAAGTGAAGAGGACTGCAACCATAATTTAAATTTCTTGAATTAACATCTATTTCTGGAATGTATGAATTTGTTTCATTATTTAATTGAATTTCTGCATTATATGAGAAAAGAAGTTCTATCACTTCTTTACTATTGTTAAAAACTGCATAATGAAGTGCAGATTCATGATTTTCATCATATAAATTGACATCTGCTCCATGTTTTATTAGAAGTTCTGCAATTGTGACGTTATTATTGATTGCTGCATAATGCAAGGCAGTGATTTTCTGATCATTTTGTGCATTTACATTGACACCAAGCTCTATGAAAATTTCTGCGAACTCAGTATTATTGTTCATCATAGCATTATGGAGGACAGTTTGACACACTTTTGTCATTAATTTGACATTTGCACCTTTATCAATAAGAATCTTGATAATGTCAGTGCTGTTATTCAAGGTCGCCAAATGTAATGGTGTTTCTTTGTTTTTATTTTTAGAATTTATTTTAGAACCATGTGCAATCAGCGCTTCGACAATTTGAATATTTTTGCATTTTGAAGCCAAATGAAGTGCTGTATCTCCATTTAAATTTTCTTTATTAACCTTGATCCCATGAGACAATAAGAATTCGACCATTTGTAAATGATTACTTTTTACCGAGAGATGGAGTGCATTATCTTCCTCTTCTGTTTTTGAATCGATCTTTGCACCATGAGAAAGAAAATGTTCCATTAAACATTGTGAATTAAACATTGCTGCATATGGAAAACATTTATTTATATCTTGTGCTTGATCAAGATAAACTAAAAATGCATGAAGGTTGTTGAATTCACAGCATTCTCTTAAATCGATTTGTAAGTTGTATTCTCTTATTAAGAAAGAAACAAAATCGATGTTATGTGAAATTATTGCATATTTCATGCATTTTTGAGTTGGAACTTGATGTTTTAAGCATTCATTCATTATATCTGGAACACCACTCAAAAATGATAATTTGAGACATTTCTTAGTGATTTTTGGTTGGTACTGTTCTTTCAAAAACTTGAAACACTTTGCAGATCCATGATAGCAGCATAATTCAAGCAATGAGTATCCTTTTGATGAAAATGGATAAAAATCATTTGTGATCCTCTGGTTTAAATCGAATTTATCTCTTTCGGTGAATGATACAAAAGATTTCTTGTCATCATTCATGATTGATCTGAAGATTGTATTTTCTTCATATATTTCTAATGAAATATTTCTCGAATCATAACACTTGAACTTCTCAATGTCATTCTGATTGAAAATTACATCAAGATCTTTATAAAAAAAGTAATCAAAAATTGATGATTTTTTGTTTGTTCGATCAAAATTAAATTGCTGATAAACTTTCTTTATAATGAACCAATAAGATGGAAAGTATCTATTATTGTATATTGATGCATTTTCAAGTATGTCAAATATCTGATCTGGCAAAAATATTTTCGCTTCAATGAAATTTGTTCTGATTTCATCATAGATCTTATTGATTTCTTCTACATCAAATGTATTTATATTGTATATTTTGTTTATAACATCAATATAATCATGACATGCATCCATAAGTTCACCATAGATATCTTCCTCCATGATTGTACTTTGACACTTTTTATAACATGAACAATTTTTATAGATAATCTATCGGATCTTTGAGAAAACATATCAACACATAGAGAACAATACTATTTCATTTTAAAAGATATTGTAAAATGTTGAACTCAAAATTTTACGATTTTAGGAAAAAGTGATGCATTTGAATTTCATTCAAATGCGTTTATTTTTTAGTTAAATCAGCATTCTAGGGAAAATGGCACATTTTCCGAAAGTATTAATCCTGGTGCAAATTTTAATCGAAAATTTTGGATCATTCAATTATTGTTTCGAGAGTTAAAAATTAAAAATTCAGATTATTTTTCATGTGTATATGATTTTTATTTTTGACGAGTAGTAAGAGTAAACTTTAAAGATCTTCAAAAAATTATTTCGTTTTCTTATTTCAGATTTTCGTTTATATATTATATTTACATTGAATGAAACATGCATACTATTTCTGAAATATGGTATTTTATGGCAGTAATTATTACAATAAAAAATTCAATTAACGTTCCCCAAAATTAGCCAAATTTTTTTGGCTAGTTAACGTGAGAATTGTGTGATTTGAATAGGTTTTCAAGTTATGCTTCGAACTTGGGGATTTGATTTATTTAATATTTCTCTTTCTAACGTTTCAAAATATGTCGGGTTCAAAATAGACTGACGGGTTCAGATGCCGATCTAATGATAAATTTTAAGATGCACACCAAAACAATAAAATCCCTTTGAGCCATTTTGGTTATCAGCTACTTTATTTTTGACACAATGGCAAAAATATTTTAATGTAAAAAATCTCCAATTCTCACAAACGAGAACGATAGTATTTACAAATTCCCTCAAAACCCAATTTGAATCCGTCAGATAATCTGAACCTCCCAATTTGGAAACGATATATATAAAAAATTATCTGTTTGATAAAATTTATATATATATAATATTTTATATAACCTCCTTGTAATTATATTTTATATTTTATATAAAATATAAAATATAATTACAAGGGAGTTACAAACTCTCAAATTTTACATGAAAGTTTACAAAATTGGAGAAATCAATATTTTGGTATTTGTGGATAAGACCGTTGTTTCTCCAAACGAGAACTTCAATGACAGTTTTCTTACAATGATTTTTTTGTTTTTTTCAGCCTTTTTGAAGATTTCAATTGCAAAAAATGCTTCGAACTTTTAAGATTATATTAATGCTTTGTAATGACTGTCATATTAGCTCTCTTTTACAAAGATATTAATAGTAGTTGCTATTCGAGTGATGGAAAAACACTTCAAGAAGTTACTGATCCATCACCTTATCTTAGAATATCAGCTAAATGTGAAATTATACAAGTCAACTGCTTTTATAATCTAAGTTCCTTAAAATCATTTTCATTTGAAGATAATACTAACTTAACAACTATAGGAGAAAATAGTTTTTACCTTTGTCTGAATCTTACTCTTATTAATCTATCTTCTTGCAAAAAACTAACAAAAATTTCTTCATATGCTTTTTACGATTGCGATCAAGTTACTGAAGTCTTTTTACCAAAAAGAGTTCTTGAAATCGGTTCTTATGCTTTTTATGATGATGTAAGGATAACAAGAATTCTTATTCCAGCATCAGTGGAAAGAATCAATAAAGGTGCATTTAGTACTACCGATCTGCGCGATCTTGAATTTGAAGAAGGATCAAATTTAACATCAATAGAAGCCAATGCTTTTGAACAGACTAAATTTACTTCTTTTGAAATTCCTGAAAGTGTTACAAAAGTCAGTGGTATCGCATTTAATTATCGTGAATTACCAACTATAACAATTCATCGTAAAAATAAACATTTAGTAATTGAAAGCAACAAACTTTTTTCATCAAATAAAAGCATTTTGTTTTTATTTCTTAATAGAAATCTCAATAGTTATGTAATTCCTGAATCCGTCACAGTTCTTGGAGAGTACAGTTTTTATATGAATGAAATAACTTCAATCACTCTTCACAATTCTGTAACAACTCTTAAAGATTATTGCTTTTACTTTTGTTCTAATCTGATAACATTGACAATTCCAGAAAGCGTGAAATATATTGGAGAAGGAGCATTCACGTCTTGTACTAGTTTAATCAATGTCACATTTTTAGGTCAGGTTGATCAACTTGGTCTGTATATATGTAGTGATTGCAGAGCTCTCGAACTCATTATTTTCCCTAATTCACCAACAATCTTTGATGCATTTTATTTAATTAGTAGTGATATACAAAACGTAAGAATGGCATTCACCCACAAAACATTATTTTCATATGTTTCAATTCAAACAAATGTGAATATTTCAGTTTCATATCTAGATAACCCAAATCTCATTATTACAACAAATTTACTAGTAATGAATTATGACCAAACTATATTATATGAATTTTAGGGATATGAATCTTTTGGAGATGACTACTATAATTTAATAACAATTCCCCACTCAGTTATTACAATTTGCAAAAGAGCATTTGAGAACTCAAAAAGTATTATAGAATTTGAAAGAAATTCACAGTTATCTGTTATTGGTGAATCTGCATTTCGAAATTGTTCTTCAATCCAGAGTATTAGTCTTCCATCATCAATTCAAATCATCTCAGATTATGCATTCAGTTCCTGCAATAAACTCCGATCAATCATTTTCACAGAATCAAACTCATTAGAGAAAATATCTATTAACTCAATCTCCGATTGCAAATATCTTTCTAACATCAGTAACTTTTCATCAGCTAAATATACATGCAATTTTAATACTCTTTACTAGGGATGCGTTAAACACGCCATTTGACCGGGCGTACATTTTTTTGTTCGCCCAAAAATTTCGCCATTTGAGAAATTCAAAAATTAAAAATAAAATTTTAATCTTGATTTTTTTATTTTCGTGATTTTTTTGAAACTTACATAAGCGATGAAATACTTTTTTTTAAGTAATCGTTTATTATATATAAATATATCTTAATAAATTTAATTCCTTAAGGTAGAGCGTGTTCAAATTTAAAATCTCATACAATATTTTCTTAATGGCGTATTTTTCTGAGGTCGCCCAAATAAAGGCGAATTCAAAATTGAGAACTCCAAGGCGTATGGCGAGTATTCAAAAAGTACGCCACTTACAAAATATTGAATGTGGATTATCAATTTTTTGGCGTGTTCAATTTCAAATTTTGATATTTATGTTTATTTTATTCAGTATAATGCTAAGAATTAAAATATAAAATTCATAGAATTTTTCTTTGAAAATATTTTACATTTTTATTAGACCACTCCTAGACTAGTCATCAGGTTATCCTCAGATCATCCTCAGACTACTCCTTAGACCCCTCCTCATCAGACTATTCCTCAGATCTTCCTCATAAGACTCCTCCTCAGATCTTCCTCCTGAGACTACTCTTCAGACTACTCCTTAGAGTCCTCATCATCAGACTAGTCCTGAGACTAGTCCCCAGACTACTCCTGAAACTACTCCTCAGATTATCCTCAAACTCCTCAGATTATCCTCAAACTCCTCAGACTACTCCTCAAACTCCTCAGACTACTTCTCAAACTCCTCAGATTATCCTCAAACTCCTCAGATTATCCTCAAACTCCTCAGACTACTTCTCAAACTCCTCAGATTATCCTCAAACTCCTCAGACTACTCCTCAAACTCCTCAGATTATCCTCAAACTCCTCAGTCTAATCCTCAGACTCCTCCTCAGATTATGCTCAAACTACTCCTCGGTCTAATCCTCAGACTCCTCCTCAGATTATGCTCAGATTATCCTCAAACTCCTCAGACTACTCCTCAAACTCCTCAGATTATCCTCAAACTCCTCAGATTATCCTCAAACTCCTCAGATTATCCTCAAACTCCTCAGACTAATCCTCAGACTCCTCCTCAGATTATCCTCAAACTCCTCAGTCTAATCCTCAAACTCCTCAGATTATCCTCAAACTCCTCGGATTATCCTCAAACTCCTCGGATTATCCTCAAACTCCTCAGATTATCCTCAAACTCCTCAGTCTAATCCTCAGACTCCTCCTCAGATTATCCTCAAACTCCTCAGATTATCCTCAAACTCCTCAGTCTAATCCTCAGACTCCTCCTCAGATTATGCTCAGATTATCCTCAAACTCCTCAGTCTAATCCTCAGACTCCTCCTCAGATTATGCTCAGATTATCCTCAAACTCCTCAGTCTAATCCTCAGGCTCCTCCTCAGATTATGCTCAGATTATCCTCAAACTCCTCAGATTATCCTCAGACTACTCCTCAAACTCCTCAGTCTAATCCTCAGACTCCTCCTCAGATTATGCTCAGATTATCCTCAAACTCCTCAGTCTAATCCTCAAACTCCTCAGATTATCCTCAAACTCCTCGGATTATCCTCAAACTCCTCAGATTATCCTCAAACTCCTCAGATTATCCTCAAACTCCTCAGTCTAATCCTCAGACTCCTCCTCAGATTATGCTCAGATTATCCTCAAACTCCTCAGTCTAATCGTCAGGTTCCTGCTCAGATTATGCTCAAATTATCCTCAAACTCCTCAGTCTAATCCTCAGACTCCTCCTCAGATTATGCTCAGATTATCCTCAAACTCCTCAGTCTAATCCTCAGGCTCCTCCTCAGATTATGCTCAGATTATCCTCAAACTCCTCAAATTATCCTCAGACTACTCCTCAAACTCCTCAGTCTAATCCTCAGACTCCTCCTCAGATTATGCTCAGATTATCTTCAAACTCCTCAGTCTAATCCTCAGACTCCTCCTCAGATTATCCTCAAACTCCTCAGATTATCCTCAAACTCCTCAGACTACTTCTCAAACTCCTCAGACTACTTCTCAAACTCCTCAGATTATCCTCAAACTCCTCAGACTACTCCTCAAACTCCTCAGACTACTCCTCAAACTCCTCAGATTATCCTCAAACTCCTCAGATTATCCTCAAACTCCTCAGATTATCCTCAAACTCTTCAGTCTAATCCTCAGACTCCTCCTCAGATTATCCTCAAACTCCTCAGATTATCCTCAAACTCCTCAGTCTAATCCTCAGACTCCTCCTCAGATTATCCTCAAACTCCTCAGATTATCCTCAAAACTCCTCAGACTATCTCAAACTCCTCAGACTACTTCTCAAACTCCTCAGATTATCCTCAAACTCCTCAGACTACTCCTCAAACTCCTCAGACTACTCCTCAAACTCCTCGGATTATCCTCAAACTCCTCGGATTATCCTCAAACTCCTCAGATTATCCTCAAACTCCTCAGTCTAATCCTCAGACTCCTCCTCAGATTATCCTCAAACTCCTCAGATTATCCTCAAACTCCTCAGTCTAATCCTCAGACTCCTCCTCAGATTATGCTCAGATTATCCTCAAACTCCTCAGTCTAATCCTCAGGCTCCTCCTCAGATTATGCTCAGATTATCCTCAAACTCCTCAGATTATCCTCAGACTACTCCTCAAACTCCTCAGTCTAATCCTCAGACTCCTCCTCAGATTATGCTCAGATTATCCTCAAACTCCTCAGTCTAATCCTCAAACTCCTCAGATTATCCTCAAACTCCTCGGATTATCCTCAAACTCCTCAGATTATCCTCAAACTCCTCAGATTATCCTCAAACTCCTCAGTCTAATCCTCAGACTCCTCCTCAGATTATGCTCAGATTATCCTCAAACTCCTCAGTCTAATCCTCAGACTCCTCCTCAGATTATGCTCAGATTATCCTCAAACTCCTCAGTCTAATCCTCAAACTCCTCAGATTATCCTCAAACTCCTCGGATTATCCTCAAACTCCTCGGATTATCCTCAAACTCCTCAGATTATCCTCAAACTCCTCAGTCTAATCCTCAGACTCCTCCTCAGATTATGCTCAAATTATCCTCAAACTCCTCAGTCTAATCCTCAGACTCCTCCTCAGATTATGCTCAGATTATCCTCAAACTCCTCAGTCTAATCCTCAGGCTCCTCCTCAGATTATGCTCAGATTATCCTCAAACTCCTCAGTCTAATCCTCAAACTACTCCTCGGTCTAATCCTCAGATTATCCTCAAACTCCTCAGATTATCCTCAAACTCCTCAGACTACTTCTCAAACTACTCAGATTATCCTCAAACTACTCAGACTACTCCTCAAACTCCTCAGTCTAATCCTCAGACTCCTCAGACTACTCCTCAAACTCCTCAGATTATCCTCAAACTCCTCAGTCTAATCCTCAGACTCCTCCTCAGATTATCCTCAAACTACTCCTCGGTCTAATCCTCAGACTCCTCCTCAGATTATGCTCTGATTATCCTCAAACTCCTCAGATTATCCTGAAACTCCTCAGATTATCTTAAAACTCCTCAGATTATCCTCAAACTACTCCTCGGTCTAATCCTCAGACTCCTCCTCAGATTATCCTCAAACTCCTCAGACTACTCCTCAAACTCCTCAGATTATCCTCAAACTCCTCAGATTATCCTCAAACTCCTCAGACTACTCCTCAAACTCCTCAGTCTAATCCTCAGACTCCTCCTCAGATTATGCTCAGATTATCTTCAAACTCCTCAGTCTAATCCTCAGACTCCTCCTCAGATTATCCTCAAACTCCTCAGTCTAATCCTCAAACTACTCCTCGGTCTAATCCTCAGATTATCCTCAAACTCCTCAGATTATCCTCAAACTCCTCAGACTACTTCTCAAACTACTCAGATTATCCTCAAACTACTCAGACTACTCCTCAAACTCCTCAGTCTAATCCTCAGACTCCTCAGACTACTCCTCAAACTCCTCAGATTATCCTCAAACTCCTCAGTCTAATCCTCAGACTCCTCCTCAGATTATCCTCAAACTACTCCTCGGTCTAATCCTCAGACTCCTCCTCAGATTATGCTCTGATTATCCTCAAACTCCTCAGATTATCCTGAAACTCCTCAGATTATCTTAAAACTCCTCAGATTATCCTCAAACTACTCCTCGGTCTAATCCTCAGACTCCTCCTCAGATTATCCTCAAACTCCTCAGACTACTCCTCAAACTCCTCAGATTATCCTCAAACTCCTCAGATTATCCTCAAACTCCTCAGACTACTCCTCAAACTCCTCAGATTATCCTCAAACTCCTCAGATTATCCTCAAACTCCTCAGTCTAATCCTCAGGCTCCTCCTCAGATTATGCTCAGATTATCCTCAAACTCCTCAGATTATCCTCAAACTCCTCAGATTATCCTCAAACTCTTCAGTCTAATCCTCAGACTCCTCCTCAGATTATCCTCAAACTCCTCAGATTATCCTCAAACTCCTCAGTCTAATCCTCAGACTCCTCCTCAGATTATCCTCAAACTCCTCAGATTATCCTCAAACTCCTCAGACTACTTCTCAAACTCCTCAGACTACTTCTCAAACTCCTCAGATTATCCTCAAACTCCTCAGACTACTCCTCAAACTCCTCAGACTACTCCTCAAACTCCTCAGATTATCCTCAAACTCCTCAGATTATCCTCAAACTCCTCAGATTATCCTCAAACTCCTCAGATTATCCTCAAACTCCTCAGTCTAATCCTCAGACTCCTCCTCAGATTATGCTCAGATTATCCTCAAACTCCTCAGTCTAATCCTCAGACTCCTCAGATTATCCTCAAACTCCTCGGATTATCCTCAAACTCCTCAGTCTAATCCTCAAACTCCTCAGATTATCCTCAGACTCCTCAGATTATCCTCAAACTCCTCAGACTACTTCTCAAACTCCTCAGACTACTTCTCAAACTCCTCAGACTACTTCTCAAACTCCTCAGATTATCCTCAAACTACTCAGACTACTCCTCAAACTACTCCTCGGTCTAATCCTCAGATTATCCTCAAACTCCTCAGACTACTTCTCAAACTCCTCAGATTATCCTCAAACTACTCAGACTACTCCTCAAACTCCTCAGATATTCTTAAAACTCCTCAGATTATCCTCAAACTACTCAGATTATCCTCAAACTCCTCAGATTATCCTCAAACTCCTCAGACTACTCCTCAAACTCCTCAGATTATCCTCAAACTCCTCAGATTATCCTCAAACTCCTCAGATTATCCTCAAACTCCTCAGACTAATCCTCAGACTCCTCCTCAGATTATGCTCAGATTATCCTCAAACTCCTCAGTCTAATCCTCAGACTCCTCAGATTATGCTCAGATTATCCTCAAACTCCTCAGACTACTTCTCAAACTCCTCAGACTACTTCTCAAACTCCTCAGATTATCCTCAAACTACTCAGACTACTCCTCAAACTCCTCAGATTATCCTCAAACTACTCAGACTACTCCTCAAACTACTCCTCGGTCTAATCCTCAGATTATCCTCAAACTCCTCAGACTACTCCTCAAACTCCTCAGATTATCCTCAAACTACTCAGACTACTGCTCAAACTCCTCAGTTTAATCCTCAGACTCCTCAGATTATGCTCAGATTATCCTCAAACTCTTCAGATTATCTTAAAACTCCTCAGATTATCTTAAAACTCCTCAGACTACTTCTCAAACTCCTCAGATTATCCTCAAACTACTCAGACTACTCCTCAAACTCCTCAGATTATCCTCAAACTCCTCAGACTACTCCTCAAACTCCTCAGATTATCCTCAAACTCCTCAGATTATCCTCAAACTCCTCAGTCTAATCCTCAGGCTCCTCCTCAGATTATGCTCAGATTATCCTCAAACTCTTCAGTCTAATCCTCAGACTCCTCCTCAGATTATCCTCAAACTCCTCAGATTATCCTCAAACTCCTCGGATTATCCTCAAACTCCTCAGTCAAATCCTCAGACTCCTCCTCAGATTATCCTCAAACTCCTCAGATTATCCTCAAACTCCTCAGACTACTTCTCAAACTCCTCAGACTACTTCTCAAACTCCTCAGACTACTTCTCAAACTCCTCAGACTACTTCTCAAACTCCTCAGATTATCCTCAAACTACTCAGACTACTCCTCAAACTCCTCAGATTATCCTCAAACTACTCAGACTACTCCTCAAACTACTCCTCGGTCTAATCCTCAGATTATCCTCAAACTCCTCAGACTACTTCTCAAACTACTCAGATTATCCTCAAACTACTCAGACTACTCCTCAAACTCCTCAGATTATCCTCAAACTCCTCAGATTATCTTAAAACTCCTCAGATTATCCTCAAACTCCTCAGTCTAATCCTCAGGCTCCTCCTCAGATTATCCTCAAACTACTCAGTCTAATCCTCAGGCTCCTCCTCAGATTATGCTCAGATTATCCTCAAACTCTTCAGTCTAATCCTCAGACTCCTCCTCAGATTATCCTCAAACTCCTCAGATTATCCTCAAACTCCTCAGATTATCCTCAAACTCCTCAGATTATCCTCAAACTCCTCAGTCTAATCCTCAGACTCCTCCTCAGATTATCCTCAAACTCCTCAGATTATCCTCAAACTCCTCAGACTACTCCTCAAACTCCTCAGACTACTCCTCAAACTCCTCAGACTACTTCTCAAACTCCTCAGATTATCCTCAAACTCCTCAGATTATCCTCAAACTCCTCAGACTACTCCTCAAACTCCTCAGATTATCCTCAAACTCCTCAGATTATCCTCAAACTCCTCAGATTATCCTCAAACTCCTCAGACTAATCCTCAGACTCCTCCTCAGATTATGCTCAGATTATCCTCAAACTCCTCAGTCTAATCCTCAGACTCCTCAGATTATGCTCAGATTATCCTCAAACTCCTCAGACTACTTCTCAAACTCCTCAGACTACTTCTCAAACTCCTCAGATTATCCTCAAACTCCTCAGACTACTCCTCAAACTCCTCAGATTATCCTCAAACTACTCAGACTACTCCTCAAACTACTCCTCGGTCTAATCCTCAGATTATCCTCAAACTCCTCAGACTACTCCTCAAACTCCTCAGATTATCCTCAAACTCTTCAGATTATCCTCAAACTCCTCAGACTACTCCTCAAACTCCTCAGATTATCCTCAAACTACTCAGATTATCCTCAAACTCCTCAGATTATCCTCAAACTCCTCAGACTAATCCTCAGACTCCTCCTCAGATTATCCTCAAACTCTTCAGATTATCCTCAAACTTCTCAGATTATCCTCAAACTCCTCAGACTACTTCTCAAACTCCTCAGATTATCCTCAAACTCCTCAGATTATCCTCAAACTCCTCAGATTATCTTAAAACTCCTCAGATTATCCTCAAACTCCTCAGTCTAATCCTCAGGCTCCTCCTCAGATTATCCTCAAACTCCTCAGACTACTCCTCAAACTCCTCAGATTATCCTCAAACTTCTCAGATTATCCTCAAACTCGTCAGATTATCCTCAAACTCCTCAGACTAATCCTCAGACTCCTCCTCAGATTATCCTCAAACTCTTCAGATTATCCTCAAACTTCTCAGATTATCCTCAAACTCCTCAGACTACTTCTCAAACTCCTCAGATTATCCTCAAACTACTCAGACTACTCCTCAAACTCCTCAGATTATCTTAAAACTCCTCAGATTATCCTCAAACTCCTCAGTCTAATCCTCAGGCTCCTCCTCAGATTATCCTCAAACTCCTCAGACTACTCCTCAAACTCCTCAGACTACTCCTCAAACTCCTCAGATTATCCTCAAACTCTTCAGATTATCCTCAAACTCCTCAGACTACTCCTCAAACTCCTCAGATTATCCTCAAACTCCTCAGATTATCCTCAAACTCCTCAGATTATCCTCAAACTCCTCAGTCTAATCCTCAGACTCCTCCTCAGATTATCCTCAAACTCTTCAGATTATCCTCAAACTTCTCAGATTATCCTCAAACTCCTCAGACTACTTCTCAAACTCCTCAGATTATCCTCAAACTACTCAGACTACTCCTCAAACTCCTCAGATTATCCTCAAACTCCTCAGATTATCTTAAAACTCCTCAGATTATCCTCAAACTCCTCAGTCTAATCCTCAGGCTCCTCCTCAGATTATCCTCAAACTCTTCAGACTACTCCTCAAACTCCTCAGACTACTCCTCAAACTCCTCAGACTACTCCTCAAACTCCTCAGACTACTCCTCAAACTCCTCAGATTATCCTCAAACTCCTCAGATTATCCTCAAACTCCTCCTCAGATTATGCTTAAACTCCTCAGATTATCCTCAAACTCCTCCTCAGATTATCATTTTACATATATATATATCGATAACTAAATAATTACTTATTATACTTTCTTTATTTTTTTTTAATTTTAAAATAATATTAATATATCTTTCTACGTTTAATGATGAAAAGAGAAAAGAAAGAGAGAGAGAAAAAAAAAATAAAAAGGACGGCGATAATTTTGTATTGTTTTGTTATTCGGCCGAATGGCGGGTATGAAGTAGCCGCCATTCGGCCCCAAAAATGGCGTATTATTCTATTTTTAAACGGTCATGGCGTAAAACCGTCGCATCCCTACTCTTTACTACAAAAACGAAACAGGTCAATATCTTATTTATCACTTGAGTCAATCAAGTGACAAAGCTTTAATTATTAACTGTCAAGTTATCTGTAGTTATTCATTCAATTATAGCAACAACATCGAAAATATCATTATTTCATCAAACAGTGTTTCATTGATCCAAACACATTCATTCAACAACTGTTCCAATCTTAAATACATCAACTTCCCTCTCTCAGTTGAAACCGTTGAATCATTTTCATTTAATTTCTGCAATTCTATTCGATGTCCAGTTTTTGTTGAAAACAGATCCAATGACTACATTAACATGATTCAAAATTCAGGGATCCCAAAAAATCTTATAATTACCGCGCCACAAGGATTACAGTTCTTTGTCCCACCAAAAAATGATACAGACGACTGTACTTTTCACACCTTTAAGTTGACGACATTTGGGACTCAACCAAAATTTGTCCATATTATTTATGCACAAAGTATAGTTTTTATTTAGATGCAAAATTAATTCAATCAAATGATTAACAGATTTGTTTACATTCGTCTAAAGAATTGATATCGAAGAACTCACTCTGAACTGTTTTGACGAGCCTTTTATAGAGATCTCAGGTCAAAATGCATTTTTTTTTATTTTCCCAAAAATAAGTTTTTACATGAACATGTGTATATTATATGAAGTATATTGATAAGGTAAAAATTAAATTTTATTGCATATTCATCGAGAAAATAAACTAACGAATCCCTCAAAATTGAGAGGGTAATCCTCCTCTCAAATAAACGTACATACGGGTGCACCCTTAAACCACATTGATTATTAGCAACCGAACGGAGATATTTAATATAGACTATCTCTAATAAATCAATGCATAAAACAAATTCAAACCAGATCGCTACTTTTTTTGTGGATTTTTCAAATTTAGGTGATATATCTCTATTGAAGGAGATTCATTTTAATTACGACATATAGCATGATCGAACACAATGAAATTGAAGGTTAATAAGGGTTCTGATCAGGGATTTCTGATATAATAAAAGTAAGAGACTTGCCATCAAACATCTATTTGACAAATGAAATGAGCTGCAAATCGGCATCCAATCATAATGCTTCATAGTCTGAGCTTAGATTTTCAGATTCAAATCACAACCTCCACTAATATTATCTTTGATCGGCCAAAACGTTTAAGTACTATAATACAATAAATAAGCGTAATAAATGCAAAAACCAATCAACTATCGGTTCATTATCACCAACAAAAAAATTAAATATAAAAGGTTCTTAAATACGTAAATTTACACAACTGAGTTTCATTTTATTAGTTCATCAATAAGAAATCACTTTGGATATTGAATATCGTTTCAAAATTTTGACACTAGGATTTATCCATCAAAACATTTTATTTTGCACTTGATTTTTCATTAGAGCAATCAAATCGTTTTTATGAAATCAGATTTTGTTTTTTTTTTAAATCGGATATTCCATAAAAATTCCATTTGATAATAGATATTGATGTTTTGTTGACTTCACGAGTCGATAATTCTTTTTTCAAAAAATTATGAAATTGAAAAGCTCTAAACGTACAATGATGATCAATACTCTTTTTTCGATAATAAAATCTATATAATACGAGACTCACCAATAAAAATTCATGATAACTCAATAAAATTAAGCTCATATCACATTCTGAAAAAGTTATAAATTACGAAGGGTAATTTACCCTTTGTACTTTTTGAAAGGAAATAAAAGAAATAAACAATTCCTTTTTATGATGTTAAACTGATTTCCCATATTTCGTTTATTTAGAACCAATTTTTCAATAGTTGTAAATTTAAAATAAATAATATGTCTACTTTCCAATTCGATCATTGCGTTGTTTTAAATCAACACGCTGAAAGGCTTAAAGCAGCCTTATACAATGTAAACAAAACAATCAATCCTAAAGAAAATTCAGTTCTTCAGAGTAAAGAGATCAAAGATCTTTGCAAAGCAATCAAAGATGGAAAAACAATGGATCAAGAAAAATTCCCACATCTTGACAATGATAAGATCACTCACTATGGAGGATTCTTAAGAACTCCATTCTCCGTTTTAAACCATTATATGAATTTCCAAGGCAGAGCAATTGACGCACTTCGTGATGCCCTTAACGAATCAAAGATCTTCGATATCAGCTGGAACTACATATACGTTATTCCAGTTCTTAAGTTATTCGTAAATTATTGCCAGTTAAACTTCTTTGTTAATCACATCAAGGATCTAGATCGTGTCGTCATGGTCTACAGGTACTGCTACTTCAAGAACCAGTCGCATGAATGCCCAACTGCCCAAGCTTTACTTAAAACTCTCCAAGAAAGACAAGGTTTTAAGATTCTCGATGCTGAATTGCAGCAAGTTAACGAGAAGTTCAGAGCCCTCTTCAAATCCATCATAGCAATTATTTCTCGTCTTCTCAAGGCCGGATCCGGATATACTTGGAAAGATCTCAACCTTTCCGACAATCCAAATCCAGCTGACAAGGACAACATCTTCATCAAGCCAGAATACATCATCATGCAGAACATGAAGCTCATTACTGAAGCATTTACATATTTCTGCATCGTTAGAGGCGAAGTTCTCCATGAAGAGCGCATTTTCGCCGATGCTTTCCTTGACATTTTAGCCCACAATACCCAAATCCACCTTTGTGGCGAGTTTACCCTTGATATCCAGGATATCATCTCAGAATTCTCCAAGGTAAAGCAAAGCAAGAAGAGTTTCGACGTATCCATCCTCAACAGCGTCGACTCCCGTCGCGAAGACCTTGTTCGCAACCGCCTTTACCGCCAAAGAAAGTTGGCCATGATTTTGAGAGAGTACCATACAGTTGCCACATACAATTTCGACACAATTCTTCCTAAGCTCCCGATTATCCAGGCAATCATGGGTTACGCGAACTTCGAAATCCTTTCTGGCGTTTTCATGACCGATGACAAGTACTTCAACAAGCTCAAACCAGAAGATAAGAACAATATCGCTTCAACTCTTATCGGTTTGATCGAAGCCGCTTCCGAAATGATCATTTTATTCGCTAGAAACAAGTTCGAAGTTGCCCGTTTCCTTGTTTACAACTTCCGTGAGTACGATGGTCCATTCCTTGATACAGAGATTCACTCCTTCAACCTTCCGAACGAGAACTTCCAGAGATTATCTAAAATCAAAGATGCTCTCAAATCTGTTGATATTTCTGCCTTCGATAATGGCACCAAATACGATGTCTCCGGTCTTTCCATGGCTCTCATGCGCGAAATGTCCTTCTTCAACTCATATTCCAGATCTCGTGGTCTTGCTCACTTGGCACCATTATTCACTCTCATATCATCTATCTACACACGCATCAATCTCTACAATACATTGGACCTCGCGTTCCTCGAAATTTGCCAATTACATCGTTTATGGGGCTACAACAAGTTCTTCCAGGAGAACGTCGCGATTGATGACAAGAAGAGCCATCTCATGGAGAAAGCCGCAACATTACTCTACCTCGCCCACTTCTACCAGTACGATATCCCATCTCTTGCTGAAGTTGAGAACTACAAGGACGACATGAAGGAATTCCTGAAGACATCCAAGAAGATTGTCGCAGACAACATCTCCCACTTCGCATTCAAGCTGAGAGATAACTCATTGCCAGAATTAGTCAACCAAACTAAGCCATCTATTGCAATCCAAGTCCGTGCGGAAGCACATCGCGAGGCAGGACAACCAGTGAAGGCTAAAAAGCCATCACAGTTGCCAATTGGCCAAGAATCAATTTTAACAAACAGAAAACTCTTGACTTTCATCGATAACGCTACACAAGCCATGGACAAGTTGTTCATTGACGTCAAGCAGATCGGCTCTGTCCAGTCTTTCGGCGAAACAGTCACTGTTTACGAAGATATCAAGAATGGTCTTATGAATTACTTCGCCGGTAGCTTCTGGAAGAAGGTAAAGGCCGACTCACCATTCGCTGTTGACGATATCCTCAACGAAACGAAGGTCATCCTCCAGCACGCGACAAACGCCGCACTCCTCGATTACACCGTCGAGTACGACAAGATCTTCAATACACTCACACAGATAAGCATCGTTAAGTCAGACCACTTGACAGTTGAGGCTGACAAATCTGGCGCTTTGGCCACTATAATGGGTAATATGTACAGAAACTTCCTCAAGACAATTCTCCCGAATTCATACTTCTCCAACGTATCACAAATGTTCGTTTCTTCAGCAAAGAACAGCGATCTTCCTTCACAACTCGGTTCTCCAAATGCAATTCGCGTAATTTACAACATCCTCGGAGCAAAGGGTCTCGCAATGATCGATATCATCGCTTGCGAGGTTTTCGCTGAGGTTGGCGAACAACTTGCAAAGGAAATGTCAAATGGAAAATATCCAGATATAATTGTAAAGGCATTCAATGAGAATTCGTCTAAGCCAAACCAATGGCTCAAGGGCGCAGCCCAAGATCCAGGTTTCGAGCCAACAGCTACAAAGGCATCAGAACTTATGATTCATCTTGGCGCAATTTCTCGTTTCAGACGCTTACTCAGATCATCAGTACCATTCAAACAGAAAGAGCTCACAGAATACCCATACCTTGCTCAGACAATCAAACCAGAAAACGATGAAGTTCTCGGACCACTTCTTGTCAACACAAATATCCAGAAGCTCATGTCCTCAGAGAACGCACCACAGATTTTCGGATCAGCTTTGATCTCAATTTACTGGTACGACCTCAAATACGAAATCGGAACAAACGCATTTCCAAACGACGGCCATCTGTTCGCAATGGGATTCGAAGCCGTTGTCGCCGCTGCTAAGAAGGAAAGAGTCACTCTCCGTTCGATTATGAAAGATTTCGTCGCTACTCTCTATTACACAATGCCAGCAGCCCACGACATTAACAATCTCAGAGCAAAGAAAGGAAAGTGGCCAAAGCAGCACATGGTTCTTTTGATCGACCACATCGTTCAGAACTCGAATTACGTCGACTACGCAATCCTCGAACAGGTGTTACCTTTCTCTACTATTAGACACGTATATGCAAATATCTTCGCCCAGTCAAAGAGCGAAAAGTTCTACTTATAAATTTTTTTTATTTTTTATTCAAAAACCAGAAAAAATTAATTTCATTTATTACAAAAAGTCAAAGGACGATTTCCGTGTTATGGATTTTAAATAAAAAGTTTTCGTTTATATTTTAAATTTTAACTAATTTTTTGTTTCTTAACTTCTCTCTAATGAAACATCTCGTCTTGATTGTGATAGTTTCATGAACTCAAATGATAGAAAATTTACTTTTATTTAATAAGATTTTGAAAAATATGATATTCAGTTTATTCTAATAATGGAAGAAATTATTACAATTGATAAGTTCTCATCAGCCACCATTTAGAATATGGTTTATCTTGAAAACACACAATATCTCAAATTATTATTACGTATATTAAGAATTAATAAGTTTAAATAGGTTCAACTAGTATAAGATTAAGCTTTTGCCTTTGAAATATGATATGTCTGCCCTTATTGAATTTTGATTTTTGGAAATGTAAATTTTAATTTCATGAAATAAGATTTTCTGTTAGTATTCAATGAATGCATTAATACATCAGCTCGATTTGTACTCTGAAAAGATCAATGAAAATAATTTTTGAGAAAATTCAGCTATTTGATGATTTTCATGTGAACATAGTTCATCTAGACGTTCTTGAATGATTTCATATTGATCTTTTATTATGTCATCATTATAATTTCTTTTGACAAAAGAATCAACGATATTTAAACCAACAAGAATGCACTTGGTATCATCTGATTCAATTATATCTGAAATGGAATTAAAAATACCTAAAGAAATAAAAGTAATAAGATTTGCATTTGTTCCAAATTCAATTATATCTTTAATCAGCTTTGCAGTATCAATTCTAACTAAAAATGGTCCTTTATCTAATAAATTCATGATATTTTGAATCATTTCATTGCTGAAATGAATTGAGTAGCTTGGTGATGATAATATTTTCATTGCTAAGAGATTTAAAGTCAAACACATAAATTCTTGCTTCAATTCAGTATTGATAGATTTTAACTGAGTGAATGTACTGAGGATTTCAATAGAAAGCATCCTTAAATATGAAATTTGAATTTCGGAGAGATTAAGGAGTAATTCCATAGCTGAAACTCTAGGCCTTATCTTAGAATTTAATATAATTTCTGTAAATAGTTGCAAAAATTCATCCGAATCTTGTATTAGCTGTAAAACATCTCCTTTTGCAATTTTTTGAATATTATCTAGTGTCTTTATGAATTGGCACATTGATAAATCATTCAAATCATCGTGGTTTCTAAGAAAGTATATTGAAATTTCAGCAATTCTTGTTAAAATTTCAAAATTAAGAGGAAACTTCGTGATTGAAAGTAACAAGTATGATATTTCATCTGGAGGTAATCTATTATCAGCTTGTTCAAATATAATGTTTGAAAAATTATCAATCACCTGATTCCTAGCATTTTCTGATCGACTAGATAGAGTTGAAATCATATGGATTAGTTCATTGCATTTTACACTATTTGAACAATTTGTGAAATATCCATAAGCTCTTTCCAAAAATGAAAATTGATTTGAGATTAATCTTTCAATATCAAATTGTTCATTTTCTATAAAGAGTGAATTCATGATTATCAAATATGCATCTGAGAATTCCTTATTTTCTCTATTAAATGATAAGTCAATAATTTTTTCTAAAAATTGGTCTGTGAGCATATTTGGTTCAAAAATAGAATCACCAAAAACATCTATTATCTCATCAAATTCATCAGCAATACTAATTAATATGTCAAGATCATTTGTTTCTAAAAACTGAGAAATATCATCGAGAAGTATAGATTTAGCCCCAACAATATCATCATCCTCTTGATCATCGCTGTTTTGTCCCTTCTTTCCCTTTTGGCACAGCATTATGTTGGATGAATAAAGAAAATCTTAATGAAAAAATGAATTTAATGATAAAAAATATACAAAACCTATATGTTCTACTGCTATGCTCTATATATGCTTAATCAATGCTTTTCCTAAATTTTGTCTTTCTTTGAATTTTTTTGATTTTTTGTCACTTTTGATGGCGGAAACGAAGGCTAAAATCCCCAATCTGCCAAAGAAAAGAGACTTTCGTCAGAGAGCTCATTGCAATCCTTTGAGTGACCGCGACATTCCTTACCCATTAAATCCAGATGTTGTCGATTGGACTGAATATTATCCAATTTTGACTTCAAATCCGGACTCCATTCCTGATCATTACCCAACAATTCTTGATATTGGTTGTGGTTTCGGTGGAATGTCTTTTGCTCTTTCACCAGAATTCCCAAATAACTTAATTCTCGCTTTAGAAATCAGATCACAAGTTGCAACATACGTAGAAAAGAAGATTCAAGCCTTTCACGCTCAAGGATTATCATTAAATATTCAAGTTCAATGGACAAATACAATGAGAACTTTAATGCGCTATATTAGAGCTCATACAATCGAAAAGATATTCATTCTATTCCCAGATCCTCACTTCAAGAAGAAAAAGTCGAAATGGCGGATTATTTCTCAACAACTTCTTGATGAATACGCTTTCATTATGAAAGGAGGTGCTAGAATGTACCTTGTTACTGATGTTCGCCAATACTTTGAATATGCTGTTCCACTTTTGGAGGCACATCCTCTTTTTAAGCGTATTACTGATTTAGATTCTGATAAATGCGTTGAGCTCTCCAAAACATCTACAGAAGAATCAAATAAGGTCTCAGAAAATGGTGGCCAGAAATTTGCTTGTGTCTTCGAAAGAATACCTTTATAAAGTATAATAAAATGTTTTTCTTTTAAGATATAATGATATTTTTAATATTTTCTACTTTAAGGAATTCATTTCATATGAATCTGATGAATAAAATTTACAATATCAATCAAATTCAAACCTTTCAAGATTTCAGACGTAAATTAACCTATGTAAGTATACTGTTATGCCCAATTGATCAAAATAATGGTCATTCACGCTTGGAAAATTTAAAATTTTGAAAGGTTTATATGATAAATTTTGATCTTAGCATATACACGCCACACACATTGTTCTGGATAATTTCAAAATGTTCCTCAAAAATTGAATAGAGGCAATATTACTCGAATTTGGATAATTCTATTCAATTTGTTTTACCCAGATTTTCCTTACTTTTACCACTCCCCATGTAATTTCTGGGGAAAACGATAATTCATTTTTTTTATGGATGAATAGATCGTTTTCCTAGAAAGGACCTCATATCTCTGGCTAAAAAGAGTGTCAGATCCTAAATAGGTTATTGATCTAGTGTACAAATCCAATAAAAAGCCTATTTTTTTGGCTTTTTTGGTGCTCATTTTTTCGAAGATCTACATGAATATGGAGAAACCATCGGATTTTTTTGGTTAACCCACATCTTCATGTAGTCTGGACTATCTTTCCTCGAAGGACCTCTTTACGGGTGTAAAAACTCATAAAGTTCTCAAAAGATTCATTCTCGATCTCCATGCTGAAAGAATTTACAATAAAAAAGAGATCTACGCATCAAACTACAGCCATAAATGAACTGAACCCCTAAAGCTCAGCTCTTAGTTTATCAAAAACGTCGAAATCCTTCTCATTGCAATCAAATTTTCTCAATAACTCATAAGAAAAATCGAATTTTGATTAAGCCGCTGTTATAGGTATCACAAATACTACAAACTTGAGCAATATCGAAATTGCCAGCAAAAGTTTGAAATTGCATTGCTCATATTTGTTTTGTAAACTAAAAATCTGCTTATATTATTCATTAATTTTTTATATATTATTCATATACTTTAATAAAAACAATACTATTTCACCTTAAAAATGAATTTCATAAGTCAATATTATTTTTTTGAAAATGTATCAATTTTCGATTAAAACAACATGAGAATAAAATTTACGCAAAATTATTTTAAAAAATGGTTTTAAAAATTTACAATAGATGAAGAATAAGATTGCAAGAAGTTTTGAAGTTTAATTTTAAGAAAAAAAATTCGGATATTATTCATGGATCTAAGTAATCTGATATTTGAGTATCGGCACTATGCATAAAACATATATTTATAGTTTTTTTGGATTTTTATGATTTTAAATATATTCAAATTTGGCAATCCAATAGATTTTTAAAAAATAGGTAAATAAAAATAGATTACATATGCAGCAGATTTAGAACATGAAACAAATCTTATAGTGACCCAAAAAAAATTCATGATCCAAAAAAGAAAAAAATTGGCTAAATGGGAATCAAACCTTGGCATAATGAATCATTATGTCGGATGTTTCCACTACACCGGCAGTTCGAAAAATACCCTTGGTGGTTCTATTTAATAGCTACACCCAACGATAGGCGGTGTCTCCAGCTTTAGAGAGGTGGTAAAAGTAAGGAAAATCTGGGTATTTCATAAATGTTGTTGTTTGATCTTTTTACCATTACTCGCTCGCTCGATAATCCAGGGGAATCCTGCAGCTCCCAAAGCGAAGGTAATTATGGCTACATTAATTATTATGAGGATTCTACATATAAAAAGAAACTAGAATCTTACTATCACAACGGAAACAAGTACGATTGGAATTGGGCTATTGGGAGTGTTTGCCCTTTAACAACTGGATCACATACTATTCATGTTGAAGCGTATCCTGCATTACAATCATCTTTTGATGGGGAAGATTATGTCGACAAAGGAGATTGGTGTTCTGGCACTCAGAGTCATGACTTTACCAAAACATTATATGCACACAGATGTTATCCATTAATGATTGCAGATTATACTAATTGTATTTTTGGTGTGAACTTACATGGGTATATTGATGGCAATCTTATTACAAACACAACAGCCACAATATTAGACTGCCTTACATCAGATTGCATGAAAGGATACTATACTGACACATGTGAAAAACAGGTTGATGCGTTTTGTAATGGAAACGGTTCTCCAGAATATGGCCGTGACTCATCGGGTATTGGATGCGTCTGCACAAGCCATGGATCAAACTTGTTCTGTGAAGACACTTCTCAGTATGCTTTTCCAGCAGGTAGCAGAGGAGTAAAGTTTACTTCATACTACAACTCAAGTAGAAATGACAATTCTGCAACATATGATGATTTCACAACAAAAGAGTTCTATGAGTCATACACGACTATTGAACTGAACTCAGTCCTTTGGCAACCTCAGAACTCAGACATGCAGTTCCAACTGACATCTGTACCTAATGCAGAGCTTTACATTGATGGAACTTTAGTTGGTGGATCTTTATCTGATCAATATGGATGTGAAGAGCTTGAGCAGACAGTTATTACAACAACGAAGCAATACTTAAAGCGTGGACGCCATACAATTAAAATTGTCATGAGACCTGGTTGTGCAATGTTCCCACAATCAATGAGACTTCAATGGATGTTCTACCGCTGGTATTCAAATAATCCTACAGGCTTTGAAGATATTCCAGCTCGTTACTTGGGCACAGCTTAAATCAGACAGATAGAAATATAATGTTTTGTCACCATGATTAAAAAAATTATTATTTTATCTTATATAAAAACGAATTTATTCACTGATCAGATTGAGAGTGAACAGTATTCAAAATTTGACAGCTATTTCAATTTTCTTGAAATTTCTGTCAAAATATTGTTAAACCTTATATTATCCAGGCTTGCTTAAATACTATCCTATTCATTAGTTAATAATTCATTTGGATCTGCGACAGTAAATGTTACAAAGTATCCAAAGACATACATTTTCGATTATCCATGCATATCAAATTCAATCTGCACAGATTATGTTATCAATTTTTCAGCAGGAGTATACAAATTTGATCTGTATGGTGCTTCTGGTGGGTCGAAACCGGGATTAACCGCTTCATTCCTTGATAGTAAAGCTATTTGTATCGATGATGAATTTATTTCTGTTGCCAACGGAAATGCAAAATGTAGACAGGTCCCAAGCCGAGGAGGTGCTGGTGGCTACATATCAGGCATTATAACCATTTCCCATAGTCTAACCGCCTTTGCGACGATAGGTGGCAGAGGAATCTATGAATTTAATTCGAAAATAATTCATGACACCAATATTAGTAACATGATCAAAGGTGGATACGGCGGTGGGGGCAATACGTTCAATTACTGGATGTCTGAAAGCAATTTTGGAGCAGGGAGCGGCGGTGGCCAAACCGCTGTCAAATTTTTACAAAACGATTTATGGCACCGAGTAATTGTAAGCGGTGCTGGGGGAGGATCTGATAATTCCATTGATAATGAAGTATTTAACGGCACGGACGATGGATCAGGTGGTGCTGGAGGGGGATTAGTTGGACAAGGATATTGGATGAATGGAGTTTATCAATCTGACAGATTGGCAAATTCCACTTATGGCTTCACTTTTGGTTTTGGAGAATCCGCTCAAAAAGATCGATCCTTAAATCCAGATGGAGTTATCCCTGCCGAAGGAGGTTATGATAGACCTGGTGCGGGAGCAGGATGGTTTGGTGGTTTTGCTGGACAGAAGGGAAATGCTGGCTCTGGTGGAGGAAGCTCTTGGGCTTTGTGTTCTGACGCAATTATTCCAAAAGGAAATATTTATGCAAATGGTACGTTTTATAATGAAACCCAAAATTTTCCATATGCATTCAAGTTAACAGATGGATATGTTTTTAGAAATGTAAAAACAGCATCTGGAGTTTGGGAAGGCAATGGAAGACTTATTATTACAGTTCTTGAAAACTTTCTTGTTCTTTCTTGTCAATTAAGAAGCAATTTCAAATTAATCTATGATGCTCTATTTGCTATCCTTACACAAACCAATTAACTTTTTTTTAAATAAATCCATCGATTAATGAGATAGAACAATATTTTTAGATATATCTCTATAAAAAAATTGAAATGAAAGTTTTATTTTGTTCAATATTATGAAGCTAAAAATATCAAGATTTTTCAATTTGCGCAAGCATTCACAAAAATTCCAGACTAAATCATCATAATTTTTGCAAATACAAAAGAGAAATATGATTCACTTTTTTGACAATAACTCAAATTTCTGACATGTGAATCGAAGGTCATGTCATGCGGGTGTTAATGCAACATTAAGTCAAATATATTGATAATATATTTAGATGTTTTCATGCAGACTTTAATAAAATTTCATAGATTCAAAAGAGAAACATTAATTAATTTTTCTCACTTTTTTGACACGAAAAAGTGATATACTAAATGAGATTCTTCAAAATCATTTCATATTTGTAAAAAAATAAAAAATTATTACATATATTTATTCCTAATATCAATTACAAGTTCAAATCAATAATTTCGCCTTCTTGGTCATCATCTTTATACTTATAAGGATCAGATCCCCACGGACCGAATGTTTTCAGACCAATGATGTTTCCGCAAGCAGTAAACAAAATGATGAAAACAACAATTGCTATCAAAAGTAGTGTTCCTATTGTTCCTGCAGCGACTGGTCCGGAGTAATCTTTCGCTGTTGGTGCAGCTGTTGCAAACGGAATAATGACACCACTTACAGATGGAGAAGTGTTGTCTGAAAGGAGAATCTGAACAGATGATGGATTGACGTAGTTGTCAAATGTTCTGATTGAAAGGAAAACACCAAAAATATGAATTACGAAGGGGGATTCACCTTTGTAATCAACAAAGTTTCCTAAAACAGTTGTTGTGTTCTCATAAACATTGTATGTTATAGGAGGAAACGCTTTAATATTTGATCCTGCAAAAATTTCCAAATAACCGCCGTTCACTTCATTTTTGATCGTCAAAGATTTTGGTAACGTCATGGGAACTTCCTTTTCTCGATTTGAGAGCTTTACAAAATCATCGAAGAGAGTAACTCTTGCAATTCCTGCTGCATCTATGATAACGTGGCAGTTATTGAATATAAGGAGGTTATTCAGCCTCATGATTGTTTCTCCGCCTAAAGTAACTGTTGAATTTGGTGTGAATGTGAACATTGGACTGCTTTGTGTGTAAATAAAGACATTTCCGCCTGTTACAACACTTGTTGTCGCTGGGAAATCGCCAAATAAGATGATACTTTTGTTATTTCCATTGAAACTATATTTATATTTTGAAGAAACAAAGGTTGAGACGATACTTGCACTTGAATAATACAAATTAGCATCTCCATATATGTTTATGTCATTGATAATAGCTGCATCTTTATCAATTGTTGAAGTTGCAATACTTATTGGTAAATAAACGTTGTTTGGTGACTTTAGAGTGATTCCTTGTGCAATGGATGACTTGTATACATTACCTACGAATGAAACAGACCCTGTTTTGATTGATTTTATGTTATTTAACGAATCAAAATCTGATTCTAGTTCCGAAAGATCGAAATTGAGGTCGGATGAACCAGAAATTTGTATATTTACGTTATTAAGAACAAGCTTTTCTGAGGAAATCGTTGTCGAAGAAGAAATTGTGACAGATAACTCAGATAATGAAAGTTTGGCTGGTGATTCTGGGAATTTAAGATCAAGGTTCGCTCCTAAACCAAGAGAAATCATTGAAATGTCACCTTTTGATAGTCCTTCGAAAGTAAATTCTCTTTTTTGGGCTCCGTCAACGTATATTGTGCATTTATTGTCTCCAGAATCGGAAAGATAGTTTCTAAGGATAGTGTTTGTTGATTCTGTTGAATATGGAACTAATCCATTCGGACAATGCGTACAGGCGCTTATTTCATCGGAACACATGCAAACTTCGTTGGTCACTGGTAATGGAGATCCATCATTTATGTCCATTGGAGGGTAAAAACTCGTTTGGAAATCAGAAATGTTCGCTGAATAGTATAATAAAGGATATTGCTTGTAATCAAATTGATCATCGTTAACATGAGAGAAATATCCAAGCTGGCCTTCCCAATTTGTTGTAAATTGCAAAATGAAAGATTGAAGATCTTTTAGCTCGAAAGAATTAGATGAACTTATTGGAATTGTTGATAAAGTACCACGCTCGTCAACATACTTAACTTGGACATCTTTCATGTTCTTCAAATCAAATTTTAGCTTCGAACTATGGGAAACTGGAGATAAGAAGAGTATTTTGAACGTTTCATCATTATTGATATCAATGTTTGGTCTGAGCTGTGAGTTCTTCGGTCCAATTGTTATATTTGTATAAGCATTTAATAAAAATAGCTTGTTTTCGTTCTCGTAAAAGTTTGGAATTGCTGTAAATATTAAATATTCATCTTTACAATCTGGTTTCTTATCAATAATTACATAATCATCTCTAAATCTGAGAACAAAATATGTGTAAGGGGATTGGAATTTATGATTGACTTGACTCAATGGAATAACAGTTGATTCAAACCCAGCACAATTATAAATAATTAGGAGATTGAAATTTGTTTGAAATTTGAACCTAAATTGGTCATAATTTTTAGTGCTTACGTTTCCATTAATAAATGATTCAACCGTTTTGTGGTATGTATCGGATAAGCATAAGTTAAGTAACAGAAATAACATCTACGAAAAAATTTTATAACCTTTTTATTTGTTTCTATTTCTTATTTCGGTAAATACTAATATATGTTGCGCATTTTTTATGGCGCTTGTAGAATTGCTACCATTAAAAAGCTGATAAATTTGAAGATAGTAAATTCAACCACCAGAAGCTGAAGGATGATGCATTGTATAAAACGATTTGTTTTATTTATAAAGCTTATTTCGTTCATATTAATGAAAAAAAAATTATATTTTTGAAATTTCATAATCAGATAAATAACCATTTATAATATCGAAAGTTTTCATAACTAAATCTCAGTATTTTGTCCTTTGAGATGAGTTTCCTCATCATGTCTCTTAGAGTGACCAAGATATTGATCAATTGGTGTTGTAAATTTGCTATTTCTACCCTTTTGCTTATTAGTTTCAGTATACAATGTAATAGCTGGGTCATCGAGATAGTCTACCTTAAGATTTGGATCATATGCTGGTAATTCTTCTAAGAATTTGCCACGAGTGAAGTACATCTTATGATCTTCTGCAGCAAGCTGCTCGTTTTGAATATCACGTGTAATCTCACGTGCTGCTTGCCTTTCCATCATTGCTTGACGCGGAGGAACTTTCCGGACTTTCATTCCTGGCTTTGGCTGTGTCTGCTCAGTTTGTTTGTTTAAATCTCTGCTGCAATATGAAATCTGGTACTCACTATGATCGATTTGTGCTGGTTTGGATTCTCCCTCAAGGCTACGTGTTTTCATTTGCTGTTCAGCTGCCTGATTTTCGCGTTCTTCATACCAATTTCCAATAAGAGTCTTGTTGTCCTCGAGATTATATCCTTTCATCCTATAAAGTTATCTAACGAACTTTCTTTCAAAAAAATTATTGTAAACAAAAGCACAAAGGTATGAAGGAAATACAACACAATGGCGTAATAATCATTATTTTCGTTCGAATATATAGAAAAAATTGAAGATTTAAAATATTATTTTATAAAAATTGAACAAAATCAATAAACTCTGTTAAATCTAGGTTTGACACATCACATATAAAGTGTTTTTAAAACCTAAGCAATAGTCTGTAAATACATTTCAAAACAAATTAAAACAAACTCATTTTAACTATCTTTTCTGTTAAAATCATATATTTCATCTTTTGATATATATGGGGTCATTCCAATACATGAAATTTAAGACCCTTCCTGCATAGGCCTTCTTTATAATTAAATGAAAATAGAGGTACATGTGTTTTTAAAAACTTCTAGGTGCAATGCATAATATTTCTCATTTTGGAAGAATCATAGTGACACAACTTTTATTTCTCGTGTTTGTTTTATATTTGAAGTTATGATAAAATAGGGCATTTTCCAAAATCTAAACAAAATTAAACATATATATCTGAATAAATCAATGAAAAAGTTTCAGAATCGATGAGATGATACTTTTGATTCCAATTCTACTGAAACTAAGATTAAAAATCTGATGTGTAAAATAAAAAATGTTTATGTTAATTTTTTTAATTAATGGATTCATATGTGTTTGTTTTTATTCTATGAATAAATGCTCTTCCTGGTGGTGGATTTTTAGGGTCAACTTGTTCTTTATATGTACGGAGAATATTCCATTCATATTTTGGAGCTGCTCCATTATATGGAATATATTTGATCTTTTCCCTGTCCACGTAAACATCATACACCTTCCCTCATTCATTGATGGTATTAATACGAACTCTCCTTTCTGTTTGAACGCATTGCTTGGATCCGTAGCTCATCTTGAATAATGAAGTGAATATGTTATTTATGAATTCTCAGAGTAACTCATTTGTGATTCATTGAAATAATTTGAGAATAAATACTGTAAAATAAAATTATCACAAATCATTTGTTAAAATTTCTGTTGTGATAAACATGTGATGATAATGATGATCACTTATTGAAGTATTAAAATGAAAGGAATTAACTTATTTGTGATATTTTTTATTTGAATATGGAAAAAAAGTCGTAATTTTCAATGTGGAAAACATTTTATCGAATTATATTTGAATGAATGTGCAGCATAGAATAATCATGGATTGTGTACTGAAGCTCAATTTTTGATCACAGATAAACACTTGTGCTGGGAAATATTGCCAGAATCAATGGATGAAATCTTACGAATAAAAATTATTTAGGATGATTAATCATTCAACAGTTGCAATAGGTGTAATAAAATAAGAAAATGATATAGAGAAAATGGAAGTAATGAATATTGTTCTAATTTTATTAACACATATATAATATCGTTGATTAATATAAATGATTAATTTTTATTGATAAAACTTGAAATGCATAAAAGTATTTCAATTACTTAATATATCAACATCATGAAAAACCTTTAAAAATCAAATAAAATAAATGATTACAAATAAAACTTGAAATTTTATTACAAAATCAATAAAAATTGTATATACAATATAATCTTTTACCATACAAGATAATCAAGTATATAAGGAACACTTAAAATAACATTTTCTGAATTTTAACAGTGAGGGATCGCAAAACCACCACAGAAGTAAGCCAAAAGTAGATATATTATGAGGGCAACTATAACTAAGATTGCAACAAAGGCAACGATTTTAATTATTTTTCTTTTTCTTGCGCGATAGCCAATTGACCTAACACCTGGTGTATTGTTACCTAAAAGTAAATTGTATTCGTCTGCATCGCTTGATTCGAGTTCTGCAATGCTTGGTGGGACAATTTCAGCTAAATTTGCTGGAGATCGGTCTAATGTCCTACAAATATCGCGTAAAGAGGGTTCGAATGCTGCTTGAAGTGAAAATGTAGAAGCGTTTTCCCAATCTGTTGGACGCGTTTTCAAATATCGATGCAAAACTGTCTTGATTTCGTTCAAAATTTTGACTAGCATTTGCTTTTCGCACGATTCTCTGACAACACAGAGAATATTCAAATCATCTTCATCCGAAAGGATACCCCAAATGTAACCATCAACTTTAAGTATAACAATTCCATCTTTTGACTTATCTTTTGGTAAAAACTTTTGGTAATATAAATCAAAGTTTCCTGATACAGCGCAATGTTGGCATACTGGAGTCGTACCCTTGGATATTAATGCGTAACAAAATACCATAAGTTTTTGTCACTTTTATGACAAATCTGTAAATTTTTGACATATCACTTTTTATTGCAATGATTTCTGATCATTCTTGGATAAAACCCAAATAAATAGAATTACAATATATCTGAATCACATAATATACATGAGTTGTTGATTTGGACAGAAATCTTTTGAAAAAATTGGTTGATATTTACTAGAAATTAACTCTCTTCTTAACATCAATTCTCTATATTTGCATTTACTCATCATATGCTTCACCTTTTATAAATCTCTTGAGATAGGCTTTAATAATGAATTGATCTGCTAATCTATCCGGATTCTTCCATCAGTCCAAGAATCTACGTGTTGTAGTGGTTTCGATGGAATCTTATTATTCAATGTTTTTTATTTATTTTTCAAATTCGTAAGTTTTTTATTATAAAACAGCATTTCAACGATCTGAATATTTTCACTCATATTAAAACTCCTATGCTTTTATAATATTGCTTCACCCGATGTTATCATGTCATTTAAATTCCCACTTCTTACAATGTAGTCTCGACTATATGAATTCGATATAGCTAATCAAAATTTTGTCCCAGAGGATTTAAATTTTCTAACAATATCTATCCATTTACTAATTTTATGTTATACTAAGGATGTCGTTTTGATTTTTTTATGCCTGGGACAAAAGGCGTATAAGTACCATGTGATATGAAATTGTGAGAATCTCATAGAATACTTTGAATACTATCTCTCAATTTAATAGTGAACTTACGCCTTTTGTCTCGTAGTTTAATTGTTTTCAGAAATAAGATGGAATTATTAATGAACCCCATTAGTAATCCGATTAACCAAGAAAATTTTTCAAAAAACATTGAAATTTATATTCTTTTTATAGCAATAAATATACATTTATTTGCATGCTTTAATTATTTTGATCAAATTAAATTTCAATACTGACTTAATTTTAATGGTTTTGGTAATTTTCTAAGATTTTATTCCCTATTCAATGTCTATCACTATTTTGAAAGATTTTTTCTTTTTAAATAATAAATTGAATTAAGTTGGTATTCAAAAATCTTGACTTAAAAAATTTTCAAGTCAAGATTGAACGCTTTACAAAATATTTAGAAAGTTTTCAATCTTGGTTAAGCTACGGATCTACATCAAGAATTCCAAAATAGTGGAACATTTGAAAACCGTTTCACTTGTTCAATTATTGCCCTATATAGTTAAAATTTGGAAAAACATGACTTATTTTGATTCTTTATTCATAGTAATTCGTACCATTCTAAACGGCTACTCCCATATATGAAAACGACCTATTAATCATATTTATACTATCTCCTCACACTGAAATTTTAAAGTATTTTCGATAATTCATAATTTTTAATTTCAATTTAATAATTTTTATATTTAAATAGTGAGAAGATGTTTAAATATTATGTACTTACAATATGAATCAATTGCAAAGTATTTTAAAAAGAATTCGGTGGTTTTGAATCCAAACTTTCAAAATATATAAATCTTTATTTATTTGGACAAAGTATGAATACAAATTCCATGATATTTTGTTACTTTTTATAAAGGTGTTTAATTCACATTATTTTCTTCATTTGTCTCGGCAAATAATCCATTTGGAGAAAAATCGAGAAAATCGAGAAAATCTAGTCTTTCAATCGGCATAATACTTTGATTTGGAACTTGGTTCGACGTTACTTGGTCAATTCTATTGAAAATATGTTGAAACTCAGTGGTATTGTGCTTCTTCTTTCTCTGCATAAATGGTAAACCATTACTCGAGCAGTTATAAATTTTTTCAGACTCCTTTCTTTGATCAACAACGAAATACTTGACTTTCAAATCTGATTTATTCATTGAAGAAAAATGATTTCAACTTGAACGAACTCACTTTTTGTGAGAAATCATTTGAATTAATAGTCATTTAAATTGAAGAAGGCACTTTTTTGAGTGATCTTGGATTCTTAGATTATTATTAATTTTTTAAAAAAAAAAGAATTAAAAAAAAATTTTGACTTCTTAACTTCAAGAAAATATTTACCAAAATATGGTCAATAAGGTAATGATTTGCTATGTTTCTTTTGTATTGTTAATATAGTATTAAAGTTATCTATGTTTTATTAAAAACAAAGTCAATTTATTATTGATATTCGAACTTCATTGAAAGATTTTTCAGTATTTTGCTCACAAGTGTTTTTGTTACCAAGAAAGAACTTACATTTAATCAAAGTATTAAGATTACAATTTATGATCATATTGATTAACTTATGGTATGTTTTTCAAGGAGATATTAAATTTAAAGCCATTATTCTCAATGCAGTAATGTAAAGTAGTAAAGAAATAGAAGAATTTCTTATCTTGAATGATGATGATATCAAAAACTAAGCGAAAATAAAGCCCTTTGATGCACTGAATAATAGAAATGAAACGACCGAGCTTCTTGTCACGTGTGGTCCATAAATCAAGAAAAGAAATTAAAAAAAGATAAACTCCTCTTCATTGTGCATCCAAAAAATGTCACAATTTTCTAAGTAAACGTTGGCACTGGTTTAAAAATGAAGAAAATGCCTCTTTATCGAGCAAAAGAAGCGTTCAAAACAAATGCAGAAAAATCATATTTCAAATAATGCTAGGTACAATTGTAAGTTTTGATTTTGTATGATTACCATAGTTTTTTTTTTAAGGATTATTATTTTCGTCTTGAAAAGTGATAAAATTTACATGTTTCCGACGTTTTGTCAGGGGTGTGAAGCGACCCAAAAATTTTGGAAATGTGAAATTCTCGGATTTATGATTATTTTTCCTTTTAATGCCGAACAGCATTTGAATCAAAAATAATCGTAAGTCCGAGAGTTATCATTTTCGGCAGGTGAAAATGATAATTTTTTATATTCAGAGTCATTCTAAAAAGATAAATTTATGAGATTGCAATGCAATGATACCTACCTGAATTACAATGCATCTATTAGGAAATTTTGTTAAAAAAAATTGAATAGTTTGAGTTTATGATTTTGACTCGGCTAAAAAAATTGAATAGAAATTCACAAAAAATGAAATAATTTGAAGTTGGAGCAAGAATGATAATATGCACAATGAGCTATTAAATAAAGTTGTGTATGGGTGAATTGCGCTTAAATTAATAGAAATAGAGTTATAATTCAATAATTCAGATGCCAGACGTAATAAATAAAGCCATTTTTTTACAAGTTATACTCGTTATTATCACAAAATAATATAGAAATAGTTGAAGTTCTTATTTCAAATAGTGCAGCTAACAATAGGAAGAATTTCCTTCCCTTGAAACATATAATATTCAGCTCTGGAATGGTGTCTTTCTTTTTTATGAAAAAAGAATGGTTCATAACATTAAACATAGCGATATCAGCAAACAATTAAAAGAACGTATCGCACTCATATGACTCACCCTTCAATTCTGTTTTTTGATGTGAATCACTGTCGTAAAAAGTGACAAATAAATATAAAAGCTTTTTATAATAATATCTAATGATTGCATCAAATTTCTACTGGTAACTCTAAATATCCTAGAAAATTATTCATAATACACATCAAAATGGTCTAAAATAGAAATCAAAAAATGGAAAACAGTAAAAAGTGACAATAGAATGAAATTCGGAGGTCGAGGCGATGATCTTGAATTGATGAACGAGACTTCACGCCATGAAACAGACGAAAAACGCTCATGGATATTATATCTTGGTTGTCATATTCTTCCATTCGTTGTCTTTTTCATATGCAGACTTATTGACTTGAATGGAATTTTACTTGGCTTAGTTACTTTAATCCTTTCACTTATTGTTATATATTATACTAAAAATAATTTTGGCTGGTCTTTGGTCGGAATTAAATGGTGCTTCGATCGCGAAAAACAACCAGACTTCCCATACATTACTTTTACTGCTAGGTCACTCCCATTCGTAGCTACAGCCTTTGATTCAAATGTCTTTTGGCTCACCCTATTTTCAACAACATTACTCTGGATTCTAGTTACAATCAGATTTATCTACGTCAGCGGAAATGATCTCAGTATGTTCTTAGCTGTTATTTCTGGAATTAATGTCATTAATGTCAACTTCTTTATCAGATGTCATCAGGTTGCTAAAACTCAAGCAGAAGTTCAAGCAAGAAACGTTTTACTCGAAGCATGTGCCGAATTTCCACATATTACAAACGAAGATCAACCAGATCCAGAATTACCACCAGAAGAACCAGAACAGAAAACATCTGTTCAAATTCCAACAGCACCAATACCTTCTCAGATCCCTGCTAAGAAAGTTGAACAGCCAATTGCTGCTCCACAGCCACAATTACAATCAATTCCTCAACCAACAGTTATTACACCACCAAGTACCCCAGAACCACAGCAGAAGACAGAAGAACCAGCTCCTGAACCAACTTTCGAGCCTTCTTTCGAACCACAATTTGATGAACCAAAACCAGACGAAAAACAGGAAGATGATGCTCCATTTGCAGCTGATTTCGGAGACAATCAAAAAGAGGAAGACTTCAAACCACAATTTACTTCATTTGCACCAGCTTTCAACGATGAAAAAGATGATGGCGAAGAAGCAGTAGTTTTCGGCGATGCTAACGATGAGGGCGATGATCAGTCTGATGCCGAAGAGGAAGAAGAAATAGTCAAATTTGACTAATATTTTTTATTTCAGAATATAACATTTCTTTGTAAAATTTCTCAATTTTTAATCTTATTCTCTTATGTTTTAGTGCATAGCTTCAATATCATTCATTTTTTATAAAAAAACTGATAAAATTATTTTAATAACTTTTATAAATCGACTAATCTAAGCATTAATATATAGTATTGGAGGAAATTTTGCCTAGGGCTTACTTGTATTTGTTCATTTTTTTGGAAGATGGAATACAAATTGGATTTTGATGATCCAATGTTAGGAATTCCAGTTAATATGATTAAAAAAACAGATGCATTTGATGATATAGAAGAACCCTCAGAGCAATCTATCCAGCTTCCGGATCTTATTAATGATTTCTACGATAAATTAAATCAAAGTAATTACACGGGAATGAGTTTTTGTTTGCACAACATAGAGGCAAAAATTAAGCTATTTATAGACGAAGATTTTCAAGTTTTGATTGAATCAAATTTTTTATTGAAGATATCACAACTACTTTTTGATGAAAACTATATTTGGAAAGAGTTTATATTACAAATCTTTTACAAACTGATCCTTAAACCCAACATTCCAATTTTAGATTATCTAATTAACGAAATAGAAATATACGATAGATTATTTGCATTGATTGCACCTGAAAATGAGAAATTGCATTCAAAACTACTGACAATTTTATATCTTTTCTTAGAAGCAAATCATAATTTGGCAATTCGCTATGTAAGATGCTTAAATCCGGACATCCTTCATACACTCCTTCTATCTAACATACCATCTAATTATAATCCTCTGTATGAAGCCACAAATTTGTTAGATTCGATTTTTGAGTACATTCCTCATCCAGAAGAAACAAATGAAGAAGAATGTGCTGAGTTCAGAGAGTTTATGCTTGGAATTTATGATATCGCTCGCAATTTAATTTTGGATGTTTATGATGATATGTTTGTTTCTGGCTGTATTATTGTTTCTTCGATGCTAATTGCTTGTCCACAATATTGGTCTGATGTATTAGTTTCTGATGAAGATGTTAATAATGCTATTATTATGAATTTTCAATCAAATTTCTGTTATGTTAAACAAAAAGCTATGGGAGTAGTTTATTGTACTATCAAAGTTGGCCTACAGAATCAGATACCTCCCTTTGATTATTTAATTGATTTGTTAGCTTGGCCAGCAAATAATTCACAAGAAAAAGATCTTTCGATAAGCAAAACTAATATTGTTAGCTTTTTAGCAGCAAAATTACTTGAGTTAATGATTCAAAAAGAAATTTTAACCCCATCAGATATTATAAGAGAAGATTTTTTAAATTGTATTGAAAATAATTTTAATGATCAGCCAATTAATTCAAAAGTAGTCTATGTGTCACTAATAACATTGTACATTCTCTATACTGATCCTCCTGACCATTTTGCAAGAATTATCAACTCTGAATTGAAAGTAATCCTATTTGATTATATTTCTAGTTCTTCTCCAGAACTTATTTTACAAATTTTGCATGCTTTTAATAAAATGATGAAAGCAAGTGAATGCATCCAAGGAAATGCTTTTATTAATAGTTTGACCGATGATGATATGGATGAATTATCATCTTTGCTTGATAGCCAAAATGAAGAAATCGCTCAAAATGCAGAAATCCTTCTAAATGAAATTGAATCAAAAATATCTCAAGATAATTAGTTTATCTTTAATATATATTGTTTGTATGAATAGAGTAAATAGATAATTATGTTTAAAATAAGATACAATTTCATTTCATTTCTGAATTATATGTGAAATTTCAGCCTTTCGAGGTTCACCAAGATGAATATTGTAAAACAACGCTGATTTTTCGTCTGATATTGGAAAGATAGAAATTGTTAAAATATATTTTGGAATATTCATAAAATATGTTATTCTTCAAAATAAGTAGACAGAATATAAACAAAAGAAATCTTCAAAAACAAGCAAATTTTAAAGATATCAAAAATAAATATAATAAATAAGGCTCACGGTGGTCTATTCTGGCATTGGTCGTAGATCATTTTAATAGACTGTCCTTGTTTCTTTAAGAAGGCTATTTCATCTGCAAATTCCTTTTCGCGAATTTGTTTGTTTTCTTGAATTCTCTTTTCGAGGCCATCTAACTGAATTTGAAGGTTATTTGCTTCAAGTTCTAGTTCACGACGTTTTTCTCTAAGCTTTTTATTATAATCAAGAAGTTGGTCCATTCCCAAAGTTACCTGAATATTCTTATTTGCTCCAAAGTTAAGGGCGAGCTCGTTTAAATCTTTATATGATTGAATAAGAGTCTTGTAATGATTGCGTATGCGGAATAATAATCTGCCTCGAGCGTTTGAATCAATTGTAACTTGGCGAATAACTTCCTCGAAGCATTGAGAGTATAATTCAGAGCGGATGATATCAATTCCTTTTGGTTTTGTCTTATTCTTATGTAAAAGTGTATCTAATTCTGTTCTGAGTTTGGTAACATCAGTCTTAGAAATCGGAGCTGTGCTAATAGACCTTGTGTATTTTATTTCATCCTGCTCGAACTCAATTGGAGGGAATAACGAATTAAGAACATCACGATTGATTTGATCTCCATCAACTCCTGCAACTGCATTTGTACGGGATCTCTTAAGAGTATCCGGCTCATCAACTGGAACAGGAGCATCGTATTTGACAAGAGTTGGAAGAGAGACTTCTTGCATTTTTGATCGTTATTTAAATAACTTTCAATTTATGAAATAGAAATAAAGTATATATCATGTATATTTGCCTTAAATTATGCATTTTCTGCATATAAACTTATACCAAATTTTCAATTTTTTGAAAAAATATTTTTAAGCTTATGGTATTTTTATAAATGTATAGAGGTGGATACGGTTACATACTAAAATTACGAATAATTGTTTAGTCATCGTCTCTAAAGAAATGATTTTGATTTAAAACAACTATAAAACATCAATACGACTGAGTCTTTCGGCTGCTTCGTCCTTTAATTCGCGAGCATGAGCGAATTGCTTGGTATTTGGATTGTAGAGCCTTGGATTTGGAATAGTATTTTTAGTATTTCCGATTGAAGTATAGCCTTTGGAATACAAAGAGCACACAGGAAGTTCTAAAGCATCAATATACTCCCAAATGTCCTTATATGCCCAATTAAGAATAGGGAAAATGCGCATTGCATGAACCCAATCATCAGATGTAAGATTAAACTCCTTAATATTGCTGCAGTTTGGATCTGTCTTTCTTTGGCCTAAGAAAAATGAATAAATTCTGTCTTCTTCAACAATTTTTTCGATCGCGTTTTTAATGGAATCTGATTGAACTTTACGAATTGTGACACCAATTCTCTCTTCTGTTTGCTTAACAAATTCAGTGATTTCTGGAAAATCATTCTTTTCTTTGATGAAAAATGGCCTTACTGGGGTAGAAATTTTAGCTGATTCGTGAAAACGACGGACAAGGTCAAGAACTACTGATGAGTCCTTACCACCATTGAAACATAGACCGATTTCAGGTCCATGATCGGCGTAAGCAAGCTTTAAAACCTTGGATGTTATAGCTATTTTTCCATTTAGGGTAGGAGAAAACTTTGCATATCGCGGGAACATTAATTGACCTATTGAATTCATGTTAAATTATTGTTGAAAAAAATGGTTCAATTTTTTTCTGAAGATGATCGATACGAAAAATATTCTGTAACCGATATTCTGAAGATTATTGAAGTACACAGATTCATGAGTATATTTTTATTTTTGTATTCTTCACAAATATTTATTTTGTCATGTAATTCGGTTCTGAAATAATTTCTTCATTTTTTGACAAAAATGTTAAAGTTCAAAAGCGATTGTTTATCGGACGAATTACTCAATTCTTTTCGGGATCAGGAACAAGAAGATTGTATGTTAGAAAAAATATCACCTGAAATTAGAGAAATGGAGACATCTGCAGACAATAATAATTTTCAAAAGCAATTCCTTAGATTGATCTTAAATCTTAAAAATGCATTTGAGGATGGTAATCCTTCGAATGTTCTCGCTGCTCTCATTGATGTTAATCAATTAATTTCCGTTGCAATTCCAAATTATTTTGAAAATGAAGAATTTATTGATAAATTAGTTAAATCTAAAATAATCTTAAATCTGATAGAAATAGCATTCGAATTAGATGAGACCAACGAAGATAAGGAATTATTTTATAAAAATTCATTTAATGCGTTAACAACACTTCATTATCTCTCCACCTTTTCAAAAATTTTGTCTAGTAAAATCGGAGCATCATATTTCTGGGTGAAGTTTAGAAAGAATATTCATTGTTTTGATCCAAATTCCATTTTAATCGGCTTATCAATAGGCATAAACATCTTAATTGATGGAACAAAGGATGATATGATTCTGTATAATAAACAAGGTGTAACACAGCTTTTGGTTGATATTGCATCAATTAATAAATTTTCCGAAAACACAGCATTAAAAATTGCCGAATCAACGCAAATCATGGCTTGTTATGGCTTATATATATTTAATTATCGTGCAAGAGTCTTTTATCCAGAATATTATGAAGTATATTTTAGAAATATTGCATTATTGATATTAGATGTTCCAGAACTTGGAAAAATACATCTTTTGCACTCAATTAACATAATTTTGCAAAGCATATCTGTAAATCCATCGTTTTTGTTTGAGTTAAATGATGAAATCGAATTTATCGAGAATTTACTCGAATATTCTGGGAGTGATAATTATAAGTTAAGATCAGCAGCATTATACACTATATGTTATGCATTAAGATCTGATTTTGTTGGAAATGAAGCCAAAGAAGAAATAATTATTCGACTTCCATGGACAAAATATAATGACTTATTTATTTCGGATTCAGATGTATCGGGATGCATTGATGTAGTGTATTATTCAACTCTGCTTGGAGAAGATTATGTTTTGTGCTTAAATGAGTATAATACTTATCAAGTTCTTGTTGAAAATGTTGATGACTTTAAATACCAAGATAGAAATAAGATTCTCTCCATCATTTTGGTCATTATTCAAAATGGATCACAGTCATTGTTAGAAATATTCCTCAAATTGAATATAATTGATCTATTTTCAGATATGTTAGGTAACGAAAGCACTTTTGATAATGATATTATTAGTGCTCTTGAAAGATTTACTTTCTTATTAAATTCATCGCACCATGCAGAGCTCATACAACAATTTGAAAACTCGGAAATAGTTGAAACTCTTTTGGATTTCATTCCTAATGATCTTGTCGTTTCAATCTTAAAACGACTTGAATATTTTGAAATTCTTGAAAACTTAAACCTGTAAGTATATTCTAAATAGTATTTATTTTCAATGTATTGTCTTTTTATTTGTGTTTCCTAAATAAAAAAATTGAGATATTTTATTTCATATATATTTGTTGCATTTTAGATGTTTAACTCAAAATTTATGTATTAAAATTCTTAAAGTTAATGATAAAACTTTATTATTTTGGCTCTTAAAAAATTATTTTTTATATTGAAGGGAAAAAATTAAAAATTTCTAAATAAAAACACAAATTTATTGAGGAAGATATGAAAAATGATAGTCAGTATGAATGCAAGAATCAGTAAGTCTTGAATCATAAAAATTATCGTCACTTTCATCAGAATCTTCAAGCATTCTTGATAATTCATCCTTAGAGTTCCATAATCTGATCGAAGGAGCGCAAGGAAGATGTCTCATGTGGTCCATAATTTCGGCTTCTTTCTTTTTGAGGTATTCTTCAGCATTCTGGTTTGGTTTGTTCGATGGTTGTATGTGGAGGTTATAATCAGGTCCGAAATAAGGAAGATACTGATTATATGGAATTTGATTTTCTAATTCTTCTCCTAAAACAAGAGCTGTTTCGTAAGTCCAGCATCTGGCGACATTCCTTACTGTGTATCCACCGCCACCGGTTAGAAGCAAAGGAACTCCAAAACTCTTGCAAATTCGGATACATTCTGCATGTCCGCTGATTGTGAGGTTAAAAGTGCCAAGACGATCACCTGTTAATGAATCTGCACCACACTGTAATAATATGGCCTCAGGACGGTACCATTCGAAGGCTGTTGTAATTATATTTTTGAATAACATTGTATAAGTATTATCATCGATTCCATCTTTGAGAGGGACATTAATACTGTAGTATTTGCCTCTTCCTGCTCCGACATCATTGGAATTGCCTGATCCAGGGAAATAATGTCCGTATTTATGGAAAGAAACTGTAAGAACGCGATCAGTAGTATAAAATGCTTCTTCAACTCCATCACCGTGATGAACGTCGATATCAATATACATTACACGTTTGTATCTTTCAAGTAATTTGAGAATTCCAAGTACGCAGTCAGCAACGTAGCAGAAACCACTTGCTTGTGTCATTTTGGCATGATGGAGACCGCCTGCCCAATTGATAGCGATGTCTGCTTTTCCTTTTATTAATTCTTCTGCAGCGGAAAGAGTTCCACCGGCTGATATTTGACAGAACTCAAAAACTCCTTCAAAAATTGGTGTATCTGTATTTAAATTAAATTTTTCTGCTAAGCCATTTAATTGATCTATATTTTCTGGTTGAACTCGCTCTAAAAAACTAATATAATCGGCGGAATGGAATCTCATCATGTCATTTGCAGTAGCTCTCTTTGGTCTAAGGCATCTCATTTTCTTGTCTAATCCATAAGCTGTAATTAATGTATGAGCCATCCTTACACGATGAGGTTTCATTGCATGGTTAGGAGCATAGTAAAATTTGCCAATGTCATCATCATAGAAATAAACAGCTCTTTGATTCATCATTTTTTTGAAATTTATTTCTTAGTGAGAAATCGAAAAGTTTTTGCACAGATCAATTTTTATATCAATGATTTATAAATCAATTAAAAATACTGGAAACATAAAAATTAAACCATATCATTGATTTTTTTAAATAAATATTTGTTTCAAAAGCACAAATAAGATATTTTCTATAAAATTTGAATTTTATAGAATCGAAAAAGATCATATGCTTAATGTCATTAGAATAAACTTCGATAATATTTAATTGAATAATAAAAACTCAATTTTTGCTCATTACGGCAAAGCTATAAAATTTCCTTTAGGAAGAATTTCAAATGATATAAGGTGTAAGTTAAAATTTTTTATTATATAAAATTCCAAGATATTTTATAATAAATGCATTGTTGATTGGAAAATTTATAATGTTTCTCTTTGAAGTTGTCAATGTATAGTGTTTTGGTTTCTTATTCAATGTCTATTCACTCAGAATGAAATTGTGCTCTGAATAATAAAAGGGGCAGACACCAATTCAATTAAAAGCTCCAGCTAAAAGATGTTTAATAATATTACAGAGTTACTTTTAGCTGGCGTTGGCCTATCTCCTCAGCAGCAATCTGAATTCGATTCCGTCAAAACAACACCTTCATTAGACTATTTTACGAAAAATCCTCAAAATTATGATCCAAAAGATAAAAATGATAAAGTATCTTTCGACAAAGCATCACTTTTACGATTGATTCAAGCTATATTTGTCATATCACACGATAAACGCAATCCACATCAAAAAATGTGCTCACAATTTGTAGATGTTGCAAATAATTCAAACATTTTGAAGACAATTCTTACACAATTGCCTGATTTTCAGAAAGTAGTCATGGCAGAAACAATTATTATCATCTCAAACGAACGTCCAAAATTTTTTGATACAGAAGACTTCGCAAAAATGTTAATGGAAGCAGCATCGAACGCACAATCACATATCAGACCGTTAATTTGCTTCCCATTACTTCAATACACATTATTAAAAGATGTTTTTGAAGGAAAGCGCGATGAGCCAAGAGCCATACAACGCGACTTGCTCGATGCCATTGAAGAACGAATTCTTACTCCTTTAATCACTGCAAGTTATCTTTCACCGAAAAATCATGAAGTTCATGATTCATTGAAATGTTTTGACATTTTCGAGATACTACGATCACAATGGCTGTTATCAGCAGTCAAACTCTTATCTCAGAAAGCATTATCTATCTGCTGCAACGAATTATTTTATTTTGCCTCATTATTCATCAAATCTTTTCCAAAAGGCATCACAGAAGAGCTTCTTAGTTCGAGATTAATACCATCAGTATCAGCAACACTCAGAAAAGAGCCCCAAAACTTCACAATTTTTATTGATCGAGTTTTCAATGTTTTTTCACAGAGTTCAACCCTTGTAACATATTCCTCCATCATATCCATTGCCAGTTCCGCCTGTTCCAACTCCTACAATGCAGAAAAGATCCTTGAAAAATTTAATCATAATGATAATCACGCCGAACCCCTTCTAAAACAGTTATTTAGCCACTTAAAGCATTGTTTAGTCGATATCATCTCCGATGAAGTACCAGATGAGTCCTGGAACACTTTCTTTTTGATCCAAAGATTTTGCAAATATTTATCCGAAGAAAATCTGAAGTTTTTAATCCACAAGTTCGTTTATTACACTAAAGAAGACATTCCTCATGACCAAGAGCCTTCTGTTTTCTTCTCCTTCCTTTTCGAATTCTTTGGAAACAAAACTTTCAGTCGTTTTGCAACAAAATGTTTTTCTTATTCATCAATTGTTTATCCGCACGAAAGCCAACAATTCTTAGAAGATCTGATGATGAATAACACATTAACACACTCTAGATTTGCCGAAATAATGAACAATGATACAAGAAACATCGTTGCTTTGACAAGAAGTGCAAAAGTGTTCATTGCAAATCACTTCACTTATTTTACAAAAGACAAAAAATTGTCACCTTTTGTCAAAATGCTAATTAAGCAGTATTTTCCAGATTGTGTTTATAAGAAGTACGAGACACACAGTAGTAGATGGAAAGCGCTTAGAACAATGTTAGAAAGTGCTTTAGATTTAAGTTTGTGTTCGAAAATTTTTGCTTTAGAAATACAAAACGATGAAGGCTTCGTCAGATCATTATTATCAATTATCTTGGCATCGTCAAATGTTATCCAGAAACCGCACATCGCGTCGAACGAATCACAATCGGATAGATTCGATTTCGACGACAATTTGCCTGTAATTAAGTTTTTGGCAATTGCTTTGTCACTTTTTGAACGATTAGTTTCGATAAATTTGATAGAAAAATCTGACGAAATGTTATATCTATGCAAATCATTTTTTGATGGAAATACTGATATTTTTTCAACATTAATTAGTTTGTTAACATTACCACAAGCATTTGCAAGTATTATTAGATACAAAAGCTTAAGAATCATTGATTTAATGTGTTGTGTTGCAAGTAAGATGAAAAATATAAGTGTAGATTCATTTTATCCTAATTCAAAACAAGAAGTATTAGTTGAATCATGTAGACAAAATCTTTTCCATGCAAATGATATTGAACAAACAATTAATGAATTGAATTTCATTTCAAACACATTAAATACACAAACAAGTTTCGCTTATTCTTTCGTAAGAAGACTTGGAAGAGCTTATGCTAGTGTTGCATGCGAAAAATTGAATGACATCAAGAAAGAATATCCAAATCTTTTGATGTCTTTGAGTTATTTCCTTTCTCAAGTTTGGAGAAAATTGAATCAAAATTCGGAAACAATAAAAGCTATTTCAGGAATTAATAATTTCTGGAAATCCGTTGATTCAATTATAAATGAAAACATTGACAAAGAAGAAAATGTTACGTCATTGATTGCTTCGAAAGCATATTTCTTGAGATGCAAAGTTTGTTCTGATGAAATGATAAATTCAAGTGTTGTTTTGAGTGTTTTACAACAGATTTCTGATGCTTATCCACAGACATTAAACAAACTAGAAACATCAATCAAACTTGATTTATCTAATTTCATCATCCCTGAATTGCACAGAACATACGGAGATCAGTTTTACTTCGATTGGAGATTGTTAAAGAGATTTTTGATTTCTGTCGATGGAAGTGATGAATACATTGACCAAATCAAGAAGATTAATGTCTCTTTGAGTAGAATTGACAGTTGCACACAGTATTTGCAGGCTCTTTACTCTTTGTTGGCTTCAAGAACAAAATATGAAAAAGAAGATTTGATGCCTGATTGTCAAACCGTTTTTAGTTTGGTTGTCAAAATTATTGACAACCCATTGACACCTATTTCGACAGCAAGAGTTGCATTCCATCTATTGGAGTTCTGTCTGCTCAACAAGAAAGATGTTTCTTTGGCCATTTCACCTGACCAAATTAAATCCATCATTAAATATTTGACGAAATCTCCTTGCAAAGAGATTTATCATTGTTTGCCTTATCTCTTGGCTCTCGCACAAGTCTCTGACTCTTCAGTTTACGGGCAGCCATTGCTTGGTCAGTTGTTTGATCCTTCTCTTTCTTTCGCCATCGAATTTTCTAATGATGATGCTGTCAAAACCGCTTCACAAGTTGCACTTTGTTTGAGGAACAAAGATGGTTGGATTGCGGAGTATTACAACACCCTCAAGTTCGCAATGAAGCCTCTTCTGTCAAACAAGTCTTTGGCAAGAGAAACCGTTAATTTAATAACGGTTATTTGTCAAAACGAAGAAAACGCAGAATTTTTGACAAAAGAAGGATTTTTCGAAATCTTCATAACAGAAGAACTCCCGTGCAGCGAGGACTGGAAGTCGGACTTATGGCCAGCTTTGTTCGACATGATGTCTCAAATTCCTCCTCAATTAAATGTCACGTTTTTGTTCGCTCAAAAAGTGACAAGTCATATATCAGTTTTTCTACAAAATCAACAGATCTCTGGCATGCGATCTATTGATCTTTTGAGAGTCCAAACAGCAGCATTAGGCATGGTATCATCCATTGGAAACAGACTCATGGAATCGACCATAAATCAACTGTCACTTTTGTCAAAATTAGAAGAATTAATTTTGATCAGATTGCAGAAGACAATTGTTCTAATTAGAGACAAAGGACATGTTAAAATAGAAGGCAGGATTGAAGACATTTACGACAGAAATGAGAAACTTACAGCTCTTGTTTCTCTTCAATACTGTTTGTTGATCATTTCAGCAGTTTATGATTTCCCTTATGGTGGCACTTTTTCACAAATTTTTGAAGAGATTCTTTCTGTTTCTATGTACACTTTCATGGCCGATATACTCGAGAATATCGAAGAGCTTGCAAGTAAGAAAGAAAACAGACCTTACTTGCCATTGATATCAAGAATTTTCGGATTGAGTTTGAGACTTTTTGTTGGAAGAGTTAAATCTATAATTAACGACAAAATGACAACTCGTGAATCCAACGAAAAGAAAGGAATGAAACTGGGCGGAGTGATGAACAAAGTTATCAATGCAACACAATCACTCATTAATGAAACAACTTTGGCTGATTTGATTGAAGAAGCAAACTTCTTCGATAAAATGAGATTATTCTTACTAGAATGCCACAACAAATAGAATTAAAGTAAAATATTTTTATTTATAGCATACGTATTTTTTTGATAATATTATTGAAGCTCCTTATTTATATTATTTTTTGATAAATAATATTTAATTAGCGTTGATTCACTGAAATGAACAAAATGTTACAGAATATGATAATATTTATCAGAGTTCATAGCGAATCGCATAGAAATAAAATAAAACCTATCGTATAAATAAATTTTCTTTTTATCAACTTTTGAGAAGTTTACGAAGTAGGAATAATTTGGATTCATGATATATAAGGGTTTCGTTTTGCGAAAAAAACGTACAATACGCAATTTCGCTAAAAAACATTTAGCTAGCAATTTCGACCTTTGACTCCACTCAAGACGTCACTTTTTTAATTTTGCGGTATCATATTTTTGGAAAATCTTTATGAATATTATATAAAAAGTCTCTTTAATATCTATATTTCATATTTTTATCGATTTTTAAAGTTTTTGCGAAAAGTATTCAATTATTTTTGCTATTTGGTCGGGTAAATGTCAGATTTGCGACATTTTCTGATATGATATTCAGATTCTACGTTGATAATAATGCTTATAGAACCCTCTTGCTATTGTGTCAAAATTGCGAAACCGATAGCAAAAATATCTCGCAATATCAAAATTGAGATATTGAGTGAATTATGCATTATAGAGATTAAAAATCTGATTTGTGAAAACATCTCATCAGTTTCTAGCTAATTCAAAAATCTTTACTATCTTATTCGATTAAAATGAAAAGGGGATAGTTTCATTATGCTTTAAATGACAGCCTTATAATATAATCATAGTTTTCGCTCAATATGCAGCATTTTTTTTCGAAATCTATGGTCAATGTCCTAAATACTGATTGCTTTGCATTCATATCTCTTACATTTTCTATACCCACATCACTATTCATTGCTATTCCTATCTTTTTCATTTTTGTTTGTTTCTCATAATTTCTCAAAAAACACGATAACTTGATATTTGTAAATATCATACTTTATAACGTAAATAAGAACTTGACCTATTAAGAAAAGCAGTAATGAAAAGAAAATCTGAAATTCATAAAAATTACAAGTTTCTGATGACAATTAGCTTAATTAAACCAGGTACAAGATTATATAATTGTATTTTCTACCCAATTATCCATATAATATCTTATCCAGAAAAAATAACTTGATCAATACCAAATGATTTTTTAACTAGTAAATAAAGTATTTTCTTTACACACACATTGTATATCATAGTTTTTTTTTGGTTTCGCAAAACATCCAAAAACAAATATGCTATAAAAGTGACAATTTTAGCAAAACGAAACCCTTATGATATATGATACTTATTATTAGTATAATCTGATCTAAAAAAAAAAGGGTAGTGGGGCTTCCAGGCACTTCGTGCCCTCTAGCCCCGAAGATGTTTAGTATAAATGAAGTTTTTATTCGGAAAATTGTTAGTCTTCTGGTGTGAATTCGGAGGACTCTTCTTCTTCCTCCATTGCTTCTGGGAAGAAGCCTTCTTCTGGGTCGAAAACATTATATAATGTGTCGCTTTTCACAAATTATATATGTTTTCATGTTTTGTCACTTTTCTGTCACTTTTCAGGAAAAAACATTTTTATTATTATATATAAATGAATTTTACAAAACCACCGTTACCGTTCTTTGGAAATAAGAGTAGATGTAAAGATATTATATTGAGAGAACTTAAGAAACTACCGAATGGTCTAACATTTGTAGATTTGTTCGGTGGAAGTTTCTATATATCCCATTTGTGCCATATAATATTCCCAGACTCAAAGATTATATGCAATGACTTCGACAACTATATGGACCGTCTCAAACATATTCCAGACACAAACAATATATTGAAAGAGTTAAAAGAAAAGATACCTATAGGTAAGATGGAACGTATACCATTAGATAACAAAAATATTGTGAGAGAGGTTTTGAAAAAAGCAGAATATATAGACTGGGATAGTATATCTGCTAGACTATTATATAGTGGTTCTATAAGAGTTCATGACATTGAAACACTTATGTCAAAAGTTTTATATCTTAACTATACAAATGTTTTCAAAGAGGACATAGAAAAATATATTGAGGGTATAGAGTTTGTGAGATGTCATTGGACAGAGTTGTATGAAAAATATAAAGACAAGGAAAATGTTTTCTTTATAGTGGACCCGCCGTTCTTTAACACATGGGATTTTCAATACCAAGTAGACTGGACTTTGAGAGACTCTTTAGAAACTTTAGACGTTTTACATAACCATCCATGCTTTTACTTTACATCCGATAAAAGTGGTTTGGAAACCGTTATGAGATGGTTAGAGGACATACATGACTATGAGTTTATATATGACAAGATAGAATATGAGAGAGGTCCTATAAACTGGAGAAAGTGTCACAATAAAGAAATTTTATTAGTAAGTAAATGTGGTTTGAAATAGGACTACTTGTTTTAGGTTTTTTCCATTGTGTCATTTATTTATTTGACGTGGCAGAAAAGTACAGAGAATATGAAGATGAACCAATGCCTGCAAATGTTCAGTATATGTACTCGTAAGAGATATTTTTATCTAATATTAAATGGACGCACAGAACTTAGCGAATGCACAGCAACCTGGACAACCAAACCCAGAGAATATTCCAAATGAAGTTAGAATACAAACTGCAATGGCAAACTATGGTCAAGTGCCAACAGATGTACAAATGCAAACTGCCATGTCAAATGACGCTGCGTTAGGTTTGCCACCATGGTATGCAAATATGAGATGGAAAGAGTTTTATACAAACCCTGAAGTGGGATATAAACAACTTTATGCAGATGACGCGAACACAGGAGTTGACCCAGAATATGTTTTCTACCAGAGGAGAAACAGAATGTATGAGCTCCAGTTAAAGAATGCTATGGAACTCAACAGGAAACGTAAGAGACTAGGCGGACATTAGATTTTTACATATAGTAAAATGGGTTTCTTCAGTAAGATAGGAAACTTCTTTCGAAATGTTGGAAGAGGTATATGGAATGGAATAAAAACCGTAGGAAGAGGAATTTGGAACGGAGTCAAAAATATTGGTAAAAGAGTAGGTCAGTTTGTTGGTATTATACCTAAAGACCCTGAACCAGAAGAGCAAGCTCCTGTTATACAACAGCCTGAACCTGCACCACAGTCTAGTTGGCAACCAAATCCAACACCTCAACCGTATTAAAAAATTATATTTTTACCGTTCGATAGTAGTTGTATATGAAACTAAGTTCTAAGTAAAACGCATGGTATAATGGAATTATTCTTTTTCTTCCATCTGTAGTAAACCATACTTGAAAGTCTGAAATACTTCCACTTGGTGGTTCGTATAACTTTGTAGGTTTTTCGTAAAAGTCATTTGCCAAGCATAAGAAAGAGTTTTGGGCGCCAGAAAATGAAGCATGAACAATAATAGCAGCTGGGTCGAAAACATCTTTAAATAAATATGGTTCATCTCTTGCATATCGACTGTAAATATTTGCTAAAGGAAGTTCGACTTTCTGATTTAACATTCTTTGCAAATAATACCATGACATTGCAGTGAATTCTGTATATATTTGTTCGTCTTTCTTTGGATTTCTTCGTAGATTTGAAATGACACTTGTGAATTTGTTTGTCATATACAATTCTCACATAAAGTGTGCTCTCGATTTGCATATTCATCAGCATATTTTGCATAACATGAATTTATTTATCTTCTATATTTTTAAACGCAGTCTGTAGAGAAGATGAAAGGTCAACTTGTATTAGCTCAATTTCTTCCCACATTTTTCGTTTCCCTTCAGATATATAATCTATATGAAACCTTACAATAAATGGAAAACTTTATCTTCTACAGACACAAACTTCATTCTACGAAAGCCAATAGCTTTTGTGACAGATGGTCTCTTAGCCATCTTAATGGTAGTCAAAACGATAGCCTTCATGCTTTACGGTCTCTGTCTCAAACTTTTGACCGACATTAGTAAAATTCATCTAATGGTTTAGTTTAGCAACTCTTGAATTTCTTTTTCTATTGAAAGCATATTTTATCTAGATTAAAAAATGTCGAAAGATATTGCTTCCATAAGAGAAATACAACACAACCGACAACTCATTATGCAAGCTCTAAATAAGAACACAACAAACTTTTCAAACTATTCTAAGATATTGAGTCATTGAAAGAAGGAAACTTAAAACTGACATTAAACCCAATGACAGATGATTTCTGTTTCAAGACAATAAGAACCATACTGTCTGTATAAATCCAACAAAAGGAACTTTAAACGAGAAACCTATAAATGAACTTCTTTTGAAAGCAGATGTTGACAAAAACTGACAAAGAATATGTAGACGATGCAATAGCAAAAGAAGAAGAAAGAGCTAACAATGCTTATGCAACAAAAAACATACTCATCCTGAACTAGCAGACAAAAACATATGTTGACAAAAAATGTCAAGTGAAGTGACAAGAGCTGAAAACGAATATTCTAAAAAGACTCATACACATTCTATATCTGAAATACAGACTTAAACGTTAGCCTTGAAAATAAGGTAGATAAGGGACTTATGGCTAGTGTGTTAGTGAAGAAGGCGGATAAGAATATGTGATGAAAAAAGATAAAGAAATTATAGAAAGGGTTGACTGTACCAAACGGACATCGAAGATTTTAAAAACTAAAGCCGATACAGGATGTTCAGGATGTTTAGACCTTAAAGCAGATAAAACTTATGTTAAACGATGAGTTAGAGAAGAAAGCAGATAAGAACCATACACATACAAGTTTACAACTGTTGCTATAGAAAGTATTGAAGGAACGGTTGAAGAAACTGGTGGGATGCATTATATTGTAAACCTCCTAAACTTTCCACAAGGTTTAAATCGGATGACGACATAACGACGATGAGAAACATTAGATGTAAAAAGATGTTTATGTCATGAAGGATGAACATAATTAAATTCACTGCTCAAGATTTATATGACAAGAAAGCAGACA